CATTCAAGACTGAAATTGTTTCCATCGCTCAATTTCTTTGCATTTTTTTTTATTCTATTTGCAGGAGAGAAAAATTCCTCTATAAACAACGAAATTTCTGATTGAAATCATTGGAAATATCATTGGAAAACCTATAGTTGACCAATCCCAGGTGAGGTGTTCGTAAACAAGAGTGGTGAGCAAGAGCAAGCAATCAAAAGGAGAACAGGTAAAAAATGAATGCGAGAAATTGTATTATGTGAGTAGTTTTTGGGGAAGAGAAAGATGCAATAGAATGAAATGAGGTCGGTGAAGTGAGACGGGAAGAAAGGAGAAGAAAAGAGAAGAAAAGAGATGAGAAAGATGGGAAAGATGGGAAGAGAACGGGGATTGTTCACAAGGAAACCCCCCGCAAGTTGTTCTCGCTCTCGAGAAGTATCATTCTGCACATTCTCGTTTGCTTTTCTTTGTCACCCACCCGCTGGGCATAACTCATTTCGATTGGTGCTGTCGATTAATTTGAAGGAGATCGTTTGAAGAAAAGGAGATCGTTTATTGATTGGGAAAAAGATCTTGCATGTTTAAATGGAGTTTTGGGGAACTCTAGAAGAGGACTGAATTTGAATAGTGATTAAATTTGTGGCTTGATTTACAGAATGGCCTGATTGCTACAGTCTATGTTTCTAGAATGATCTAAAAAAATATTAGGTTGTTCGGATATAAACGAGCGTTTGCACTGCACCGGTTTCACGGTCGGATTTGGCCGTTCTCCGGATCCTAACCATTTCCGTTTTCGAATAGTATTATCGAAATGGATCCACTTTTGATCTCCAGTAACGAGAGAATCAAAAAAAGCCATGATCTTTAGCGTGGCGGATGAGGATTCCGGGAATAGTGACCCGTGAAGCCTTGTTTGCACTGCTTAACTCGTGAGGAAAACATTTCCCGCATCTGATCGCCTTTCCAATGGCGTGAAGATGCTCATCAATAGTAGAATTTGAACATAGAAACTGTTGAGCAAGTTCACGCGATGGATCCGATTCGATTGCAGCCCTCAAAATATCGTTGTCTACCGCTTGAGGTAGACAACGATATTCTTGACGAGAGTGTTCATCATCCTCGAGACTTTCATCACCATTCCGAAAGCGTTAGAACCAGGCTCGGCATCGGCTTTCGAACAAGACATCATTCCAAATGCTTTGACCAAATCTCGATGGGATTCTGTTTTGCCCAGTTTGAAGGCTTAAAGTAGGCTTATTGATAAGTAAAGTAGACGCGAACTTGATATATTTAAAGTCGATCATCTAAAGCAAGAAAAAAAGATCTTAAAAATAAGAAATTATCCGTTTAAAAAGATTCCAAATATACAAAAGATACTTTTAAATACAGAAAGACATGTTTTAAAAGATTCCCTCACAACAATAAGTTTAGTAACGCTTGTTTATATCCGAACAACCTAATAGTATCAAATCAGTGAAAGCAATGAATTGATAGGGCAATGCTTCGAACATTCTTGGAACCTTCTGCTCAAGTTTTTTTTATGTTTGAGCAGAATCAAAAGCAGAGCAGCAAACCTTGCTGGCTACAAACTAGCAAAGAAATTAATGAAAATAAGCCAAAGGTGGGAACACAAAAACAACTTGAATGTAAAATTTGAAGTAGAGAAAAAGTTATGTTGATCTAGTAGTTAGGGGGGTAACATATAACGCTTGTTTATATCCGAACAACCTAATAGATCCTATAGCTAACCAGTAGACCTAATAGATCCCATAGCTAATCAGTAGACCTAATAGATCCCATAGCTAACCAAATAACAAAAGTAAAGGTGAACTTTGAAATTAAAACAAAATGCAAGAGAGAGTTTGATGAAAAACGTAAGTTTGCTTTCGGGAAAAGTGCTCAATGTGTGACTCACCAGGAACTAAGTGTCAAGGAATCGAGAAAGGAATACAAAACGGAATACAAAGCTTTGTTTGTTTAAATTTTGATGTAGATCAGTAATATGTTAGACTAATTGATGGAGTTTCTCTCAAGAAAAAATCTCGATTTAGGCCAGTCAATAAATTATCGAGTGTCAAGAGAAAAAAAACCCGAATCTTGCCGAGATCATGGGGTTTTTTTGGGGAAAAACTTGCGATCGAGACTTGGAAATTTGTGAAATTTATGTGATATAAAGGATTGATTGTCATTTTGATTGTCAAAGGTAAGCAAAGTTTCTAAAGATCAAAATTTTAAAGTGATTTGTCCATTTTTTCTTTTACTTTTACTGATTTTGGATTCAAAATTTAAAGCTAACAAAAAGCTTTCTGGTACATTGAAAGTTAAGGATCTTTCCTATCTTTGATGATAAGGAACCAAATTTAGAGAGATAAGGACACCTTTCCAGGAGACATACTTGAGATTTCAAAAAAATCAGAACGATTGACCCAATTTTGTCCAAATTTTGTCCAATTTTGTCCAATTTGTCCAAATTTTGTCCAATTTTTTTTTCTCAAGTCTTGAATCAATCAATTTCCTATCTTGAGATATAGGATATGGAATTTATGCAAGCTTAGGCACTCTGTTCCTAATTGGGAAATCAGCAAAGTTGTGGCGAATAGCCACTAAAAAGTTACCTAACTCTGGCAGCCTAAAAATTGGAAAAATATTGAGGCAATCGGTGCGCCTTCATTTTATTTCGCGCCCCAAATCATTTATTGTTTTGTAGCTTATTAGCTGAGTATCTTGTGTTAAAGCCTATATAACGCAACTGTTGTTCATTTGTTTTAAAAAAATTCAAAATTTCAAAAAGATTCAAAATTTAAAGCTAACAAAAAGCTTCGTGGTACATTGAAAGTTAAGGATCTTTCCTATCTTGATGATAAGGAACCAAATTTAGAGAGATAAGGACACCTTTCCAGGAGACATACTTGAGATTTTAAAAAAATCAGAACGATTGACCTGAAAGGATTCCAAAAAGCCTAAAAAACTAAATCAAATTATCAAATTATCAAAGAAAAGTTAACAAATAAACAAAAGAAGACAAAGAAAACTGTTTGACAATAAAGTAAACAATGTAGAAACTTTTTGGAGTGGAGAAAAAAAGAAGAAAAGAAGTGGGACGTTCGAAAGTGTGGCCAAGCCGTCGAGTGTTTCACACTCAAAGCGAAAAAGGCCAAAGAGAGAGCAAAATAGACAAGAGAATTGGGGAAAAGATCAAAGAGGATGAGGGTAAAGAGGAATGGAATGGAAACGAATCCAATGGAGAAGAAAAGAAAAGAAAAATTGACGGGAAAACTTTGGGAATTGTTGGGAGGAAAATCCTCGGCGTGCTCGCTTCCGCAACCGCAATCCTTGAGGGGAAAAGGGTGGGATGTTTGAGAAATAAAGCATTCGGGATCGATATTTGGCATCCTTTTCTGAGAGATCATTGGACGCAGAGAGAGCGAAGAGAATTTTGAGAAGGGAGGGGTGGCGAGTGAACTGACAGACACAAGAGACACCTGATCCAAAGGAGTACGCTCATTGCGGAACTTTGCGGGAACTCATTACTCAATGGAAAGAGTTCAAGGTAAAGATCTTTTGGTTATCAAAATAGTAATACTAATTGGATAAAAAAGAAGCTTTTTAGAGGTTTTAGTCAATTTTACAATTTTAGTTTCTAAACTTTGATGAATTTGCTGAAAATAAGGAAATGTGAGAAAGGTTATCGGACATCTGATAAGCCCCGCCCATTTGCCATTGGCAATCTAACTTTAAGCTCAAATTTCTTGGTATTGAGCTGTTCAATTTAAATAGTTTTTGTATCAATCGACAGAGAAAGACTTGACGCAGTTAATGATAACAAGAATATTTAAATTGAACCGACCAAAACCAAGATATTTCAGCTCAAAGTTGGATTGCCAATGGCAAAAGGAGCAGAGCTTATCAAAAGGGTAGGGCTTTTCAAATGTCTGGATGGCTTTCCGCTTCTAACTGTAAAGTTCTAAAGTAAAGCCAACTTCAGAGTACGAAAAGATCGTCAGCTCGATGACTCCATCAAGTCCGGTCAGCATTTCGCAAGCTTACCAGCTTACCATATCAAGAATATTGAAATTAGACAGCCAATAACCAAACTTTGATGCCTAGATTTTAGGCAATCTTTGAGATGTAAAAAGTTGAGTAATAGTCAATATTTATTAGCTTAAAAAAACTTCAAAAAGACAGCCACTTTCTTTGTAGAGTCTTGTGGAGTTGACATACTTTTTGGATGGGAAAATTGCGCATCGGAGCACATTTGAATGGAGTGAGAAAGGGAAAAGAAATATAGAGGAAAATTGTAGAAAACAGAAGGAAGATTTTGCGTAGAATCAATCCGAGGACTTTCACCGATTCAAAAAAGGGAAAAAGCTGGAGAATTTGACGGATTTCGAAATGAATCCAGATGGAATTCGAGGATTTTGTTTGTCTTTTAAAAAAGCTTTCTGAAAACTGACTTAAAATTAGAAAAAGTTATTCTGGAGAGCACAAGTGAACAGTTAGGGGTTAGATAAAGCTCACAATATTGTAAAACTTCATACAGTAGGTTAGGTAAACAGTAAACATTTAGTTTATCTATTCTATCTTGTACAATAAACTAAACTAGAGCTTTAAATTACCTAAATAAAAAAAGAATACTCCAAATGAGCAGTAAACGCTAATCAGAACACGAAAACAAAGCAAATCGGGGTTTTTCCTCCCGTTCACAGCCAATCCACAAAGCAGGAAGCACCCAAAAATATCGTGGACTAATCTTGAGGGAATTCCCATCTTTCTTCTCTTCGCCCCTTTCTTCCCATCATTCCATTTCCGTTCTTCTTCTTCATCTCCTCCGTGAGCTTTTCTCGTGCATTTCCCCCAGCCCATCTTCTGTTTGTCGTTGTGCAAGCGGGTGTCAAAACTTTTGGCAAAATGACAGCTCAAACGTAAACAATTCTTGGAGAAATGGTGAAATTGAGAAGCGCTATTTTCCCCGATTTGAACTATTCTTGATCTCATGATCTTTATGTTCAAATAAGACTTCAATAGCCTAGAGTTTTTCAGGCTTGAGCTTTCATCAACACTACCTACAAATTTGACTGTAATTGGCAAAGAATAAATGTAGATACTCATACTGATGATTGTATCATTGTTATTTACAACAATAATTTATCAAAATCATTATCGATTGCTTAGTTCATCATTGTAGCCATAATTTTGATGACTATTAAAGTTATTCAGTCTCGAGAAGAATAAAGGACTTCGAAAGGATGGAATATTGATTGGATTTCCTTTGAATTTCACATAAACACCAAAGAGACAAAAAGCAACAATGATCAAGATCAGGAAACTTGTTGTCAAACTGAAGCCGGATGATTCTTTCGGGATGAGATCTGAAAATTAGTCTAGTAGTTGAGAGTTCACTATTATAAAAGTCACATGTTTCCGCTTGGATCTTGAAGCCACGAGCCGTATCGGAGCTATCGCTTACAAAGACAATAGCCACATAATTCCCAGTGATCGTCTTTGAGCTACCATTTTCAAGTTGTGGACTACATTTGTAACTGGATTAACTAATAAAAATCAATCTTACTGATGTGTTTGTGCGCTTTTCTCAAAGTAATACAATTCATCACCATCTGGGGCCAAATCATAGTCAAGAACCTTGAATTTGATGCCAATTCCCTCTTCGGCATTGAAATGGTAGATACAATGGAGGCTATCACAGTAGCTAAATTCAAAAAGGAATTGTTAAGGTTTGTAATATTGTTAAAGCTTTTCAACTACATTATTTGTTGATTATTTCGTTAATCAAACACTGATGAAAGTCAGTTTTGAGTAAAATCTTTCACTAACTTCTTTGGTTTGGTTTTGATGTGTTATGCGCCCGGTTGCGATCCTCTACCAGACGGATACACTGATAGTGATAGTCTTGGACGTGGGTTTTTGAGCTCTCGAAGATTTTGGCGTACTGTAGCTATTTAAGCTTATTGTAGCTACAGTACTGGACAATGAAATATCATATTTTGAAAAACGATCGTCACTTTCGCGCGTCTGTAACCCCTTGTCTTTGAGTTTAAACTATTAGTGTTATACATTTTCTGCAAGCTCTTTTCAAGGGCTACACAATGGCAATATTAATATTTAGAAATACGGTAAAGACAAGGGAGTTACAGACGCGCGAAAGTGACGATCTTTTTTCAAATATGATATTTCATTGTCCAGTAGTGTACGTCATAAAAAAGAATAAAAGCTCTTTGTTTGAGCTGTCACCGCAGAACCAAACGAGTGTCCAGCCGATGCTGAGTGCTACTACGAAGGGAGCCATTTATGTTACATTCTTTAACTATAAACAATCGTGGTTTATCTGCCGAGATAGCGAATCACTGGAATCAGACAATCATTTGAAGTATTGGGTTGAAATTTCGGCTTTTTAAAAAGGTCCTATTGTGTCCTAAACGAGTGTCCAGCCGGTGCTGAGTGCTATTGGGTTGTCCAGTTATGAATGCGCGTTTTTACTATTTTGTAAATTTCTCAAGATATCGAACAGATGTATATGAGTGTTATATATCATTCGAAAGCTGAAGATCTCCTCTACATTTTGGCATCAAAAAGTTTTTGAATTCATTCAACTTTTTGGGAAATTGACTGCACAAAGGGAGGGGTCGTTTTCTAGACTCAATACCTTAATCGAGACTGAATACCCTATTCTAGACTGAATACCGTAATCCAGCTAATTTAGACTGAAGACTCTAATCTGGACTGAATACCGTAATCCAGCTAATTTAGACTGAATACCCTATTCTATACTGAATGCCCTAATCTGAAAAAACCCATTTCAGCTTAGCTATTCCTCAAGTTTTACACTGTAAAAGAATCGCCCAGAAAAGAAAAGTAAAGATGATCTGAAATTGTTATACTTTTAAAAAAGTTGTATTGATATATCTATTGGCCAAACATCAAACGGTTAACTCAATTTGAGCGGAGCCAAAACTTGATCCAAAGGCGCCCTTCCATTTTTTGGCCACCTCTTCTTCTGTGCAGTCAATTTGCCCAAAAGCTGAACAAATTCAAAAACTTTTTGTATCAAGATGTAGAGGAGATCTTCAGCTTTCGAATAATACTCATATATATCTTTTTCTTCATTTCGGTATCTTGAGAAATTCACAAAATAGTAAAAAACGCGGATTCATAACTGGACAACCCAATACTACTACGAAGAGAGCAATTTATGTACGAGGGTAGTAGCTAAATTCAAAAAGGAATTGTTAAAGCTTTACAACTACATTATTTGTTGATTATTTGGTTAATTAAACACTGATGAAAGTCAGTTTTGAGTCAAATCTTTCACTCACTTCTCTGGATACCGTGGTGAAGTGATGATTCTTGGTTGATCATCGACCAGATTAATCGTCTCTTCTTGACACTTACAGTCTAAAAACAGGTTCTCTTATTGAGAATTTTCAATAAGATTCCTACCTCTCGACCATTCAAGTCTCATCGTAATATTCGTTTCCGAAAAGTTTCCCTCTGTTCGATTACGGGTACTCAAATGAAAGTAGATGTAATTGGTGGTACTGAAATTGATAAAGTTTACAAAATATTGAAAAATCAACTTCATTTCACTGCCATACTCATCAGTGAAAAAGGTAGCCAAACCGTACTCGTGCTCGCTGTAGATAGCTCTAAAAATTACCTCATCATAACCTTGACCTTAAGGTCCTAACCTCTTGAGTTTTCCATCCAAAAGCAATTCAAAGCGCTCATTGTGATTCAGTGCAACATTTGCTAATGGTACAACCGATAAGATCATTCCTGGTCGATTTTTCACTCTCACCCAGCAATCTTGCGGAGGACAATCTTTGGGAATCCAGAAATCGACTCCTCTACTCATTGTTGGTTCTTTGATCTCGAGCTCTAGCATCTGTTTGCCACCATTGAAACAACTGCAGTCTGAAAAGAAGTACTGTTGGTTGAATTCTATGTGTTAGTATCCATTGTTGGTATCCATTTCTCTGTAAAAACGATTCAGGGGAACACTTAAACAATTTCGTTACAGTTCTCATCAAATAAAAGTCATTCTTGTCCTTTTACGTCTTTTTGAACAAATTTGAATGCATTTTGGGGAATATTTGAGCAGAAATTCGTCAAATAACGAAAAAATAACAATGTTTTACTGAAATTCAGCTGAAATTTTGGTTATAATCGTAACTTTTTGTGCTTTATTTTTATCTATTGACACCAAGATAGGTTTCTTTAGCTAAAAAGTCCTCAAATTTGTATTATTAGACCGTTTCTGGGTCTTCTTCCAAGAAGATCTCTAGATCTTCTTGTTTTTAAACTTCTTACTCTCTGAAAAAACATAAAACGAAAGAATTTTCAAAAGCTACTTTTAGACGCGTTAAAAGCTACTTTTAGACGATCAAGAAGAGCTTTTAAATGGTAAAAACTGGAAGTTAATTACAGTTTTTATCATTTAAACAGTTTTACAAGCATTAGTTGTTTCTAAAAAAGCACAAAGAGTCGACCCGGAATGATCTTATCGGCTGCACAACGAGTACGTACTCGTACACGATCGAGTGCTCTGAAAGGACACGATCGAGTGCTCTGAAAGATCATTAGTTGGTACTTATAGCTAAAAAGAATAGTTTCTGTCTAGTTAAATGATCCAAGCCTTTAATTACCAGAGTTCTGGCTTTGAAGTCGGTTTAATTACCCAAGTTGAGTTTAGGTGCACTACTGGACAATGAAATATCATATTTGAAAAAAGATCGTCACTTTCGCGCGTCTGTAACTCCCTTGTCTTTACCATATTTCTAAATTTCAATATTATCATTGTGTAGCCCTTGAAAAGAGCTTCCAGAAAATGTATAACACTAATAGTTTAAACTCAAAGACAAGGGGTTACAGACGCGCGAAAGTGACGATCGTTTTTCAAATATGATATTTCATTGTCCAGTACTGTAGTTTGAACCATTTGTCTTCAAATCAAAAATCAAAGCACTAACAATTCTTAAATGATGTCCAACTAAGAGAAGAAATGCAAAAAGAATCGATTTCGATTGTCGATCGATTTTTTGTTGATAGGTCGAGAAATTTTGTCTTTTGACCTAATCAATTCTCCTAACCAGGGAACCTTCCCAAGTTACCCGCGAGAAGTCCATCTGAAATATTTCTAAGTAAAAATACGATAGATTTTGGTTCAAGAAACGTCTAGAGTTCAATGTTACATTTCTAAACCCATTCAACTTTCTAGGGATGTTTCTGCTAACCAGGGAACCTTCCTAAGTTACAATATGAGGTAGGTGCAAAAAGAAAGGCGCGAAAATGTACGTTCAGAAACCGTTTTCAAAAAAATCGCTAATCGGCAAAACGCACAAAGTTACAGCCATTTAAATTTCGAAAAAATGAAGGCTTTTCTCGAATTTCTGGCAAACTGATTTTTGCCGGAAAGCCTTTCCTTTCGCCATCCCAAAGTCGCCAAAAGTCAGCTTGTAGCCTTGTGGTTAGCGTGCTTGCGCTGGCAACTCTTTGATCTTCGGATCGGCTAGCAGATCCGCTAGCAGTAAAACTAAAACTTAAAACGTAAAGCAGTAAAGTAAAATTTGAATAATGTTATTTTCTAATGCTATTTAATGATTGACAATTTATTTAAAAGAAAGTAAGCAAAAAATTAAAAATCAAGGGTAATTAGCAATCGAGCGAAAATGAACAATCTGAAATGCGCGAATAAAACGCTAACTTTAAGAGCAATGTGCACGTACAGCAACGTACATTTTCGGGCCTTTCTTTTGCACCTACCTCATATTGTAACTCGCGGGTAAGTTGGGAAGGTTCCCTAGTAAGATATCCCAGTTGCCGTGGAAGTTTATTCAGGGTTTTTGCCCTTCTGAACACCAAAGTTGAAACCTAGAAATCTTCAATTTCACTTTTCATCGCGATACTGTCGTCAAATCGTGCTGAAAGTGTGTTTTTTGGAATCTACGCAAAACAAATTGGCCCAGGAAAGTGGAATTTGAATAATTGCAACTGGGATATCATAGGAGAATTGATTAGGTCAAAAGACAAAATTTCAATGTCCCGCAGTTTTCAATTCACCAACCCAATAGAACAATCATAGATTCTTGACCTGGACCTCTTTACTCTCTGGATCCCTGGACTCTGGCCTTATCTGACTTAGCTGGACGCTTCTGACTTCGGTTATATTGGGTTGTCCAGTAATGCGCGTTTTTTCATTTTTTGTAAATTTCTGAAGATACCGAAATCAAGAAAAAGATTTATATGAGTATTATTCGAAAGCTGAAGATCTCCTCTACATTTTGATATAAAAAGTTTTTGAATTTGTTCAGCTTTTGGGCAAATTGACTGCACAGAAGAAGAGGTGGCCAAAAAATGGAAGGGTGCCTTTGGATCAAGTTTTGGCTCCGCTCAAATTGAGTTAACCGTTTGATGTTTGGCCAATAGATATATCAATACAACTTTTTTAAAAGTATAACAATTTCAGATCATCTTTACTTTTCTTTTCTTTTCTGGGCGGTTATTTTACACCATAAAACTTGAGGAATAGCTAGGCTGGAATGGGTTTTTTCAGATTAGGGTATTCAGTATAGAATAGGGCATTCAGTCTAGATTGTCTGGATTACGGTATTGAGTCTAGATTAGGGTCTTCGGTATAGAATAGGGTATTCAGTCTAGATTAGCTGGATTACGGTATTCAGTCTAGAATAGGGTATTCAGTCTCGATTAAAGTATTCAGTCTAGAAAACGACCTCTCTCTTTGTGCAGTCAATTTCCCAAAAAGTTGAATGAATTCAAAAACTTTTAGATTCCAAAATGTAGAGGAGATCTTCAGCTTTCGAATGATATATAACACTCATATAAATCTGTTCGATATCTTGAGAAATTTACAAAATAGTAAAAACGCGCATTCATAACTAGACAACCCAATAATTTGTGAACTTCTATTGAGATACCAATCTCTTCTTTACCTATCGATGAAGCATAGAGCCGAAGATGGAGTTGAACACCGCCCTCTTTTGAAATGATTGTGAAATTTTTTGCGGCAATTCCAAATTTGTGAGATAGAGGAGCTGTGGAGTTCAAGCTAAAGAGAAAATTGTTTTATTCAACAATTGTTTTATGCATTTGGATACCTGAATAACTCGTTTTCATCAGCATCAAATCCCGATAAAAGCAAGGCAAATGTGGGCAATTCTGGGAGTTGGTGTCTTTTCTGAAAATGGAGAAGTTAAAAAATGTTCCGAATAAACTATAAATACCTTTATCTCCAAATAAACACTCCAAAAGTGTGTCTGATTGTCTTTCATCTCATTCACAACATTGATAGCACACATGAAATTCTCACAGATTCCATGACCGAAATTTGGAGAAGAATAGAAATGCTTTGGATAAATTTCATTGAAAACATAGCTCGATCTTGTGCAAATGCATCCTAAAATTTGAATTTTAAAGATTTAAATACTTTTCCAACTTTTCTCCTGTGTAATCACATCGAATGCGAAAGCTTGCTCAGTTGTGAAAGTCGGGCAAATCATGACAATCAATTTATTGGTGAAAGATTCGTAATAGTGAGTCAGAAGTGAGTTTGGATCTGTTCCTTTGGCAAGTTCTCTGAATGTTGGAGATTTAAAAGTAGAGTTTTGGCCAGACCAGGTCACCCCAGGTCAGACAAAGCAAGGCCAGGTCACCCCAGGTCAGACAAAGCAAGGCCAGGACCATTTTGACCCGGTTTGACCCAAGAAAATGAAGCTTGAAACAACTCTGCTCAGTGATTCGACTCACTCTTTACATGTTGACATCCGTTTTTCATTCCAAACTTCATCAAAATCAGCCACATAATAAATTGCATTAGCTGAAAGAACTGAATCGATTGATAGTTAAAAGACAGCTACATGAAGCATTCAGCGCGTTGAAATGAATCGTTTTTCCTTCGGGAGCAAGCAGAAGTTTTGTGCAACCTGAAATGGCCAACCAATCTTGTATGCTTAACTATTAAATGAGAAGTAGCTTCAAATTCAAATTCAAATTCACCAAGTTTGTCACCAAATTCTAAGCCAAATCAAATCTAAATCTAATTCTAGACAAACCTGGATCGAATTCGTTTCCCGGTTTATCAGTTTCTAATCGTTGTCCATCCGGGTCTACGAAATTGATTGGCGTTCGACAACGAGCTGGCGTTGCTTCTGTGTCCTCTGAAGTAAAATTTGCTAGGTTTGTTCTTAGACTAAGTCAAACTAGATGAGTTCAAGTCAAACTAGACGAGATTAGGCTAGGACAGGTTAAGCTGTAAGCTAGGGCAGGTTAAGCTGTAAGCTAGGACAGGTTAAGCTGTAAGCTAGGACAAGCAGCCGCACCAGTCTTAAGCCAGACCAGACCAAAGCCAAGCCAGACCAGACCAAAGCCAATTTCTATGAAAGGCTCATGATTTTAATTCAATTTGCAAATCTACCTGTTCTTTTCACAGTCAAGTGAAATCCATATCCTCGTTTTGCACTTTTTCCTCCACTTCCACTTCTGAATGTGAGCAAAAAATCGCTCCCAGTGTCACCCGAAATAAAAGGAGTCGATTGAGTTTGTGAACCTCGGAGACTAAACATAAAACGAATATACAATACCCATTTTCACTTACAATGCCCGGGGAATATCGTATTTTGTGTTATTGAATTCGATACGTTCCGTGATTTGCATATAATCGTCTGGATCACTTTCAAAAGCATCAAACTCTAGAGAAGTCCACCAGCCATCTCTGTGCCCGATCTAGATAGATTATTTAACTGAATATCTTATTTTATTACTGTATTTGTGCGAATTAAACGATAACGTTGAACGCCAAAACGTTGAATGCCCACAATTTCACCTCCTTTCAACCAAACTCACCAAATAATGACAAGTGAAATTGTCGGGATACTGTAGCGGATAATTTGGTGATTTCAATATGTGCGTCTTTTCATTGGACGTGACTATGTAAAGTCTTCCTGTACAATGCGATTCATCCAACGCTTTCCATACATCACTCGTTGCTAAAGATTTAGATTTGAGATCACAATAAGACTAAAGAATATTGGGTAGGTAAATCGAAAACTGCGGGACTTTGAACTAAAATTTATTCAACATAAAACCATCAATTCATTCTAAATAATTTCCATTATTATGGACGACTTCTGCCCATTTTACAGGCAATTTACGGATTCCTCTTTCGTAGTAGGATTTTGGTTTTGAATCGAGAAACTTTCAAGGTCAATTTTTGACTGCTTCTTCCGAATCGAAGTGTTCTCCCGCAAGCTCATTACTCATGCTCCGGATAATCAAAAGAGGCGAGGTCCGGACTGTATGGGGAGTGCGCCACAAGCTCCCAAACAAGGCTATTTATTTTAGAGCGAGTCAGTTTTGAAACATTAGGGCGCGCGTTGTCGTGGATGAGAACGATCTTTGACTTGGTGGGCCTATTCTTCTTCGGGAATTCATTCACCTTTCCCAACTGTTCACTGTATTTGATCGCATTAACGGTCGTCATTAACGGCATTAACGGCATTAACGGCCCATTTTACAGGCAATTTCTTGTAAGCTCTTATTTGCCTTCATCGGTTAATGTAGGCTACTGCTGATGTGTTGTCTACAAATTTCGTTCCTTATATCTCTAAATTTGGTTCCTTTTCCCTCTAAATTTGGTTCCTTATCTTTACAAATCTGGTTCCTTATCTCTCTAAATTTGGTTCCTTGTCTCTCTAAATTTGGTTCCTTGTCTCTCTAAATTTGGTTCCTTTTCTTTTCACTTCTGGGGGTCCGTGAGGTCATGGGACACCCAAGTCCCTAGTTTTGATTTAAATCCAAGGGTATGAAGGTGCCTTAGCACTGTAGCATGATCAACCCCTAACTCTTCTCCCAATTTACGCGATGATACCCGATGGTCGTTGGTAATGAGTTCGAGTAATTTGAAACATCCAGTTGGGGTGCCGCTCCACGACCCTCTGCATCTTTCAAAGACTTGTCCCCAGATCAAAACTTGGCAAACCATACTCAACACGTTCTTTCGGAAGGTGAGTCCTCCCCATATATCTTTTTAATATTAGCAGCTGCCAAGTCTGCACTGTGCTCTTGTATGAAATCATAAAGCATGACATGACGAATATGTCCCGGTGGCAGATTGTCGAGTGCAATAGAGGATTTTGGTTTGTGCGTGAGACTCAAAAATGGAGGACTGGAGATGTCCCATTTTGAGCACTTTCTTCAAAAGAAACCCATTTTGGTGTCAATAGAAGAGTTGTAGAGAATCAAAAATTAGGTTTATAGCCAAATTTCCAAAAAGATACACTTAGTAGTTTCGCTTAAAATGCAAGTTTTGTAAAAATTCGTAAATTTGGCATTTCCTGAAAACCAGTTTTTGAATCGTTCTGAAAATTTGGATATAAGCTTAATTTTTGATTCTCTACAACTTTTCCATTAACACCAAAATGGGTTTCTTTTGAAGAAAGTGCTCAAACTGTCACATATGACAATAGCCCGCAGTTTTCAATTCACCAACCCAATAAATTCAATTTTCACCTAAGCATCGAGAAATTAGAAATATCAAAAGAATTAAACACATATAGCTTGTGGAAATGAATCGATAAACTTTGGAAAAGCTATGTGAAAAGCATCAGTTTATGTTTTTGTTTCTGTGTAAACTGATCGGGTCACTTGTTGGCCACGTGAAAGTGATCAAAAAGTGTTCTGTTTAAGCTCAAAGAACAAAGAAAAGATAAACAACTGATAAAATGAAAGGGTTTTTGCTGAGAAATGTAACTCTTTTGCTGTAAACATCAATCATAGACATTGGTACTACAACAACCATCTTAGCCAATACCATTAGCACAAGTCCATGGACTACAATTCTTCAAAATTCTACAGAACTTGACGACACTTCAACGGCCAATCATTAACTCGAATCATTCAGGTCTCGAATAGAGTTCTTAAAAGTACTTACCGTAAATAATGTGATAGGACAGTGGTACAGTCGCGTAGTCGCAAAAGTTTTTTAGTATTTCATTTTTTTCAAAGCGCCCGTACTTTCAAAAAATGCGTCTTTGGTATCAAAAAATAGCTGAAATTCAGGACTATTTTTTTGATACCTAAGCGCGCATTGTAGCATAAACCAGTGTCGAGAAAAACTCATTCAAAGCTAGACTACGCAACACTCCGCAACGTCATTATGGGGGTGGGGTACTATTACAGTATTTACGGTAAGATATCCATTTTAGCCCATCATGTCACGTTATTTATAAGCTGTTTTAATAAGATTTTTCTCTCTCAACAAGCACTTCTGAATCTCAGAACATGAGAACGATATTAATAGAAAGATATTGCAGTAATCTGTTCAAAGATTTCTGCTCACAATCGTTTTGTATCAAGCATAGAGTGATTATTATCTCTTTATTTGAATCGATCTGATCACCTCTTAGACATTTCTACGTCTATCATCAAGCACTTCTGAATCACAGAACATGAGAAGAATATTCATAGAAAGATATTGCAGTGATTTTTTTCAAATTTTCAAGGATTACATCAGTCATGCAAGAACGAAAGTCCGGATTGCTCTTTTCAGCGTCTTGCTTTCAAATTCTGCTTTCAAGCGTTCAACTTTTAAATTCAACTAACTTTCTTGCAATCATTTTTCAAAAAATTGTAACTAAATCTCTCATAAACCACTTTTTTGTGCATGACACATAAAATTGAGTCTTATCGGAGAATTTCGTCTTATCAGAGAGCGTTTCAGCGTAAATAATCTCGTGAATGGGGCGAGTTAAGTAGAGAATGTGCTAGAAAACCTTGTGCATATTCCAGCAAAAATTTTAAGTCGTTATTGAGTTTCTGTCTAGCTTATGTTTTACTTGGTTGCCATATAGAATGGAGCGAGCTAGATGGGTAAGTTCAGGGTTTGCTTATGGTTGACATTTCGAGATCTTATGGTTGATATTTCGAGATCTAGCAATAAGAGATTACATTATTGTATCCTGTATTACATTCTTATATCCTTATATGCTAGATCTACTAAACCATTTTGTATATCAATCAATTCTTTCCTACAATACCTCTGTTTAGTTTTCCATACTTCTGCTCACAGCAAGCGCCATTTTGATTGGAGTCGCCGCCATTCTCCTTGGCATTGGGCTCTCGAAAATAAATAAAAAATGTAAAAAAAACATTGAGAAGCTTTTAAATTAAGCTTTTAACTCATTTAGGTGATTCAAAACCGATAAAATGCCCAGCCTCAGACTGCCCAATTGGAATCAGCAATCATACAAAGTTGCTCTACTTTTCGCTGGATCCGGGACTTCCCTGGAATGACCAATATTATCTCAACTCAACCGATGATTACAAAGAAGCTATAGAAAAGTTTAAACAAAATGTGATTTGATTTATTTCATAGATTTCTTTAGACAAATGGATTTTAGGTGACGGAAATTCTGACCTCACCAGCGACTCAAAATTCGTTTATGAGCTTTAAAATTGAGCCGACTGTACCGCTGCCGCTTGCTGTTTGGCCGGATTATCTTGCACAGTAAGACGTGATAACGTATTAAATATCTTTGCAATACTATTCACTACAGTTTCATTCCCAAACAATTCAGATCATTCAACACAACCACGATTTTTTATGGAACTTTTTTATTCGCTGATCCAGTCGATCAAAGAACTTTAAATTCCATATTCAAAGCAATGAATTGGACATCGAAAATGGCTGGTAGGCATCGAAATTCGTTTTTAGTTTAAATATGGTCAAATCCCTCAGCAAAAAAGCCTAGTTTTAAGTCTAAATTACTAGTCTAAATGACCCCAACTAGGTAAAGACAATTTTTGACTTATTTTCTGAGAAACTGAGCATTCAGGCCTTTCAAATTTAATCAATATCAACTCAATCGTTTTCTTTAGAAAGTACAGATGCTATTGCTCAAATCATTGCTGAACAACCACCTCCAAATCCCACACCAATTAAAGGTATGCTAATCATAAACCCAAAAATCCATTTCCCCAGGTTTTCCTTGTGATCCACGAATTCCTGGGCGAACTGTCATTGTAATGGTGGACATTGCAAAACCAATCGATCCCACAATTTCGCCTCAAATTAAGCTCCAAGCCGTAATTTGATAAGACCAGAGTGTGAGCCTTTTTTTGGGTTTAGATCAAGAATTATGTGTCGTTGATAACGCTGCCCGAAGAGACTGTTTGGAATACGTTTGAAATGGGATTAGGAGTGTTTCATGGAAGCAATGCATACATTTTGAATAATTGGTTGTGCAAAAATCAAGTGAGGCTTACAAGGGAACTGGAGGAAACTGGACCTTCTCTTGTTAGTTTATGAAAGAGGCATTGAACGTTATAGACTTGTTGGAATGATGCGGTGGATGCTTTGTTTATCAATGAAACCTCACAAAGTCACAACACGACAAGGTGGATTTGTTAGGGCAAAACTAGTCAAGTCAGTTAAACTAGGCTTAGAAATTAGTGCTAAACTACCTACCTAGTCAATTTCAGTCCAGATTTAGAAAACGAGTTTAAAATGTAACCAAGATCAGTTTGACCCGTCAAAGACTACACTTTGGAAACTACTCTTGTACTTGCTAAAGCTTCTTTTCAAGCTTTAGCAGCTTTAGCAACTTTAGCAGCTTTAGCAGCTTTAGCGCTATAGCTGCAGCGCTTTGGCTTTGCTGAAGTTAAAGTTTCTTCAACATAAACGATTTTCAGAGCTCTTGAATTCATTCGCGACGAGTTCACTTCCCTTTCTTCTCAACTATCTCCAGGAAAAGCCCGATCACTGACGATTATAGCTGATGGATTGTAGGCTTGATGGAAAATTTTCACTTTTGCCCCCCATTTCAGTCCTGTCCGCCTCCTCCACTATCCCGGGTTAATCCCCCACCCTTTATGACTAAACAGTGGGAAATTGATACATCTAGAATGGGGGCAAAATTCGAAACGTTATTCCACTTTTACCCCCCCCCCCATCTTTTCAGTTCTGGTCCCCACGTGGGTGACGATTTGATAGTATCATTTCGTTCCCCACAAGTGGGTGGCAGAAGTGAAACCCATGGGGTTTACCCGGACCTTTTCCATTTTCCCCTTCCCCCAAAATGAGTTGGGGGAACAAAACGATCGTTGTCCCGACTTGGTTAACAAAATTACAGCTTATTGTACTTTTAGTGAATATGATGGTGGTTTTGGTGAAAGCTGGAGTCGTCAGCTTGCCGCTGTTGTCGCAAAGACTTTCTATTTCACGACAATTGTCTCAAGGTGTGTTTTAAGCAGCTCTTGAGTTTGATTTTGAGTCAATTTCAGTACATCAACCACTATAAAAAACACCTACTTATCTCTGGTCGATTCCAAATACAAGACAGCCTTCATAGACTCTTGGGATCAACTCAGCTATCCAGAAGTCCTGACTCTGCAAGTGAATTGGATTTGTCAAGGTTGGCATAAGGCTATATTCTGAAATGGGACACATAAGGCAATAGGCCACGCGATGGTGTAGCTCATTGGTAGAGCGTTCATCTGTTAGACAAGAGGTAGCGGGTTCGAATCCCGCGGTTAATTATGTTTTATATTCCCAGCTCCAACCAATAAAAGAACCGGCGTGTCCAACTTTGGGTTTGTCTTGGCTTTTATGCAAACAGCTAAGCCAATAACAGATCTATTATGATTTTGAACTTGTTTTTAGCTCAACCCGTAACCACTGCCGCTCCCACGCAAACCATCCCAACCGCTCGTCCCGTCATCATCACAACAGTACCCACCGATCCCACAAAGCCACCAATAATCAGTAGAATCTAAATTCTTATCCAAATGCAATTCTTTCTTACAGAAGATTTTTGTGAAGATCCGCAAGATATTGCTTTAATACTGCAGATTCCGTCAACTGAAGCTTTATTTAACAATGTAATCTTAAACTTTTCAGCTTGAGAATAAGATGTTTAGATGAAAAAGTTTCTAATTGAAAGCCTCACACCAGCTTTCGGCGGATTGAATGTTGGATCGATGGATAAAGTTCGGATTGTTTAATCGGCTTTAAGAATTGATTCCAGTTGACGAGATTCACGATTGTCACCTATTCTGGTAATACAGCTACAACAATCCAAAGCTTTCCCACTAATTGGAATATGTCGACAACGATAGAGGCAATTAAAGCTATCAAATATCAGTCAGGAACTCTAAATGATCAATTATCGTTGTAAGCTTGAAAGTTGGCCAACTTTGACTTCATAAACAAATTTAGAGCTTATAATGAGATTTGGAAACAATATGAAGCTTATTCAAGAAGCTATGCATCGTTGTCAGCTGTTGTGGTAACGGAAAAGCTTTGGTTAGTTTATTCAGCTCAAATTTGAGATCAACACAAGTAATTCTGCGATTTAAATAGAATTTTCTTTAAATTATTCAACTTATTTCTTTTCAGGGACTCAGACAAAGAAAATGCTAGTGCTAAGAAAGAATTCCTGAACTCAAACGGTGTTTTCTTGTTTGGAATCGGACTATCGATGGATTTAACGCAATTTGAAAATGCCAATTTGACGTGGGATGATTACATAGTTTGGATAAAGTTTTTGATGTCTATTTGTAGCTTTTTAGCTAGTTGATGGGAATTCATTGGTGCCTGGCAGTAAGCCAGCAATCACAACCACAAATTTTATCCGAGATTCAGCGTGCGCAAATTTTCCTGGACGAGGTTGGTGACTTTTGGTTTACCGTATTCTCTCTAATAGTAGTGCGCACTTAAGCGTTAAGCGCCGTTCAGCGTTAAGCGCACGTTAAGCGCCGCAAAAAGTAAGTCAACCTCAAACTTTATACAGGTATATAAGAGCAAAAAATGACTATAGCTTTGCGCGAAAAAAATGACTATAGCTTTCGTAAGAAAATTTGAGTTAATGTACCACTAAAACAACGTGTAGAAACAACAAAAAGATGTTTTCGCACTTTGCACAATAATTTTAGTTTAGCTAACTAGCAATTTAGCTAACTAACAAGTTAGCTAACTAGCTAACTTTTTCAGTTGAAGAATAGTTAACAAATGAATAAAAAAAGCCTCACTTTTGCTTGCTTGAATAGCTTTAGAAGCATAAAGATATTAAAGACATAAGCATAAAGATATTCAGTCAAAAAGGTTTAGATGAAAAAGAAGCACAATAAATGCAAATTTTCAAGGGTGCACTACTATTTTTTTCCACCCCCTCTCGGACCGCAATACCATTAGAGAGTGCACTACTTTTACGGAGAATACGGTAGATTGAGTACAGATCATGTAATCATGTGATCATGTGATCATACAGATCAGATCATTTGATCATACAGATCAAATCATTTGATCATACAGATCAAATCATTTGATCATACAGATCAAATCATTTGATCATACAGATCAGATCATTTGATCATACAGATCAGATCATTTGATCATACAGATCAGATCATTTGATCATACAGATCAGATCATTTGATCATACAGATCAGATCATGTGGCTTTATCAAATTCATTAATAACTTTACTAATAACCTTTCAGGAAACTCAGCAACTCCACCTCCATTCAAACCCACTCAAGCCATCTTACACCAAAAGGATCCTTTGCCACCACAAACTTGGCCTGATATTTGTATTGTTTTAGGTAAACTTTTGCGAGATCTGTTCAATTGTGTAAAGATTTTGATATTCGACCTGAATCTAAACTTACCATCGGATTTAAAATCGCTTTTTCAATGATCTCTTTCAGATACCTCTGCAGACTTTTCTGCAACTGGATCTGCGCTGAATGATGAGGGATTTGAAGTGGTGAGTCTCCAATAAGTCTTCAATAAAGCAAGCACAAAAATCACTTTAGGTTCGACTATTCCTCATCAACACGCTTATCAAATACAGAATTGGTCCGGAGCTGGGTTTAACCCAAATTGCGCTTGTCACCTTTGATCAGGATGTCAAGGTTGGTTTTTATTTTAACTGACAATAAGTAGAGAGCTTGGGATTAATCCGATTTTGAATGAAACAACTTTACCATTAGGTTGTGTTCCACTTTAATCAACATACCAGCTGGGATTCATTGTACAACGCACTAACCATCGACTGGCAATATGGCCCTTCAGCCGATCACTCGAACATCAAAAGAATTGATGAGTTAGTTGGCAAGTCTTCTTTAAAAATCAATATTTAGAGTTATGAAGCTAGTGAAAGATCAAGTCTATCAACCGACAAATGGCTTTCGATCAAAGGAGAATTGGCTTTGGTTTCTGACAACTGGAGAGTGAGTGAACTAAACTATCGCTTAATCAAATTCTTAGCGACAACTTGGACACAAACGATCTCTATCAAGGCTCTTTGCACTCACTAGCTGGTGTCGGGGTGAATATAATGGGAATCGCTTTGGGAGACATTTCGGCAACATTCATGAAAAACATCTCCAACAAATATGTGACAGTGAAAGACTATTTGAATGCAGAAATGGGATTGGGTACTCAAGAGGACACATGTGGTCCGACTATATATGAAGTGACAACAACACAGTGTAAGTTATGAGGACTTACAAAGACGTTGAGTTGTATGCTTGAGGCTAGAACACTTTACTTCTGATCAAGACTATGGCAGCCGGGCTTTAGCTGTAAACATGTAAATTAGACCAGAGCAAGCCTGGACAGAAGCTGGATACCAGACCAGACGTATATAAGGCGGCAGCGTATATAAGACGGAGCAATCTGGATCCAGGCCTGGCGCTGGCCTTGGAGATTAACCAGATAAAGTGTAGTGCTATCAGATTTAAAGACAAAAACATACTGCCCAACCTGCTTATTCCATTCTCATCTAGCTGATGATCCACCACCAATTCCATCAATGAAAGCTGATGTCGTATTATGTATTGATTTGCAAATGGATCAAGAAGCGATTGGTTCCGTTCAAGGATTTCTATCCAACTTTATATCGGTTTGAAATCATTATTTATGAAAATTGATTCATTCAAGTCATTCACTATTGGAAAGGAAAACTCTCATTTCGCAATTGTGGCCTTTGACTCAAAAGGGATAAATTCTTCTCGTTTGATGAATGAGCCTCAAAGCGCAGAGGTTTGGATGCTCGTGCAGAGTTTGAAGATAAAGCAAAACTTAGAACATTTTGGACTTCATTCGAACGATCAAGTCCAATTCTGGCGATAAAAGTGTTAATGCACAATTCGACGCGTAAGTTTTGTTGGAGTTAATAGAATGAGAAAAACTTTAGTGCTATTGACTTCATCTTGTCGACTGTGAGTGAGAATGGAAAACGAAATTCAACGTCCAGTTTTGTGATTTTCTTCACGAAAAATCAGGACAAGTTGGTTTAGTTTCCATTTTTCGAAATTCTTTGACTCTTGTCCGGTCATTCTGAAAGAGCCAATCTAGCCAATCCATTGAAGCAGCCAATCCATTCAAAATATCCGGTAAATTGATAGGAGCCAAACCCATTCCAGATCACTTACACTTAAATTGAATGATCCATTTGAAAACCAATTCGTCCCTTCGATGTTCTTCTTGAATGGCTCATTTATTCCTCCATTTGCTTACCAACTTATGGGCAATGTTTGTAAATATAAAAATAAATGACAATTTGTATATAGAAACCATACGCTTATCTCGTTAATAACCTTCAAGATTGGTCAATCAATACAACTGGCCAAAGATCACCGATCCAGCGGTTTTTCAATGATCTAGAAGCCGGTTTAGATTTGATTTGTTTTAAAAAAGATCAGCTTTAGAAAATCTTATTGTTGTCCAAAGCCAACCGATTCAAACTGTTGATGTTTCAGCTGATATTGTGATCGTCTTGGATCTGGCAAATCTTGGCAATGACTTTAAGCTGGTGAGTGTTATCAATATGAGCCTTGATCTACAAGGGTCTACTCTACAGTCTACTGTATAATCTACTCTATAATCTACTCTATAATCTACTCTATAATCTACTCTATAGTCTACTCTATAGCCTACTTTATGATCTACTCTATAGTCTACTCTATTCTATAGTTCTATTCTAGTTCTAGGTACAGGCTTAGGTACTGCACTTTATTTCTAAACCTGCCAAACAAACTGCCAGCCAAACACAGCCAAACAAAAAGTGTCTACAGTAGTTTCGAGGTTCCAAAGTCTAAAACTCCTGCTACTATTTTAGATTCAGGTTCAGATACCGTACTTTATTCCAGAACCATAACCTAAATAATATAAGAAAGTAATTACAGCAGTTTTCAAGTCTCAAAGAATGCCAAAGTTCAAAAGATATATCAAAATCCAAAGTATCAAAATCCGAACACCGTTCCAGGTAATCGATTACTTCACCAACTTTGCCGAAAAGTTTACAATCGGCCTTTTCAAAGCTCAAATTGCTGGAGTTTACTATTCCAACAAGCAAGAGGGAGAATTTTACCTCTCCCAATGCTCAAATGCTTCATGTCTTAGCGATCAATTCAAGTCTTGGCACAACTCAAACGCTAATGATCCTAGTCTTTTAGTGGAGTAAGTTGAGGTTCTAGTTTGTTAAACTTTCTTTTAGTATCCTTGATCATATCAACAAAAACCAGTTGATCTCCAAACAAGGATGGCGTCAATCGCAAACCTTTGTCCTAGTTTTTAGCGCTGAAACCAGGTTTGTAGATCAGCTGGTTTACGGATCAGCTGGTTTGTGGATCAGCTGGTTTGTGGATCAGATGGTTTGTTTAGTGGATCAGCTGGTTTACTGAATTTAGAGCCACATGGGATGAAAATCGAATGATAATAGCCGCACGGGAATTGCATGACAAAAATGCTTATCTATTATACATTGATATGAGCAATGAGAAAGTCAAAAGAGAACAACTCACCTCGTTTGATGACTATCTACCAATTGGTTCTCCAAAAAGTCTAATCAATGGTTCAGAAGCTGATCAAAAAATCGTGCAACAAGTTACATCAAGTATTAGGTTCATTTTGCAAGAATATATTCATTAAATAGGTTATCAAAAATATCGCTTTCCATTGCCAAAGAATCTTACGGAAGTTGTCGCTGATTTTGTTTTTGTTGTCGATGTCTCAACAGGCAAGATTCTGACCCAGGTAACCAAAAGCCTTGACCATTCAGCATTGAGCATTGAGCATTGAGCATTCAAAATTAGGTAAAAGATCTTGTTGGTGATCTAGTCGACAAAATGACGATCAATGAGACGGGTGTGCAGGTTATCCTTTTGGAATTACTTTTTAAAACCTACTTTAGGTGGCATTCATTGCATATTCGAACGAAGGTCAAATAAACGGATCAACATTTGATCTTAATAAGTATCCCGATTTTGAAAGCTTATCAAAGGCTATTCAAGAAATACCGGACTTTCCGATTGAATCAGAAACAAATCTTGGATCAGCGCTAGAATATTTGAATCAAGAAGTGCTAAAGGAGTCCAACGGTTTGCGTGAGACTCTAACGTTTGTCACGTTCTTCAGTGCAAATCCTAAGTACGTCTAAGACTTGATTTTGGATATATTCATGCTTTAGCTTCACATCTCCTTTACAAGACTATCAGGAGGCGTATTCGGCTCTGCAAAAGAATACATTACTTAATCTTTACGCATTCAATCTAGCTGAGAGTGATCAAGCAGATCGATTGGAAAATGCACTGAAATTAGTATTCACAGATTTGTTGGAACTCTAAAAAATTGTACTTAGGTAGTACCATTATCAACGCAAGTCGTCCAGACTACGAGCGTGCTTCCTGAAGCCAGTGCGATCAATGGAAATGATGGATACTTCAAATATATTATAAAAAGTTAGTGCTTGGAAATGAATAAACTAGAAATGGAAATTGAAGATTAATTTTACAGTTCATTAATCATAAAATTCATTTAGCATACACGAACTTCATCAACCAAGTGGTCATCACAACTACAACCGTTGCCTCTACTACCACTCCCGAACAGACTACAACTCCGGCTCAAACAACACATGGAAAGAGTACGACTCCAGTTCAAGAAACAACAATGAGTCTAGAACAAAGCACTGAACGCTCAACAATTTATACAACAACCTTTGATCAGAACACTACTCGGCTCGACACAACTGTACCAGTCATTACGTCAACCTTAAAACAGCACACATCAACTCGAGGCACAACGCAGCCAACCACCGAATCAATGAATGTAAGTACTACAAGCGTGGCAAATTCTTCACAAACAACGACAGAGCAGCTCACGATAACTTCGTCCAGCGTCAGTTCTACAGCTGTTGCATCCACGACCTTGGGTAGTGTAACAAGTGATTCATCTACCTCAACGACAGTATCTGCCACAACAGAACTAGCCAGCACAACTGGAACAACCGAAACAACTGGAACCACAGTATCTGCATCAATAGCAACCTCGGCAGCAACAGAATCAGCTGGAACGACAGCATCTGTTGCTACCGATTCAGCTGGAACGACAGGATCTGCATCAACAGCAACCTCGGCAATGACAGGATCCGTTGTAACAGAATCAGCTGGAAAGACAGGATCTGCATCAACAGCAACCTCGGCAGAGACAGGATCTATTGCAACAGAATCAGCTAGGACGACAGGATCTATTGCAAGAGAAACCACGGCAACGACAGGATTTATTGCAACAGAAACCACGGCAACGACAGAATCTATTGCAACAGAAACCACGGCAACGACAGAATCTATTGCAACAGAAACCACGGCAACGACAGGATCTATTGCAACAGAATCAACTGGAACGACAGGATCTATTGCAACAGAAACCACGGCAACGACGGGATCTATTGCAACAGAAACCACGGGAACGACGGGATCTATTGCAACAGAAACCACGGCAACCACGGGATCTATTGCAACAGAAACCACGGGAACGACGGGATCTATTGCAACAGAATCAGCTGGAACGACAGGATCTATTGCAACAGCAACCACGGTAACGACGGGATCTATTGCAACAGAATCAGCTGGAACGACAGGATCTATTGCAACAGAAACCACGGGAACGACGGGATCTATTGCAACAGAAACCACGGGAACGACAGGATCTATTGCAACAGAAACCACGGCAACGACGGGATCTATTGCAACAGAATCAGCTGGAACGACAGGATCTATTGCAACAGAAACCACGGCAACGACGGGATCTATTGCAACAGAAACCACGGGAACGACGGGATCTATTGCAACAGAAACCACGGCAACCACGGGATCTATTGCAACAGAAACCACGGGAACGACGGGATCTATTGCAACAGAATCAGCTGGAACGACAGGATCTATTGCAACAGAAACCACGGGAACGACGGGATCTATTGCAACAGAATCAGCTGGAACGACAGGATCTATTGCAACAGCAACCACGGTAACGACGGGATCTATTGCAACAGAATCAGCTGGAACGACAGGATCTATTGCAACAGAAACCACGGGAACGACGGGATCTATTGCAACAGAAACCACGGGAACGACAGGATCTATTGCAACAGAAACCACGGCAACGACGGGATCTATTGCAACAGAATCAGCTGGAACGACAGGATCTATTGCAACAGAAACCACGGCAACGACGGGATCTATTGCAACAGAAACCACGGGAACGACGGGATCTATTGCAACAGAAACCACGGGAACGACGGGATCTATTGCAACAGAAACCACGGGAACGACGGGATCCATTGCAACAGAAACCACGGCGACTACAGAATCTATTGCAACAGAATCAGCTGGAACGACAGGATCTATTGCAACAGCAACCACGGTAACGACGGGATCTATTGCAACAGAATCAGCTGGAACGACAGGATCTATTGCAACAGCAACCACGGGAACGACGGGATCTATTGCAACAGAATCAGCTGGTACGACAGGATCTATTGCAACAGAAACCACGGGAACGACGGGATCTATTGCAACAGAAACCACGGGAACGACGGGATCCATTGCAACAGAAACCACGGCGACTACAGGATCTATTGCAACAGAAACCACGGCAACGACGGGATCTATTGCAACAGAAACCACGGGAACGACGGGATCTATTACAACAGAAACCACGGGAACGACGGGATCTATTGCAACAGAAACCACGGCAACCACGGGATCTATTGCAACAGAAACCACGGGAACGACGGGATCTATTGCAACAGAATCAGCTGGAACGACAGGATCTATTGCAACAGCAACCACGGTAACGACGGGATCTATTGCAACAGAATCAGCTGGAACGACAGGATCTATTGCAACAGAAACCACGGGAACGACGGGATCTATTGCAACAGCAACCACGGGAACGACAGGATCTATTGCAACAGAAACCACGGCAACGACGGGATCTATTGCAACAGAATCAGCTGGAACGACAGGATCTATTGCAACAGAAACCACGGCAACGACGGGATCTATTGCAACAGAAACCACGGGAACGACGGGATCTATTGCAACAGAAACCACGGGAACGACGGGATCCATTGCAACAGAAACCACGGCGACTACAGGATCTATTGCAACAGAATCAGCTGGAACGACAGGATCTATTGCAACAGCAACCACGGTAACGACGGGATCTATTGCAACAGAATCAGCTGGAACGACAGGATCTATTGCAACAGCAACCACGGGAACGACGGGATCTATTGCAACAGAATCAGCTGGTACGACAGGATCTATTGCAACAGAAACCACGGGAACGACGGGATCTATTGCAACAGAAACCACGGGAACGACGGGATCTATTGCAACAGAAACCACGGGAACGACCGGATCTATTGCAACAGAAGCAGTTGGTACGACAGGATCTATTGCAACAGAAACCACGGGAACGACGGGATCTATTGCAACAGAAACCACGGCAACGACGGGATCTATTGCAACAGAAACCACGGGAACGACGGGATCTATTGCAACAGAAACCACGGGAACGACAGGATCTATTGCAACAGAAACCACGGCAACGACGGGATCTATTGCAACAGAATCAGCTGGAACGACAGGATCTATTGCAACAGAAACCACGGCAACGACGGGATCTATTGCAACAGAAACCACGGGAACGACGGGATCTATTGCAACAGAAACCACGGGAACGACGGGATCCATTGCAACAGAAACCACGGCGACTACAGGATCTATTGCAACAGAAACCACGGCAACGACAGGATCTATTGCAACAGAATCAGCTGGAACGACAGGATCTATTGCAACAGCAACCACGGTAACAACAGGATCTATTGCAACAGAATCAGCTGGAACGACAGGATCTATTGCAACAGAATCAGCTGGTACGACAGGATCTATTGCAACAGAAACCACGGGAACGACGGGATCTATTGCAACAGAAACCACGGGAACGACGGGATCTATTGCAACAGAAACCACGGGAACGACGGGATCTATTGCAACAGAAACCACGGGAACGACGGGATCTATTGCAACAGAAACCACGGCAACGACGGGATCTATTGCAACAGAAACCACGGGAACGACGGGATCCATTGCAACAGAAACCACGGCGACTACAGGATCTATTGCAACAGAATCAGCTGGAACGACAGGATCTATTGCAACAGAAACCACGGCAACGACGGGATCTATTGCAACAGAAACCACGGGAACGACGGGATCTATTGCAACAGAAACCACGGGAACGACGGGATCCATTGCAACAGAAACCACGGCGACTACAGGATCTATTGCAACAGAAACCACGGCAACGACAGGATCTATTGCAACAGAATCAGCTGGAACGACAGGATCTATTGCAACAGAATCAGCTGGAACGACAGGATCTATGGCAACAGAAACCACGGGAACGACGGGATCTATTGCAACAGAAACCACGGGAACGACGGGATCTATTGCAACAGAAACCACGGGAACGACGGGATCTATTGCAACAGAAACCACGGCGACGACAGGATCCATTGCAACAGAAAAGACGGCAACGACAGGATCTATTGCAACAGAATCAGCTGGAACGACAGGATCTATTACCACAGAATCAGCTGGAACGACAGCATCTGCTACAACAGAATCAGTTGGAACGACAGCATCGGCTACAACAGAATCAGCCGGCCCAACTGCGACAACAGAATCAGTTGGAATTAAACATAAAACCGTTCTCAAAGCTTTAATCTAAGCAACATTATCTTTTCACAATTGCGTTTGAATAAAGAGATTATTTAGTTCAAAAATGCATCAAGATACTCGGCTAATTGCGAAAATACTGAACAAATGGAACAGTCAGTCATTTTCCAGGCAAAGAAGCAAATGATTTCATGAAAAATACATTTTTTTTTAGAAATTGTTCTGATAACCCGGTTTTATTGCATTTATTGCATAAGAATAGGAAAAGGAATAAAAGCTAATCTTCACCTAAATTTTGTCAACAACTCACCGCTTTTCTATAGAATTTCAAGCAATGCCATCCCAACAAAGTCTCCGGAGATCAATTATACCAGTTTGTGCCTATAACTTTTTAAACTTTTGTAATTCTAATTTTGACTCCTTTGGATTTGAGCCAATTTAGGTCATTGTTTTTTTGATTGTGGGTGTGCTTTTTATCGCAGCCGGTGCGGCAATGCTCGGAGTTGGCATTCATAAAATTCATCAAAGTCTGTTTTTAATCGAGCCACTAAAACAGTCAAATAGTTTTTTAGGTAAGAAAACTGCAGAATCTTGTACTTGTCCCAGTGCGTCATCAACGTTTAAGCCATTGCCAACAACTGAACCTGCAAGGACTTCAACTTTGAAAACAGAAGTGAGCTTGAGATCTGGATTCAGTCCAGATTTCTTAGCCCAGTCCGTTCAGCCCGGTCAGTCAGTGGACTGGACTAGACTGAAATAAACTGACTTTGACCGAACTTGGAATGGACTAGATTAACTGTGATGAACCAGATTAGATTAGATTGAACTGAACCAAGTTTAGAGAAATAAGGAACTAGATTTAGAGAGAAAAGGAACTAGATTTAGAGAGAAAAGGAACTATATTAGGGAGATCAGGAGCCAAATTTAGAGAGATAAGGAACCAAATTTAGAGAGAATTGAAGCTTATATGTACTAACAGTTGTTCAAGAGGCTCTTTATAGACAGCATCAAGTCCTACCACTCTCCTAACTTCACCAGCAAATGTCCCGGATTGTAATTTGGTTAGTTCAACGAATCTTGTAACAATTTTTTGAAGAATAAACTTACGGAAGAAAGGTCAAAAGAATGACTTGATTGAAAAGAAAGAAAGGAAAGAAAAGGAAGAAAAAAAAACGGAAAAGCTTATCTTTAAGCGTTCATTTGCACGATAAACCTATAAAATTTTGTTTTATTTGTGAATTTTAATACAGCGTACCTGCCTTTCTTGACATTTTCTATTTAGACGTCAACCACGACAACCACTCCAACCACGCCACCAACCTCAACGACTTCATACGATCTTAGCAGCAAGGCGGTGATTGCAAACTTTTTACTTAACTTCATTTCAGTTTAGTTTGAATTAATCTTTATCGTTGACATCTCAGCAACAGCAAAGAGATATTTTGATGACGTAATAGCCAATATTTAACTAATAAACATCAATTCCAGTACATTTCATTCATCAAGAATTTTCTCAACATTTTCACCGTTTCCTCACTTTCAAACAGCAATTTCGCTCATGTTGGCATTTACGGGGTTTCGCCGGATCCAAACTATGAACCCACGTATTGCTCACTGGGACAACTTGGAATGGTTGCTTAGCTACTCGATGCTTAGCTAGATCTAAAATATAATCTTCAGGATGATCTATCTGGCTGCCTGATCGTGATTCAAAACTCAATCACCAACAAGATTGGGCAATATCTGAGAAAGTGAGAAATCCAATTTTCTACAAGTTCTGCTTTTTAGATCTTTAGATCTAGTCCAACAAAGTATCGATGATGGAACGTATCGCTCTCGAATCGATAACCATTGGATCATCTATCTAACCTCAGCCACAAGCATCACACAATCAGCGGACGCAGTTGCGAAAGCGAAATTTTTCAAAGATGGCAAATATTTCTCTTTTGCTGGGATTTCTTACAATGGAATGCCTAGGGAAAACATTTCGGTAACTGCAAATTTTTTGATTGAATTGTTAGCTTTCACAGATTGTCACTGGTGGCTACACTTGTACCTACGTAACGAACAGCTTCAGCAGTCTGACAACAACCGTGACTAAAGATCTGCAACAACAAATTTTTGACAATCAGAATGATTTGTGCATGAGTTCTTGACAACTTCTTTTCATGAGACTTCCAAATAATAAAACGAAAAGCTTTTCTTATCTTAAATGTTTACTGCCAACAGAAAACCTTTGAGCGTCACTGGTCAAATTATTTCTCAAGTTAATCTATTAGGGTGTCCAGAGAATCTTTTCGTTCCTTTTCGTACTTCCGTTGAAAAACAAAAAATTAGCTAGGTGTCACCGAGTTCATTTGTGCTACCGCCCGATGCACTCAGAAGAGTACAAATCTCCGTATCCGGGTACGGGAATATTAACCCGTTTCCCTTTCGATTGCCGAGAGAGAAGAGACTTCCCCCTATCAGTGATACAAGACTTTCGTCAGTATCTTAGGATCGACTGACCCACATTCAACTGCTGTTCACTTGGAACCCTTCCCCACTTCAGTCTTCAAGGATCTCGCTTGAATATTTGCTACTATGACCAAGATCTGCACCGATGGAAGCTCCAGCTGGACCCACGCCCAAAGCCTTCAACGCCAAAATAAATAAAAAGCTCTAAATAAAAAGCATCCAATTGCCTTGCTTTAAATAAAAAGCATCTATCTTTCAATTTTCCATCTTTTTAAGTCAATTTAGGTTAACTGTCAAGCAAATTCGCGAGTGAAAACACGTGTTTTTTCGTAAAAATCTATAAAGCCTCTACAAAGAAATTGGGTGAATGAATTTCTTTGAAAATTTGGCTATATACCTAACTTTTTGTACTCTACCTTTAATCTATTGACACCAAAATCGGTTTCTTTGGATCAAAGTGTCTAAATCGCATCATCGACCCTCATTGATCATCGAATCCGCATCATCGAACCGCCCTTTTTGACTACCCGACTTCATACTCTCAAAAAAATCCAGACATAAGACATTTTAAACCCATTTTAATGTTATTTTACAGAAAAATAATTGACCTTTCTAATAAAACAAATCGTAGTTCAATTGATGCATTTGTTGGTTTTAAACGGAAGTACAAAAGAAACAAAAAGGCTTTCTGGAGAGCCTAATATTAGGCAAACTAGCAAGTCTTGGCATACATTTTTATAGTTAATTTTGAAAATGATTAAAAGCCAAGATATTGAGCATTGTTTGACTGTCAAGAAAGCTATGACTCACAACTAGTAGAACTTGTATCAAATACTGAAAGGTTTACCAAAATTGTACCGTGTAACAGAAAAGCAGTAAGTGTACCAGAAATGTGTAATGGTTGATATTAAAACGAAAGTTTGCTTAAGTGATGATCAGAATGTGTACCATAGGCGCCAAAACAAAGCCAAAACAAAGCCAAAGCGAAGGTTGCACCAAGAAATGTAACTGTTTCTGGAAGCGAGCAAATATCTCAAAAATTTCGTTGAAATCTAACCCCATATTACATAAGAATGATCTCCCCACTTCCCGAGAGTGATTTTTTTGCACAAACTCCTCGAAACAGACGATGACTTATGCAAATGAGCAGGTCGGCGCTGTGCTGGTCAACTGTCCTATAAAGGTTTATTTCTGCGACAAAAGTGCGACCATCCATCCCCAACCTTTCCTGTATCTAGGTACAAAGTATCAAGGTTTCAATTTTTAAACTTTCTTTAGAATCTCGCAAACATGAAAGATGATAACTTCACGATGTTGGCCTCATTTCTGCTGGGCGTTCTGCAGCTGTTCACCCTATTCGGCTTTGATCTGATTGCTTTTATCGTCGAATCGATTGCCCATTCAGTGCACAGTCGATGTCCTGATTGTTTGATCGAATTTGCTGGATATTATGGGTAAGTAAAGCTTTGCTCATAAACAGGGTAATTTGTTTAATAACTATAACTGTCCTGATATAACTTCATATTAAAATAGAGATTCAAAACCGACTTATTGAAACATTTACAGTATTCAAATAAACTACAGCTATGGAAAAATGAAAATTGATTATCTTCCAGTCAAAGTGTTCTCTATTTTGTCTACACTTTCTCCAATTTGATCGCTCCTTGCATTCTGCATCTCTTGGGCATCAAGAAAACATTCGTCGCCGCATCTGTTTGTTTCGCTATCTACTGTGCGAGCTTTTTCCATCTTCGAAATTACCTTTATTTCCCAGCGAGTGTTCTTGCTGGACTTGGATTTGCATGTAAGTTTTGACTTGAATCACTATATCTAAAATTTTAGTGTTTTACTGTGGCGGAGGTGCTTATGCGGCAAAGCACTCAACAGATCGAACTTTTTCGAGAAATCAGTCGATCACTTGGATGTTGGCTAGCTCAAGGTAAGCTGAATTTTGCTTAGGTTTACCCTGGATCTGTTCAACGATCTGTTCAACTGCGAGTTCAACTTTAGATTAAGTTAGAGTATATGTTTTCCAAAATACCTTTAACTTTCAAATCAAACAAGCCAAAAACATTTAGCATGGTCGTTTGCGGCATCTTCATGATCTTTTCGGCTGAAACGGTGAAGGGATTGGGTATGGAAATGGAATCGCAATCAAACATTACAGTAAACAAATATAATAACAACAATAAATCCATTTCATTTCCAGAGTAGCGCCTCTTATCGTGAATATTCTGATTTCGAGATCAGAATCTTGGCCATTGGAACGTTGGCTGTCAGTGTTATGGGAATCATATTGGCTTGTTTGTTGCCAAGACGAGAAATCAAAGGATCTCTGTTTGAGAAAACCGAACCAGTCACATCTTTTCGAAAGCAATTGGGTAAGTACAATTGAAATTCTTCTTAAATTGAGTAAAGGAAATGTTCAGGAATGGTTGGATGGGCTTTGAAACAAAAAAGGAATGCTCAAAATGGTACCTTTCTTCCTGTTTACCGGCTTCTTCACGTCTTTTTGGCTAACCATTTACCCGACAACGATGACATTCACCGATTCATTCGCAGAATACTCAAATTTAGTCGCCTATATTTGCATGAGTTTGACGGCTGGAGAATTGATAAGTAAAAAGAAGGCCAGCTAAATTTGATCAATCTTTAATTTAGTCGGTTTTGTGATCAGTTTCATGAACAAGCGAATCAAGGATTTTGGATTGGCGCCTTGTATGGGAATTGCTTGTGTCGTTTACGCATTCACTTCTTTTCTCATTCTTCTCTACGTGCCACCAGAGTCGAATCTTCATCCAACGAAAGAGATCTCGTACATGGAACCAAGGCGAGTTTTTTCATCGGCCAGTATCAACATTTGTACTGACTTACTGTATTGTTCTAGTACCGTAATTATTAGAATAATTGCGGTACTAGAACTTTGCAGTGGCTGTACGTTTAAAGACCCATTCCAGCTTTTCAATGGCGATCTTCATCGGTGTGCTTTGCGGTGTTGTTGACGGAGCAATGCACAATGTGAGAATGACAGCCGCCGCAAAAGCTGTACCCACTCAACCAGCCATCGCATTTTGTCTCACCAAATTTTATCAAGTAAGAGCTGAAACTTGACTCATGCATATGAAAAGCTACTGTAATTATAGTTACAATAACAGTAATGTTACGTCAATATGCTCAAAACTCTTTCAGGCCTTATCCTCGACTGCCTTCTACTATTTGAGCTCGATGCTGAACGTGTACAAATTAGTATCACTGATGACGGTGAACTTGCTGATAGGTAAATCCTAGAAAATGTACTGTAACTGAAAATATTCAGGTTTACTTCTATTTATGTCTTTCTTAAAAGACTTGCGAAGGGTCTACACTGTGGAATCAATACCCGAAAAAACAAAAACACCATGTCAACCGTGACAAGCTGCTTTTGCTGAGTTTGAAATAAATTATTTATCAAGTTCAAGAAACTATACCAAAACAAAAACAATTAACTAAAATGCACATAGTCAACTCCTTCAATCCAATGCTTTTCAGCGATAAAATTCTCCAAATCGCCGCCCGTTAAGTCCAATTTCACACAAATGATGATCGGAGGGGTGGCTTCTCTAAAATGGATGCTTTTGAACTTTTAGTTTAAAGAACTCTGATTTGCTTTTCAAAAAACTCATTGACACTTAAATCTACTACCTTAAATTTAACTTACAAACTTACAGACTACAGTAAAGTTGTAAAACTTTATTCTTTTACGCTTACTTGATATGCATCACCGGAATCGTTGCTACCACTCTCCGATTGATCTCATCGTATTCCTCGTATTTGCCGTGTTGAACTTTTCTCTCGTCGACATCGTAAAAGGCGGCTACTTTGCTTTTGTTTTTTGTTGACAATGATCTAAAATTTTCGTCAATCGCTTTAGTTTCAATATGATTCATAAAAAAAATTCAACCATTCTTCAAACTATTATATTGTTTACTAAACTTAAATCTAAACAGTAAACCTACTTGAAAAATCGTTTCCCTTGTTTTCCTACACTCCAAATTGAGAAGTTGGCCAAATTGTCAAGGAATCGTGTTTGAAGTCGTTGAATCCGTAAATTCCAAATTGTTTCTTCGAAGACGCCAAAAGTTGCACAATCTGGATGATATCGATATTCAACGAGAGGCTCATCAATCTAGAACAAAACTATGTATAAAGATTTTCTAACAAATCAAGATCTCTTACAAATCAGTTCTTAAATCATACGTTATCATCATACGTCTTACGTTCTTACATTCTTACATCTTAAACAACTACACAAATAGATTTCAGAAGAATAGTATAAAAATGACATCATAGTTTTTCTCAACATTTTAAATCAAACACAAAGCTAACCTTTACAAGTTTCACTCCGAAATCCAAAGCTCGATAAAAGAAATCCAAATCCTCGGGAAATCCTTTCGCGTGTTCGTCATTGAAGCCACCAATTCTATCGAAAATCGCTCGAGAAACACACCACGTCGGAGCTATCAACGTTGAGCCATGAGATGTGTAAATCTAAAAATGAATCTTAGGTATAATCTACTTATTTTTCAGGTATAATAACAGTATTGTTCTCAAAAAGTAACCTGCACTGATAGATCCTCGTTTTTGAGAGAATTTGCCCATCGAGCAAAACGACTTGTAGAATCGGCAGGTATTCTCGTAAAGCATGATCCCAGGAATAGTCGGTCGGCTGTCTAAAGGTTAAAATAGTAATACAGGCTTTTTGTATGATGTGACAAAGCCATTTTAAAAGAGCTTAGCATGCTGCAACCCAATCACAAACAAATAGGTTTGTTTCAAACGTTTGAATATTTATATTTACCTTATTATCATTCTTCTCTATTTTCTCGTGCAATCGTTGCAGTCTTTGTCGATTTGAAACATCGTCCGCATCGCAAAAGCAAAGAAATCGTCCGGATGATTGTCGAACGGCTGCGTTCTTTGCGAATCCAACACCTAAAGAGGAATTCAAATAAGCAAAAAATAAATTCTCATTATATAAAAGTTTACCTCCTGATTTTGCGCCGCTAACCGAGACAAAGCGAATCTTCTTCTCATTGAAGCGTTTCTCCCAAAAACAAATCCTTTCTGGCGTGTCATCAGTGCTTCCGTCATCGTATAGGCTCACCTAGACGTGAAAATTTAATGCTTTTTCAGAATTATTAATAACAAACAAAAGTTGGTACTAACAAACTTCGGGCGGGGGATCACTGACTTGGTCAGACCCTATTCTAGGCGTGTTTTGCATTTTCTGGGGTAATCAAATACGCTTAATCGATTGACGATACTTTTAGCATATTTTGAACAAGTTATCACTTTGTGTTTTGTCCCTCTCTTCATTTTTACGCTTAACAACACTGCAGAGGCAAAACTTCAGCTAGCTTATCAAAATATCAATAAAAATTGTTCAGTACTTTCTAAAAATATTATCAATAGATTCATCATGCTTGATTACCCCAGAAAAAGTAAAATAACGTTGGTAAAACAGTCAAAAATACAATCTGACCAAATCGGATCAAAGTGGCGCCCGGAAGTTTATTAGTGCTCAAAAGTTCAATAATTCTTGGAAAAGTTTGAAACTCCAAGCATCTTCACAAGGTTTTAATATTTAAAAGTTGAAACATTACCTTACTTCATACGAAGTCGATGGAAAATCCTGCGAGAGAAGCGATTCGAGGCACACATCGAGAAACGGCATCCCATTGCGAACCGGCACTATGCAGCTCTAAACAAACAAAAACTCTGTTTAACTATTAATTGTTTTCAATACTTGCAAATGTTTTTCTTGAATTACTTCAAAACCTACATCTTTTTCTACCACTTTTTGTATAAAACCTAAAGAAAACTTACAAAAAGCGTACTCTCCATGAATCGATTTGTCGAACTTGTTCCACTTCTTCTTTCCGATGAGCTGGATTGGCCTGAAATGAAAACAAATGGATAAGAATAGTTTAAAGAAAAGAAAATATACAAGAACATGTAATAAAATAAACTTTAGAGAGCACTGGCTTTTTTGAAAAGAGGGGAACTAGGCCTCAAACTACAAGATTTTAGCCACAGGAGATCACTTTCTTTCTTCTTTCCTTTCCCCTCTTCCTTCCTCTCTCCTCCTGTTTCATTTTTTCGTTTTTCGCTTTCATTTTCAATGACAACTAGGCAAAGAAACAGAATCTAGCGGGAATCGAAACCCTGACCTTCTGCTTCCGGGCTGACGCTCTATCCACTGAGCTACAAACGCTAATCTTGCGAGCGAGAACGAAGGATGAAGAGCATGGTTCTCAACAGCGAAAACAATTTTTCGAAACATAAACGGATTCGCTAAAAACTTCCAGGAGTCAAAAAAATGAAAACAAAAAAGAGCAGTCTTATCAAAGCCGAGACTGGCGCATTGATGTCTCATTGATATCATCTCCGAACAAGTTTCTGCGATAAACGAAAACAAAAAATGCGATAAACTCGCAGATCGATTTGGGAAAAAGTCCAGTTCACAAAATTTGTATCTTCTCTAATATTTATTATGAAAGATGACAACTTCACGATATTTTCCTCAATTCTTCTCGGAATCTTGCAAGTGCTCACATTTTTCGGCTTTGTTTTGATGGCTTTTGTCGCCGAGCCGATTGCGCATTCGGTGAGGGAAAGATGTCCAGAATGTTTGGTGGAATTTGCTGGATATTATGGGTAAGTGCTGAACAGAGCTTTGTTAAACAAGCACTAGAAGAAGGATTACTGTGGTTCTCTAAAATTGATAAGTTTTAGAAAGTATGATTAGATATTGGATAGAGCTTTTCTAGACACTTGGGGAAAGATTATAGCTTTCAAGAGTTAAAGAATAATATAAAACACTGAAGTGAACTCTACTACTTTAGACAGTGCATCGTTTTCTTCGTATTCACTTTCACCAATTTGTTATCACCCTGTATTCTCCACTATATCGGTTTTCGAAAAACGTTGATTCTATCTGGAATTTGTCTAACTTTATATTCTTCGAGCTTTCTTTATATGAGAAATTATATATATTTCCCGGCATCATTCATTGCTGGGATAGGAATAGCAAGTGAGTTGGTTTTGCCAATCAAAATGATCGTATTCAGCTTATTTCTGTGGTGCAAGTGCTTATTCGGCGATGCAAGCGACAAGTCAAACATTTTCAAGAAATACTTCGATTATTTGGATGATCGGTGGGACAAAGTGAGTTTACTACAAAGCTTTAGTGCAAGAACAATACAGTAATCATCTGCAACAACAACTGCACTAATAAACAAGTTTTTAGCAACTTTATTAGCGCTCTATTTATGATTCTATCATCCAACTTATCAACAAGCAAAAATGACTCTGTGACAACTACACCTGCTTCAGTAGTGCAAAATTTTCGTTTGAATCTTGCAACTTTAGAGAAAAGCTACTTATCGAGACTTCTCGGAATCAGAAATTCGAATTTTAACCCTTTTTATGATTGGTATCACTTTTCTGGCAGTAATCTTGGCTTTCTTGCTGCCAAACCGCAAGATCAAAGACTCACTTTATGAGAAAACGGAACATGTTGATTCAATCAAGGCACAATTAGGTACTGCATTGATAATATTATGCACTTTGTGCTCAAGAATAGAAACAAACCCTTTCTGGTGCATTTAATCCGCATTCTTATAGAATCGTCTTTGTGAAATCGAGTATGCGAGAAAGGATCTGTTTTTCTTTGAGCAAAGTACAAAACCTGTTCAATTCCTTGTTCAAAACATCTTTCAGTCAAAGTCGGTTGGGCAATGAGACAAAAGAATCTCCTAAAATTGGCTCCATTCCTGATTTTCACTGGAATCTTTGCTCCAATTTACACAAGCATCTACACAACGACTGTTTCATTCACGGATTCTCTATCAGATCAGAAAAACCTTGTCGCTTATGTTTGCATGGGGTTAACAATTGGAGAATTCATTGGTTGGATTTGTGTTTTCCTAGCTTATCCAAATTTCTAGTTGGTTTCACAATCAGCTACTTCAACAAACGAGTCAAAAACTTTGGTCTTGGCCCGGCTTTGGCAATTTGTTGTGCAGGATTTGTTCTCTTCACAATCTTGTTCACCCTTTTCACTCCAACTGATTCAAGCATGAAGCCAACAAAAGAAATTGGTGTGTTTCAGCCAAGGTAAGCTACTTGGAGCACTAAATCTAGAGCCTTCAAACTATCTAGAGCCTTCGTTTGCTTAATCATTAGCGTTTTGTGCGGAATCGTGGATGGAGCGATGAACAATGTGCGAATGACTGCCGCTGCAAGGGCCCTACCCACTCAGCCAGCAATCGCTTTCTGTGTGGCCAAATTTTATCAGGTTTACTTCCCCATTTAAGGAACTTTTCCATAGAAAGTACCACTTACTACAGAAAGAATATGGCTACACATTTTCAACCTCATAAGCGCACCAAAACCGAAAAAGTAGTCCAATTAAATGTCAGGCTGGCCCATAATATGTATTTCGCCTTAAATGAAAGCAGATTAAGTCAAAAATGTGTCAGATTACTTAAATTTTGTTATAATTTCATTTTTACAACATTTTTTCACCTCTAGATTTCAACTTTTAGCCCGATTGGTCGAGTATAAGAAAAATTAGGGCCATTAGAAGCTCCGTAAAAAAAAAGCGTCTGCTAGGATGTATATTTTCTTATGAAATCGTGCTGAAAATGCTTCACATCTTAAAACTCTTTCTCAAATCATGTTTTTTTTGACTTTTTCTATGTTAAGTTCATAACGAAATTTTTGTTTGAACTATTTTATCTAATTTTGATTACTTTAATTGTCGCCATGTTGAAAACAAGATGAAATAAGCTTAATTTGGGTGTTTTAGAGGATTCCAAAACTAACATTAGATCAAAAGCTTAAAGGAAAAAGTAATAATTTGAATTTGATTAACCTTTTTAAAGTAGCAATAAATAATTAAAATCACTAAAAATTTCAGTGCCTTTATTTTAATCACTAGTTTTTATGGACAAAAGCATCTCCGTGCCAGACGCTTTTATTTACGAAGCTTCTAATGGCCCTAATTTTTCTTACAGTCGATCGATCGGGCTAAAAATTAAAATATAAGTGTAAAAGTCTTATAAAAATGAAACTATAACAAACTTTAAGTAATCTGACATACTTTTGCCTTTAATCTCAAGCCTGAGAAGATCTTCACTTCATACAAGGGATGGCTTTCAAAAATCTAATGCCCTTCCCCTAAACATTTTCTCTCTTTCAGGCTGGCGCAACTTCAGCCTTCTTTTTCTTCAGCTCATTTCTTAAAGTGTATCAAATTGTGGTTCTTCTTTCTATAGTCTTACTCATTGGTTCGTTTATATCGTTTCAATTAACTCTTGTTTTAGGTATCGTTTTTCTTATTTGGCTGATTAGAGATCTTTCTCAAACATCTATAGCAAGTGAAGAGTTGAAAATCGTCAAAAAAAAGTCTTTCACACAGGAAAAATGAATAAAACTTGAGTAAAGCTTTAACAAAGAAATAAAGAGTTTCAGGAATATGAAGAGTTTTGAAGAGAAATGAGAGAAAAAGGAAAAGAAAGACAAGAAAGAGCCAGCTACCTTTTCCTTTTCCGGTTCTACGAATACTCATTGCAAGATTATTCTCAAAACAAACATAAAATCCTCTTGTTAAAGCAATAAACAAAGCAAAACGTCATCCTTTTTTCACAAATTAAAGACGCTTATTCTGCTAACCACGAGATATAAATTGAGATTTAGAAATCGTTCAGACGCGAGATATTCACAGATCGTTCAAAGACAATTTGTAGGATCATCAAAGAAATTTGTGCACATTGCATATGGAGCGTAGCTACCCTAAAATCAACTGACTTCAGGCTTTGAACTTTTTCCTTTACCGAACAAAAGGGAAAATTCAGATTCCCGGGAGCCGCGGGAACCGTTTGACAGACGCAAGTCGGATCAAAATTCATAGCGGCATCTTTTGAGCAATAATAACCAGAGTCAAACAATTGATTGCCATTCTAAAGTTTTGTGAATCCAATAAAGTGAATGATTCTAATAACCATGTCAAAAAGCATATATTGTAGCCCATCAGCCGGGCTCCCAATTTGACAAGCATAAAACGCTGGCACCGGGGTGCATCTGTAACAGCTTTAAATGATAAGAGTAAATTTCACTCACTGTCCTGTTGGTCCAATCGGCACAGGAAGAAATGGTGGAGCGTTAATTGGCAAATCGCATACACAATCTAGAGACAGTCAATTTCCTTAGATAGCTTTCAGAAAAGAGCAAGCACTTCTCATTACTAAATGTTCTTCTATTGGGTTGAGGAGAATGAAGGGGCGCCGAAAATCAAAGAAATTTCTAAAACTTCTAGCAGGCTTCTTCAAATGATACGCGTTTGATATCAATCGAAAGGTTAACTAATTCTCTACAAAATGGCATTTAAAAGAGAACTCAAACATCGTCTCAGCTCAAGAAAAGACCAAAGACCAAATCTATAAGCTGTCATCTAAAGAAAACGGTTTAGAGGGATCTTCCTGAAAATTTGGCAACTTATGTAATTGAGTGTGCTCTATCTACACCAAAAGAGGTTTATGTGGAAGAAACTGTTCAAACGACGAGTTCTTTTTAACTGTTTTTGCCATTAGCTGTGTTTGAGAGTGAAAGCTCCACGAAAGAAAAGCTTAGTAGCATCTGTCAAAAGTCATTCTGTAGAGAAATAGTGAAGCCTTTTGATAAAACAAAACATGTATTTAAAGAAGGCTTTATTTGTGCGAAAAGTGTCTTTAAAGTTCGGCGCCATTCTCCCTAGCCCAATCTTAGGCCTATTTTCTTTTTCTAACCTGGCAACGCTGGAGTAGTAGTTGTCGTGGTTGTCGTCGTTGTAGTTGTCGTTGAGGTGGTAGTTGTTGTAGTCGTAGTTGTGGTAGTAGTCGTTGTAGAGGTTGTTGTTGTGGTCGAGGTCGTAGTAGAAGTCGCTGTGGAAGTTGTGGTAGTAATCGTCGTTGTAGTAGTTGTAGATGTAGTGGTTGTTGTCGTGGCTGTAGTAGTGTCAGTATTGGTCGTTGTAGTAGTCGTTGAAGTAGTTGTGGTGGTTGCAGTCGTAGTTGTGTCTGTATCGGTCGTCTTCGTTGCCGTATTTGTCGTAGTTGCTGTGGAAGTGGTTGTAGTAGCAGTGTTTGTTGTTGACGTATCAGTATTTGTCGTCGTTGAGGTTCCTGTTGAGGTAGTCGTTGTGAGTGTTGCAGTTGTGTCGGTGTTGGTAGTAGTTGTCTAAACCAAACCAATATAGTTGTTACGATAAAGACTTTGACAACTTTCAGAATAACTTACTGTTGTTGTGGTTGTGGTTGTTGAAGTAGAAGTGGCTAAACAGATTTTAAAAAAGCCAATTTCTTCCAATATCAAAATTAAGCCGAATTCAAAATCTAATCTAACCACGACTTCATAAAAACCATCAATTCGTTTAACTTTACCCACTTGGTAATGTCGAAAACGAGAGTCCCATACAGGCATTTGTTTTTAAAATGCTAAACGTCAGAATAAGAAACAATAGTCGCACAAGATTAGACATCTTTAGAAAAATGAGGAACAAAATCTCACACTTCTTTCCCCATTTCACTCATTCCCCCCGATATTTGAATCTATCGGGAAACTTTCGATTGATCTTGTGATCTCCCTTTCTTTCCGATGCATTAGAGTGAATTAGTGCATTAAAGTGATGTCTCGCGTCTAGACAAAAGACAACGTTGGATAAGTGGGTTTGAAGAGAAAAACCCGCAAACTGTTTGAAATGTTTTTTCAAGTATTCATTCAATTTTATTAAGACAAACAAATCACGATTGTTTATAGTTAAAGAATGTAACTTAAATTGCTCCCTTCGTAGTAGTAGCACTCAGCACCGGCTGGACACTCGTTTGGTTCTGCGGTGACAGCTCAAACAAAAAGCTTTTATTCTTCTTTTATGACCTAGCTACAATAAGCTTAAATGGCTACAGTACGCCAAAAACTTCAAGAGCTCAAAAACCCACATCCAAGACTATTACTATCAGTGTATCCTTTCGGTAGAGAATCGCAACCGGGCGCATAACACATCAAAACCAAACCAAAGAAGTGAGTGAAAGATTTTACTCAAAGTCACTTTCACCAGTGTTTGATTAACCAAATAATCAACAAATAATGTAGTAGCTTAATATTGCAAAGCTTTAACAATTCCTTTTTGAATTTATCTACTGTAATAGCCTCCATTGTATCTACCATTTCAATGCCGAAGAGGGAATTGGCATCAAATTCAAGGTTCTTGACTATGATTTGGCCCCAGATGGAGATCAATTGTATTACTTTGAGAAAAACGAACATACCCATCAGTAAGATTGATTTTTGTTAGTTAATCCAGTTACAAATGTAGTCCACAACTTGAAAATGGCAACTGAAAGACGATCACTGGGAATTATGTGGCTATTGTCTTTGTAAGTGACAGCTCCGATACGGCTCGTGGCTTCAAGATTCAAGCGGAAACATGTGAGTTTTATGATAGTGGACTTTCAACTACAAGAGTAATTTTTAGATCTCACTCCAAAAGAATCATCCGGCTTCATTTTGACAACGATTTTCCTGATCTTTATCGTCGTTGCTTTTTGTCTCTTTGGTGTTTATGTAAAATTCAAAGGAAATCCAATCAATATTCCATCTTTTCGAAGTCCTTTATTCTTCTCGAGATTGAATAACTTTAACAGTCATCAAAATTATGGCTACAATGATGAACCGAAAGATAGATAATGATATGTTTGATAAATTATTGTTGTAAATGACAATTATACAATGATCAGTATGAGTATCTGCATTTGTTCTTCGTCCATTACAATCAGATTTGTAGGTAGTGTTGCTAAAAGATATAAAGCGAAGGGTTTCAAGAACAATCTCACCAAATACGCTTTGAATGGTGCTTTCTGCGTCAGCGCCAAGTTGTTTTCTCGTTGACTGTTTCAGCTACTTCTTTTAAAGCAGACTAAAGTTTTTTTATCATTTATCGAGCCATTAGTAGCAGTAAGTGTAGATGTATTATCAAATAAATCAAGAAAACAATAGCTTTTTCAATAGCTACCTTTATCTCTGGCTTGACTGTGTAAGTGTAGACCTCTTCTATGAGATTCAGGGTGGTTTCTCGATGCTTGGAAGGGACTTCTTCCAAAAATATTGCTTGAAATACACTTAGTTTCTTAAATGTAAATGATTTCCTTATGCAAAAACCAAGCAATCTCATATCTTTATTTTAAACAATCATAAATGCGATAAAATACCGAAAATTCACAAGCTCATATACCATCAAGACTAAATTTTGGCCATTTGGCAATGGTTTTTTGAAAAATTTGCTATCCAAATAACTTTTCAGTGGAATTGCCGAGAAATGCTCAATAGAGAGATCATCAAAATGAAAAGATTCCATCAAAATCCTTTGTACTTTATCCGATTCATAGGCGTTTTCCAATAAAGAGACTCCGGGAGTTTTCATGAACAATTTCTTGATTTGTTTCAAATTTGGAGCCTCGCCGAAATCTCTTGGTTTTTCTCCAATCAGCCCAACAACAGTGTCCACTCTTTGACTTGGGATCCCGTTTTGGAGAAAGATTTTCAGCGTCTCTTTGAAGTTTTCCCAGGAGCCTAAAGTTCGTTGACATTGTAATTATTGCATTTTTGTGTGAAATTTTCAATTATTTTTTTAAAGAAAATGGCTGAACGTTCGTTTTCAAATTTTACAGACTTATGTAATCAAATAAGCTCTATCTTTTTTACTTTGACACCAAAATAGGTTTGTATTGAAGAAAGTGTCCAAAACTGCTCCGATGTCGTCCGGACCTCGGTATCAGAGCAGTTTTTGGTGCTCGCCTTTGCCTCTTTGAAAATCCACAAAACAACTACTCCCAAGAATTCCTTAAGAGCCATTTTGGAGAGAAATAATCAACCTTTTTAAGAGTTCAAATAGAAATTTTGTTAGTGGAGGAATTATTTTTAAAAGACGTTTGGAAAAAAAATTGTAAAGACTTATGCACCAATCTAATACAAATAATGGATAAATTGTGGTTGGATAACCAAAATTTGTACGATAAAGTGTAAAAGAGTAAAAAGTCTTGATCCAAACACACATACAAGAAAGACAAGAACAGAAAAAACAAGAAATTTGACAAGAACTTTTTGGTACATTGCTTCTGAAGTAAGTTAGTCTAAAGAAGCTTCAAATCAGTTTAAAAATTCTGTTGTTCAGGCTAGGCCAAAAGCAAAATATCCCAGGATTATGTCTAATATAAAGAAAACTTTTGCTTTATTTTGAGTCAATGTCTATTTTATCCAATTCTCAAACCGTATTTGCTCTAATAGTAGTGCCCCCGCCGAGCCGAGTTGATGGCTATTTTAAAGTTTCCAAATTTCTCCACAAGCTCAACACTCTAATCCCCCACAAGATCTCATCGTCGGCTACATTTTCCGACCCCACATCGATAGGTTCTGATAAGCGGTTCTCGAGATTTCGAGCAATTTAGGCGACGCTCAGGGTGCACTACTATTAGAGAAAATACGGTATTTATAAACACCTGCTAGCAAAACAACGTCGGTTTTTGGTTCAGTCAACCTGTAGACTCTCCATTTCTGGCAAAAAAAAACTTTAAGGGTTATAAACTTTTAGCTTTCTTTTACTCACCAGAATCAACGAACAACAATTTGTGATCCATTGTGGACAAAGCCGGCCAACATTCGTCCAATTTCGGCCTCAATAGGAAAGTTTGCTCCGATTGATTGGTTTTCGCGATTTTAGAGAAGTCATGAATATCAGAAGTTTCTTCAGTTGCGCGTTTCATTTGAATTTCTTGAATATGGAGTGACGCGAATAATTCAAGGAAATTTGTGACTGGGGGGAGGCTGAGAGAGTGGGCTTATCTAGAGGGGAAAGACACTCGACAGTGTTGTGCAATATGGGAACACAAGAAATCAGAGATCACTTTCAAAGGAACTAGACTCTCGATATTTGTTTCTTTTAGATTTTATCAAATTATCATTTAAAATATTAGGAACTACGGAAAATAACTGGAAAATAAAATAACTTTTTCTTAATTCTTTTCAATTGCAATTTTTTTATTAAGCAACAATAAAATTAATCTAAATAACAACCGTTAGAATCAATAAATCAATCAATACAATCAATACACTGCCAACAAGTAACCAGTTTTTCGATCCCTGCAGCAAAAAAGTCGGGATGTCTAGAGGTGATGAAGTCCTCGATAGCATTTTTCACCTGTTTCGTTCTTGAAAATTTTGTTTACGATGTAACGATCGAGAAGCTTAAAAAAGTGATAATCTGTTGGAGAAAGATTAGGTGAATACGGCGGATGAGAAAGAACTTCGATTTCCAAACTTTGCAAGCAATTGAGCGCCTTCAAAGATATACAGTAGGGTCCAAAAGTTTGGAACAATCATCTTACGGCAACTTCAACTCGAGGTAACTTGCGTTAGATAAATCCAATTTTTTTTACTTTAAAAACTATTTTTGTCGCATTTTTTGTGAACTTTCTGAATATCTACTTGATTTTATTTGATATTTGATCTTTTTTTGTCTTGCGCTTTTTCTTGGAACATCCATTTCTTAGGGGTCCAAAAGTTTGGAACAAATATCTTCCGGCAACTTCAACTCGAGGTAGCTTGCGTTAGATAAATCCAATTTTGTTACTTTAGCGCAGCTTTTATTAAAGCAAAGGGATACGCCACAAAATACTGAATTTTGCTGGTTAATTGTTAAAGAAACTGTTATTTGACTAGCATTGTCCAAGAATTATCCCTTTTGCTTGATCGAAAGACGGGCTGAAATTACTCAATTTTGAATGCATTTCTTCAATTTGTTTAATATAAATGTTTGAATTTATACTTTCTGCCGTTTTAAGCAAAGTATAATGCATGACGCCCTTTTAAAACAAAAAAAAAAAAAAAAAATCTTTTTTTTATAATAATGTGTTTTTTTTTTAAAATATTTTTTTTTTTTTTTTTTTTTTTTTTTTTTTTTTTTTTTTTTTTTTTTTTTTTTTTTTTTTTTTTTTTTTTTTTTTTTTTTTTTTTTTTTTTTTTTTTTTTTTTTTTTTTTTTTTTTTTTTTTTTTTTTTTTTTTTTTTTTTTTTTTTTTTTTTTTTTTTTTTTTTTTTTTTTTTTTTTTTTTTTTTTTTTTTTAAATATTAAATAAAAAAATTTTTTTTTTTTTTTTTTTTTTTTTTTTTTTTTTTTTTTTTTTTTATTTTTTTTTTTTTATTTTTTTTTTTTTTTTTTTATTTTTATTTTTTTTTTTTTTTTTTTTTTTTTTTTTTTTTTTTTTTTAATATTTTTTTTATATTATTAATATTTTTTTTTTTTTTTTTTTTTTTTTTATTTTTTTTTTTTTTTTTTTTTTTTTATTTTTTTTTTTTTTTTTTTTTTTTTTTTTTTTTTTTTTATCTAAAATTTTTTTTTTATTTTTTTTTTTTTTTTTTTTTTTTTTTTTTTTTTTTTTTTTTTTTTTTTTTTTTTTTTTTTTTTTTTTTTTTTTTTTTTTTTTTTTTTTTTTTTTTTTTTTTTTTTTTTTTTATTTTTTTTTTTTTTTTCTTTTTTTTTATATTTTTTTTTTTTCTTTTTTTTTTTTTTTTTTTTTTTTTTTTTTTTTTTTTTTTTTTTTTTTTTTTATTTTTTTTTTTTTTATTTATTTTTTTTTTATTTTTTTTTTTTTTATTTTTTGAAATTTTTCTTTTTTTTTTTTTATTTTATATAAATAATGTAACTATTCTCAACCCCAAAATTTTATTCTCTCCCGATTGTTGTAAATTTAATTTTTTTTTTTTTTTTTTTTTTTTTTTTTTTTTTTTTTTTTTAATTATTTTATTTTTTTTTTTTTTTTTTATTTTTTAATTATTTTTTAATTAAATAAATAAAAAAAAAATTTTTTTTTTTTTTTTTTTAAATTTGTTTAAAAAATAATTATTTCACCCTTGTCTATTTTTTTTTTTTTTTTTTTTATTTTTTTTTTTTTTCCTTTTCTTTTTTTTTTTTTTTTTTTTTTTTTTTTTTTTTTTCTTTTCCTTTTCTTTTTTTTTTTTTTTTTTTTTTTTTTTTTTTTTTTTTTTTTTATTTTTTTTTTTTTTTTTTTTTTTTTTTTTTTTTATAATTTTTTTTGGGGTGTTTTTTTTTTTTTTTTTTATAATTTTTTTTATATGTTTTAAATATTTATAAAATTTTTTAAAATATTATTTTTAAATATATAAAAATATTATTTTTTTAATTTTTTTTTTTTTTTTGTTTTTTATTTTTTTTTTATATTTAATATTAATTTATGGAAAGAAAAATTTATTTTCCAAAAAAAATAAAGTGGGGGGAGGAGTTTTGTGGGGAAAAAAAATAAAAAAAAAATGCAGACTTCGTCAAATAATATGCGTTTGATATCATAGATATAGAATGGTTAACTAATTCTCTACAAAATGACATTTAAAAGAAAATTCAAACAGCGCCTCCGCTCAAGAAAAAGCCATTTTTTCACAAAAACTACAAACTGTCATCTAGAAAAAACCATTGGTGGGATCTTCCTGCAAATTTGGCAACTTAAGTAATTGAATGTGCTCTATCTTTTTTATATAAACACCAAAGAAGGTTTATGTGAAAGAAACTGTTCAAATGATGAGTCGGACTCTTTGCCATTTTAACCAGCTGCGTTTGGAAGTTCATAAACTCCACGAAAGAAAAGCTTTGTGAAATCTCTCAAAAGTCATTTTGTAGAGAAATAGTGGATCCTTTTGATGAAACCAAACGTATGTTTAAAGAAGGCTTTATGTGTGCAAAAAGTCCCTTTAAAGTTTGGTGCCGACTCATTCTCCCCAACCCAATAGTTAGGGAAACCCAGTAAACTTAGATGTTTTTTAGGCTTTTAAGCTGAAAACGCACTACGTGCTTTCATTACAATAGGCTGTACTATTCTTGAACTTAAAAACTCAAAATTCAGTTTTGAAATCATGAGAACAAGAAAAAGGCAGATGTTGCCGAAAAATCCAATTTTTTTTTGCGCCTAACAATTGATTTTTTTCACAATTTCATGAATGAACCAGTGGAGAAAAGCGGTCTAAGCACCGGCCAATTAATATTTTCTTTAATATATCCGTTGAATCTCCAAAAACAGATGCCGTTCTTGGTACTATGTACTTTATAACATGCGTTTGCTTTGCCCATGAGTTTTTGTATTTCAAATCACAACATCGAAATGTTCTTCCCGAGTTCCCAATTCAGATCCCTACTCTCAATATGTTATACGATTTTTTTCATCCCGTCAACGCTACTATTCCTTTTGGCAATCTATTTTGTTCTCTATCAGAAATCGTTGGCCTCAAACTATTACAAGAAAGTTATCGTCTTTCAACTGGTTGGTTGAGTGAAGAAATTTCTGGCTCGGTTGGACCGGATAGACTGAATCTTGGTGCTCAATCGAGGCATGCTTGGCCAGACCAACCAGCTGATCCGAGCCTGGATGGGATCCTTATCCTTCATCCTTACCACCCTAATAGTTCGGTCAGCTCCTGAGTCAGTTGAACCAGTTTCTGGTGTTTTCATCAGGAAATCATGGAAGCAAGACACATTTCTTTTTAGGTTTCCGCCTTCATCGGCGACATTATGATTTCACTAACTCGTCCGATTCTTCTAATGCAAATACGAATTGTAATCTTTCAAATGAACTGGGATCTTCCATTTGTAGGGATTGTGATCGTTCTTGTGAGTTTTCATCTCAATGAACTAGCTTTCAAGGCTTTTAGGCCGGATACATTGTGTCAATATTTTTAAGCTACGGTTGCTTTATGAATGGTTCTTTATACAAGATTATCACTCTTTATTCCCTTCCATCATATGTCGCATGGTTGCTGAATGCCTATTTTCTCGGTGGCTATGGAGTTGTTTTTGTGCTTGCAGTCATCTTCGTGGCTGGCACTTTACAAACTGGTGGATTAAGTGATGATCGGAAAGTGGTGGGATTTGGTTCTGGGAAAGAATGGTTATCCGGTCCCCACCGTTGACGCCACCGTTGACGCCACCGTTGACGCCACCGTTGACGCCACCGTTGACGCCACCGTTGACGCCACCGTTGACGCCACCGTTGACGCCACCGTTGACGCCACCGTTGACGCCACCGTTGACGCCACCGTTGACGCCACCGTTGACGCCACCGTTGACGCCACCGTTGACGCCACCGTTGACGCCACCGTTGACGGTTGAGTCCTATGTGCTGGAATCCCGCTTTCGAAGTTTCTTTTAAACTTCCCATTCCACCCTTTTTTGCAGTTTGTTCCATTGAAACGATTTTCCTTTTTTTTTGTACTGTTTTCACGCAAATTTGAGCCCATTTTATAGCAAAACTGAGCGGAAACCTTTGTTTTTCCGAAAATCCTTTGACTAACTATACAACGAATTCGGTTAGACATAACAAGCTGAAATTTTGTCTATATGTGCAACTTTTTGTGCTCTATCTTTTTTTATTGATACTAAAGGAGGTTTCTCATGAAGAAAGTTTCCAAATTACACTATCGAATCGATGCTTTGGCTTCTCTGCTCAGAAATCCCTCAAAACAAAAAGCTTTTCTCAATTTCTTTTTCGTGTTTTTATTATATTTCGAATATAATTGAGAGTTCTTTCATATAAAATGCGTTGTTTTTTTAGAATGGATGGAAAATCCTCATCTACAATCGATCATCGAATTGCACAAATGAGGAGTCTCGGCGCCGGAGATTCATAAAGTCGACAGAAGTGTCATTTTCCGCACTATACAACGCTACGAAGCTACGGAAACAATTGCTGATGCACCAAGAAGCGGTAGACGCCCAACTATTGTCACGAAGACAAACATTAAGCTAGTGAGGGACCAAATCCGGGTGAAGCCAAACCAGTCGGTAAGGCAAATAGCAAAGAAGATGGCGATTTCAAGCACCTCATTGCGTCGGATCCACAAAAATAAGCTCAAACTTACCGCCTACAAGAAAAACCAGGCTCAACTTTTTCGAATGCCTCTAGAAACAAGCGAGAATTGAGAGCAGATAGCAAAGAAGATGGCGATTTCAAGCACCTCATTGCGTCGGATCCACAAAAATAAGCTCAAACTTACCGCTTACAAGAAAAACCAGGATGCGCTTCAATGGAATCGACCATCACAATATCTTATGCACCGATGAAAAGAGATTTACCGTTCTAGGTGCATGGCCGGCTTGTTCAAAGTTCTCCAAACATCGAAAGTTTGAACAAAACCACTGCTGAAAACGTGGGGAGAGTTCGATGCAGCCTATTTGGTCGCCACCGTTGACGCCTTCCCGAAACGCCTGCGAGTCTGCTCAAATGCTAATGGTGGTCGATTCGAATTTGATAGTTCATTTATAATTGTTAATGTACAATATGTTATTGAGTTAAAAATTTGTCTTTTTTGCTCTTGTCTGCCTTAAAATCAGAACTTTCTCTTGTTGCGACAATTATGGTATGATCTGTATATGATCTGGTATTGCCTGCTCTGGTCTGGTGCTAGCCAAGGTCTGTAAGCCAGGACAGGTTCGGTTCCGGTCTCTTGGTTTCTGAGCTGGCTTTACTCCAAGTCGTAAAAAGTTCCTGGATTTGACAGAAACCAGATGTCACCCTGGTTTCAGGCTGACCTGAGCTGATCTGAACTGGCGATCCAAGCATCACAGGAAAACTTGAAGAGTCTGTTGGACTAGACCCAAAAAACTTTTTTAGGTTTGCTCAGCGTTTATCGATTCTCCGTGTGACAAATTCGATCTCCACAATGTCTATCACTTAGCCCAATTAGATTCTTTTCAATCAATATGGACAGCTATGGCTATAATCAGTTTTCTCTTGGTCGCCGGTGCACTTGGCATAGCAGTTTACAGTCTGTATCAGACATTCTTCAAACCGGCAAAAAAATCGATGAGTCAACGGACGAAAGAAATTCAGCGTTTCCTAACCCAGATGACTATTTTACAGGTAACAGTAAATCAAATTATATTCTTTCAAATATTTAGGGAACTGCCAGCATTTCGTGTTTGACTTTCCCGTACGGTTGCGTTGTTGTATCAATGGCGAATATGTTTGAAAATGATCTGCTTGTCAGTTTTATTGATATTGGTCAGTTACTTTGAATTATTTATGTGATCTCAAGCATTTATACATAAGTTTGATACCAAGGCTGCTTACTGGATTACTACCAGATCTTTAGGTATTACCTAGTTTAGTTTGAGTCTATTCTTGACTCGTCCTTGATCAACTAAAGATAAGTGACTGTCGGGATGTCGGTGTTCTTGATTACCACGTCTCTCTTTTCGAATTTACAATAGTTTAGCATGATTACGTGACTGATCTAGTCATCTTCTAACTTCAATTAGTGACTTCTAAGTTCTAAGTTCTAACTTCAAACTTCTTCTAACTATCTTCTAACTTCTGTAGTCAACCAAAGCGCCAATCTTTTAGTCTCCGGAATGGCCACATTCCTGGCAAGTTTTCACGCATCATTCACCAGTCTTATCACAATTTTTGTCTCCAAAACCTATCGCCAAATAATCATCGAGTGGATTAGAAGATTATTTGTTGTCTCTCGTGTAAATCTGTTTAAGAATGGCCACTCTATAACGCAAGTCTCTGCTACTAAATCTGCTGCCAAATAATTCAGCAATGGTTGTGTCAAACCTGTAATAAAAGAATTTTCTAACAATTTTGTGCGTGCAAGATTGCAATTCTGTAAAGATGTTTATCAAAAGAAACACAAACTAACCAAATAAAGCAAAGAAAGTAACAGAAATTGAGTGATGCAAGAAAAACGTGATTGAGAAGTTGATTCAAGATAAGTGACTTTCGGGATATCGGTCTCGTTTTTGGCAATTTTCGTTATATGAATCCTCAACAAACATCCCTCTTGATTGTCAATGCTTGGCCCATCATCGAGTGTCCACTTGACCTGATTTTAGTCAAGTATTTCAGATACCGTAATTATTCCAATAAAAGCATCCTCCCATAATGACGGGGTATTGCCGCGTAGTCTAACTTTACTTTCTCTGTTGTTCGCGCTGCTTTATGCTACAAGGTGAGCTTGGGTGTCAAAGTGTAGAGCTATATATTGGGTTGGGGGAGAATGAGTCGGCGCCGAAAATGAAAGAAATTTCTAAAACTTATAGCAGACTTTGTCAAATGATATGCGTTTGATATCCGTAGAAGGGTAACTAATTCTCTACAAAATTTAGATTTAAAAGAGAACTCAAACAGCGCCTCAACTCAACAAAGGATCATTTTTTCACAAAATCGATAAACTGTCATCTAGAGTAAACGGTTGGAGGGATCTTCCTGAAAATTTGGTAACTTATGTAATTGAGTGTGCTCTATCTTTTTTATATAAACACCAAAGGAGGTTTATGTGGAAGAAACTGTTCAAGCAATGAGTCGGACTTTTTGTCATTTTGATTAGCTGTGTTTGGGAATCCATAAAATCCCAAAAAAGAAAAGCTTTGTGGAATCTCTCAAAAGCCATTTTGTAAAGAAATAGTGGACCATTTTGATGAAACAAAACGTGTATTTAAAGAAGGTTTTATGGGGGCAAAAAGTTTCTTTAAATTTCGGCGCCGACTCATTCTCCCCAATCCAATAGAAGTATTAGGTTGTAAACTAAGCTTGACCCTTTCCCCTTTCTTAAATTGCTAATATCTCAGCGTAGAATTAATATATTTGAATGAGATTTTAAAAAGATTATTCTCAAAAACTTACAAGCTTACTGCCAAAATTATAAAGTTATTCAGCGATTAGCAACCAAGTTATAACAAAAAAACTCTGCTTCTGCCTCTGCCAAGTTAATCCTTTATTATACAGCAATCAGCTACAAAAGCTCGAAGAAGAAATGAAGAAAAAACGACTTCAATTGAAAAGTGTCATCCTTCTTCACAACAATGCCCGCTGACATACGGCAAAATTCACTCGCGCCACAATTCACAGCTTGGGCTGGGAATTCTTACCACACCCTCAATATTCTCCAAATCTTGCCCCATCGGATTATCATCTTTTCCGATCAATGCAAAATTCCCTAGATAGGGAGCATTTTCAAAACGAAGACGACCTCAAAAAGTGGCTCCAAAACTATTTCGACTCGAAGCAAAGCCAAAAATTTTCTACAAGAGAGGAATTCGCCAACTTCCAACAAAATGAGCGAAAGTTATTCAAAATAACGGAAACTATTTCGAGTAAACAGCTTGATTTGGTTGTGAATAAATTTTTAAACAAAAATGTTACCAAGATCAATCTAATCTAATATTAGATCTAATATTAGATTAGATAGGTCAATCTAATATTAGAATATTTACGGTAATTTGAGTGTTTTCTTGATTCAGCTTATTAGGTTAATGGCTCCGTACTAGGTTTCAAATAAACCAATAAGCGAGTTTGACTCTTGCTTATCTTAAACTTTTAACCTGAACTAACGAATAGTTTCATTAAAAGTAGCAGGCATAGCTTATGATAGCTTAGAATACTTTGCTCAGAATAACGTTTAGACTAAAATGATCTGAAATATTCATTCAGTATTCAAAGCAAATTACCCAAATCCTTGGAAAACCAGAGACACTGTGGTTAAAGGGCTGCGGTTTTTCGCGATTCCAACTGACACTGAAATTTAACGTAAGATACAAGTTCACTTCTTTATTCGGTTTCTAAAATCTTCAATTTACCTCTCAATAATGTTCATGTAAATGTCTTGAAAGCCGACGTAAACATTCCCGCTCAATACCTCAACAAATTCGATCGTAACAGTAATGGGGAAACTGTCTGAAAAACGAATTCAATGAATCGTACAACACAAAGACTTACAACAATAAATCAAACGATCCATAAAATAGCTGGAGTCAAGCAGCTCGTTGAATTGGTGAAAACCCTGGGTGACAAGAGCGAGAGTACCTTCACAAACCTCTTGCTGTCTTTCGGCTGTAACATTGCAAAGATGGCTTTAATTTAAAACTTTCAAACGCTACTCTTTTTCCAAAAAGCCGATGACGTGACAATGCTTGGCGAGCAGCCGGGCGGTATATAAACACTATAAAAGGAGGCATTCAACAATTGTGGAATAAAAACGTCTTCATCTCTGAAATGAAGCAAAGTTATCTGGTCAGAAACTCACTAAAAGCTGATCCAAGTGATTTAACACATTCGCGATAATACGGACCACCGGTAGGCACTTTTTTTAAAGCCAATTGAGCTGAAAATTTTCACCAGAGGTTTTCAGGGTCAAACGGTCAAACAAACGTAAACTACAAACGCTTCTAACTTGCTTCAAATCTGCCGGATTAACATGATCTATACCTCAAAAAATAGAGAATCTCGAGAGCTTTCGAATGAACTAAAGCCCACTCAAAAATATCAATGCTAAAGAAGGCTACAGTGGTTTTTAGCCTGACTCGATAGCTCGACTACGCGCGAGTACGATCTGTTTCGCTACAAACCACTGTAGCTTTCTTTAGCATTGATATTTTTGAGTGTGCTTTAGTTCATTCGAAAGCTCTCGAGATTCTCTATTTTTTGAGGTATAGATCATGTTAATCCGGCAGATTTGAAGCAAGTTAGAAGCGTTTGTAGTTTACGTTTGTAGTTTGCAGTGCCCATGTCTTCAGATTCTCTATCCCAGAAGGGCTGCCGTTACAAATTAACATAGATAGCTGTCTTACAACGGCAAAGACAAAAATGGCTTTGTCGTGAAAATGTTAATGTGTTCAAATTAACTTTCTTGACTTTACTTTTGCACATCTTATTTTCAGAGTTCATTGTTTGTTTTACCTAAAACGAAGCAAGTGTCTTCTTGAAGATTTCTGATATGGTGGGGTTCCAATAAGAAAATCGTATTCACAACTTTTTCCACGATCCTAAAACAAGAGAAAAAGTTTTAGAGCTTTTTTTAGGCTAACAGATTCATGTAAGAAAGGTAAGCACGCTTTTCGACATTCTGTACTAAGAGAAAAGTTCGAAACTTTGCCATTAATGGGATTTTATAAGAGTGGAAAACGAGACGACAAAGATTTTATCGTATCTTTCCCCCCAAAAAAGAATCCCAAATCACTGACCGAGCGAAATTTTTCAAGAGCATTATCAGAAGGAGTATTGTCAACCCATAAAATGAATGCCATCCACAGTCCTTTCTCTTGCTCCTCAATCCTTAGTGAGTCCGCGGCAGCAAGCTTTCCTTTGTAGCGCAAAAATTGATAGTCCGTTGCATGCATTTTGAAATTTAATTTATCCAAATTAAAGGATCTTCAATTAGTTGTGCTTTAACTAAACCAGCTGGGTGTTTTGGGGTAACGCATAGTTTGAACGCTCGAGTTAAAGAGCCTCTTTCCCTCCCCTCCTGCTCCCCCTCCGAGCCCTCTGTAACAATACTGAGATCTATCTCTTAATCCTTCAAAGCAATGTCGCGACCAACCCTGATATCCTCCGAAGCACCACCGACATCTATACTCGGACGCTCGGCGCAACTAATGTCGCGCCAAAAGTAAAAAAAGTTTGGAGCGGAAGGGAATCGAACCCAGCACCCTCTTGGGGCGGTCATTTTGGAGAAGGAACGCTCACAAAAGATCTTCTATCAATTAATTGAATAATTTAATGGGAAAGGGAAATTTCTGGCAAAAATGCAAATTTACCCCTTTTGCATCCATGGCGCAGCGGCCACACAGGTAGCGTCCAGATAGCGCGACCGTCTCTCGCCTACACAACCCGAGTTTGATCCCCCGTAGGTACCCCGATTTTTGCTTTAAAAAATCTAGGAGGTGAGATGCACAACTAAAACAAATCCCTTACCCAACAAAGAAAAAAGCTTATTTAGATCGGCTCGCTGGGGTCTGAGATTTTGGCCGTGCGGACGGACGGACGGACGGACGGACACTTGCCTTTTATATATAGTAGATTGATTATATTTCTTAGTGTAAAAAGAAAGAAAGCAAGAAAGATTGCATCGAGCCGGGATCGAACCCGAGATCAACCGAACCCAACGTTGCTCAACTTGGCAGATCGGACACCGGGACGCACTGCCACTCGGTCACGCGTTATCATGCATTCTTTTATTTAGCTTTTTAGGAAAGACGATTAAATTATGCATCAAATATTATTAGATTTTATGAAACTACGTAAGAAGTTGGGTTTATAATGTCAAACTTTCAGCTCGATCGGCTCAGCCGTTTTTTCTAAAATCGTATAACAGACGGACACGCCCAGAAATACTATCTCTCTAATAATAAGTCAGGATTATATAGTAAGCTAGAGTTGAAAGGCTTGTATCCAAGTGCTTTAGAAAACCTAGAGTTGAAAGGCTTGTATCCAAGTGTTTTAGAAAACCTTTTTTCAATATGAACTCTTACCATCAATCCACTTATCAACGCGAAATGCAAAGAAACTATTTTCTACGTCGAATTCATATCCAAAAACCATAATTGTTAGCGGATTTGCGACAACGAATTGACATGCTTGACGTATACGTTGGGATCTTGCGTTTCTACTAAATATTTACTTCATTTAACTTCTGCTTATTCTATTTCTGGTTCTTTTTGGTTGACCTACCTGTAAGTGCAATTCTCTAAAGTTTGCGTTTTTCCATTTACTAGCACTTGCGTTTGATTTTCGCATTCGGTTTTGAGCTAAAAGCAATGATTGATTGAAAATTGCAGAACGCTTAAAGAGCTTAAACTTTAGAAATTCTTACATCAATTAGATTTTCACAGTATTGTAAAAAGTCGACCACAAAGTTGCAATTTTGGCATTCGGCATTGATGCAAACTGGCGCGTAAGAGACTGAAAAAAAAGCATTTTCAGTGAAGAAATGAAAAGCTTGCTAGGAAACTGTTACTGTAAATAAATTACTGGAGTTAAAAAGTGTAATTCCTGCAATGATAAACACGGGATCAGTCTCTCTCAATGTAATCGTGCTCTCGTTAAAACAATGAATCTTTTCGCCTATAATATCGGTGGCAGAAAATGTGACGATGAATCCTTGTTGTTCTCCCGAGTTTTTGGGACACCAACTGAGCTAAAGTTCTTTTTTTGGATTGGCTTGAGTTACATAAAATAAATTGGCTCTTCCAGCCTCAGGCAAAGGCATTTTGCTCCGGTTAAACTTCTATCTACACACAGTTTGCTATTAGGTTGATGAAAGTGAAAAGACTTATTCATTAATTCACCAAACTACCGTAAATGCTGTATTAGAGCGATCGGTTGCTCTATTTTTCAATACCATTTTAGAAGCTCGCTCTATTTGAAGGGGTCATTTTATTTTTCATAGTTCCTAACTTGAAAGAACCATGTCGGATCATAAAAATAGTATTTCTATTAAAGAAAATCTCTCATAGAACCTATTGAATATTAAAAAAACCAAAATAAATAACAATTATGAAAAGTAACAATTAGTCAGCAAGATCAAGAGGAATATCAAAGTAAAGAAGATTAAAATCATCGCTTGCATCGTCGACTTCTTCAACGTTTGTCTCGACCTTTGTGTTCAATTCTCCCAAAAGATCGACCATTTCTTCCAGATGAGCAATCTTTAACTTTTCATAACTTAAAACAATGACGGATCAACCCGTTGGAATGACTCCATCCAACGAATCCAACGAATCCAACGAATCCAACGAATGGAATGACGTTGGAAGGCCATTTCTTGATCCAGACGAGCATTCTTCAAAAAAGAAATCTGCGAGTCACCCATTTCTTTTCATCTCGTTGAGATCGAACCCGTTCGGCAATTGATTGGTCAACTTCTGCCCCCAACAAGTGTCTTCCGCCGCCATTGAGCCGTTGAGGTCACTGAGTTGATTCGTTTGTTACTTCCAGTCGTAAATTGATGGTCGTGTCACTCTGAACTTCTTTATAATAACAATAATAATAACAATAATAATAACAATAATAATAATAAGAACAACAATAAGAACAACAATAATAACAACAATAATAACAATAATAATAGCAATAATAACAATAATAATATTAACAACAATAAGAACAACAATAAGAACAACAACAACAATAATAATAATAAGAATAACAATAAGAATAACAATAAGAATAACAATAAGAACAACAACAATAATAATAATAATAACAATAATAATAATAATAATCATAATGCCTTCCAGAAAAGGAGAAATAAAAAAATTTGCGAAAGAAGTGAGTCGCTCTAATACAGCATTTGTGGTAATAAAATTTAGCGCGCAGTGAATAAACCAACCAAAATGCAAGAACCCATCAACAGGAAACTGTGATTGTAAATGTCGGCAGTAAAACTGAAAGATTTTCTGAGAGCAAAAAGTTTACACTAACATTTGATCAGGTGGCGGATAAAGGCAGAGTGAGATCGTGGTTGGCTCATGCTCGAAAACCCTTCCACCAGTAATGTTCAAATCGCCGCCTTCTAGTGCACTTTGTTGTAGGTAAACTCAAAGTTGTACTGAAAACATTTGAATGAACTTCTGCGCTTTCCATTTTTCTTTTCGCTTTCCATTTTTCCAAAGCTTCAAAATTACCGAAGTGTGCGAAACGATGAAATCATGACATTTATCGAATTTGGGTGACTCGTCGAATTTGCATCCATAACCAAAGCTGTTCACCATGTAGCTAGCATCATTTAGACTAACTTCGTCATCTAATATCAGAAGATCTGTTCAAAAAAGTGATGAAAATTGAAATTCGAGTAATTCAACCTTCTTCAAACGATGAATGGATCAAACAATATGAGCATTTTGGGTCCAAGGCAATTATTGAAGCGACTTTGGCGTGAACGCGCACATTTGATAAACAACTTAAAAATCTATCTTGACTTTATCTTAGAGTCGCGTCAAATTTTAGTTTTATAAAGTTTGTCTTAAAGCCAAACATGTGCTGCTCCTAAAGTTCCAGATTAGATCCGAATCTGAAGCACAGAACATGGCTGTTCTTGACTCAGATCTGACCGGTCTGATGATCTGATGATTTACTTAAAAAACTAGAACCTTTACCAAGCAGTAGAAAATTCTATCATGGAAAAATTTCCAAGCCAAACCCAAGCCAAAAATTTCCAAGCCAAACCTAATTCCACCTTCGTTTTCTCAGCCGTCTCTTGGTCGATTGTTCTGAAATTTTGTTTACAAACAGAAATTCGCATTCTCTGCATGTAGACAAAATTTCAGAGCAATCGGCCAAGAGATGGCTGAGAAAATGAAGGTGGAATTAGGTTCGGCTTGGAATTTTCCGATCTCTACCAGGCAGTGTCTGGTCTCGATTTCAGGTCTATCTGATGTTAAATCGCACATTCATACCCAAATTTGATGTATTTTTTTTTAAATAACCCGGTTTTTGAAACTTATCGTTTGGCTTATGAGTCATTGATCCTTAAAAACTTTGTCGCTTGAAAACTTAGTTTGAAAACACAATGTTTATCAGAGTAAGCCGATTTTTCGTTAATCCATCTTACGACTATTCGTTAATCCATCCATTTAATGCCATGTTATTCATTCCTGTCAAAATATTATTGTATGCTTCATAAGAGATCATAAAACAAAATTTAAACTTTATTGATTGAAAAAGTTAACAACGAGAAGCACAAAAAATAGGGGTAAAGCAGGGAAAAGTTCTTGTGGAAGGGTATTTGTGATCGCTTGAATTGTTGAGTGGGTTACGGAAAGGGAAAATTCTTCTGAAGATGCAGAGACTTTTGTGGGCAATGTCGTGAAGTCACAAAAATTGATGGGCTCATCGACGCGCTTCATTCGACCATCCGACCGAAAAACTTCGATTCTTGCCAAAAAACCGTTTGTCAAGTCGTCGTCATCGCGATTCCAGGAGATCTGATAAGCTTGAGATGATAAGATTCGTCACTTGGGTAAATGAACGGCAAAAAATACAGCTTAATCTCAAATGAATCGGCTCAAAAATAAAGCTTAATTTGCTGATGTCGATTTCAAATGGGCCAGTGTAAACTTGTAACGAAAATATCTGTCTATTCTTTTTGCCGTAGGCAATTTCGTTTTTCGTGTTTTTCTCAGCACCAACTCTTCTATTTTCACTGTTTTAACTATCATTCGATGCAGAAGAAAATTGCGCATCGAATGATACCAAAATTCACTCAAAGTGTAGCTGTTGGGTGTTGCTGTTGGCTAAAAACCTAAACTCCGCTCATTATGGGCGGGACTTAACCTTTTGCTTCATAACTTTGCATGGATATTACATTTTGAGTGGATTTTGGTATCATTCGACGTGTAATTTTATTCTACATCGAATGATAGTTAAAACAGTGAAAATAGAAGAGTTGGTGCAGAGAAAAAGATGAAAAACCTTAAATGGCCAACGGCAAAAAGAATAGACAGATATTTTCGTTACAAGTTTACAATGGCCCATTTGAAATCGACATCAGCAAATTAAGCTTTATTTTTGAGCCGTTACAAGTCTAGGCCAGTCTGCTAAAAGTGTTATATTACTAGGGAATCTGTTACTATTGATTCCTTGTTATTAATTGTAAATTTTGGGATTAAGGCAAGCTTCAAGGCAAGAATCGCTTTAAAGCGATCGTTTTAAAGCACCAACATAAGCTTGATCAATTCCATAAAGTTGAAAAACAGCTGGAAGCGGAACAGAACATGTTGCATTGAGAGTCCAGCTGAAAATCTGTTTTTCTTTCTTACAAAAAGGTATTTGAATTGAATACAGGGTTTTCTTCAGTAAACGAACCCATTTTCTGAGTACATTTGATCTGGCTCAAAGCCATAAAGTGTTAGTTGTCCGTTGAGAAGGTAATTCAACGTGAATTGAAGATCGAATTTGATGACGTCATCTTAAAAATGAAAAAATACAAATTTTCCAGAAAACTAACCACAAAAAATGGCTTTGTCAACATTAAAATTTTCGTCCATTTGCTCAAAGGCTGATCGAAATCCTTGAGTGACAACAAAGGTTTCACCGCCGCAATCTTTTATCCAATGATCACCAAAATCGCCTAAAGGAATTAAAAATCGGGGTTCTACTGAATTCTTACTGAAAAATCTATTGTTTCATGGAAAAAAAAGAGAAGTTAGTTAAAAGAAAATGAAGAAATATACCTCGATTTTCTTCAACAGAGTCAATGGTTATTAGTAAGTGACAGCTTGATGGAATCGAAAGGCTATAGAAGATTGACTCAAGCTGATTAGCAATCCAAGTATCAGGATCTCTAAAAACATTGTAGTTCTAAAAAAGTCGATAGTTTTTCTAGAATTGTTTCTATAGCTGTTAGCCTCTCGAATTCCTTTACTCACTTATAAACGATGAGAACCCTGTCCGCATAATCTTCTCCTTTAGCCGGTGGAAGGCCACTCTAAAACTCAAATGAACAATCGATAGTGCTCTGAATTTGATTGATTTGATTGATAATAGTCATTAAAAGCTAACCCGACTTTGAAGCCATTTAAAAATAGAAAAATAGCCAGCCGGCATTGCCATAAGTACCCATATTTTCTGATCGTTGGAAACGAGAATATTGTGAATTCCAGCGTTGTCTTGCAAATCGAGAGTGACAAGATGGAAATCACTTGCTGAAAGGCGAATTAGTTGTTTGACAGATTGGGATTTCTAATTCAATCTCAAGTCTACATAGAACTAAGCTTGACTTGTCGTTGTTAGACTTGTTGACTTGTTGTTGACTCTAATAGGTTTTAAAATCCCTTGCTTTTGCGTACCTTTACACTTTTAGGTCAAAGCCGTTAAGTAACGGATTGTTAGGTGCAACTTTTAGTATGAAATATGAGAATTAGGGAGTTGATCAAAATAGCGCCATGTAAACAGCGCCACAGCCAAAATAGCTCCTCCGCCACTAAGTTTCTATGTTTTTCTTATTCTTATTGGATGCAGAACAAAATTTTCTACATTTTGCATACTTTGGGATCACTTAAAACAGAATTAGTCATATAATTATAATTATAATTACAGAGAAAAGCTCAGTTAACCTCTTTTTGTGCCCCTTCTCGTTTTTTTGGCATTTTCTCATCCCAGATTTGTTCTATTCAGCAGATAGCTAATCTTTTCTACATTCAATAAAAATAAGAAACACAAATAAACTTAACCGCAAACGCATTATTTTGGCCGGCGCTGTTTGTACACGGCGCTGTTTTGTCCAGCTCCCGAGAATTAAGTACAATTGTGAAAATGAAAATGGTAATGGTGTGATAATGATAATGGAGTATAATGATAATGGAAAGCCTACCTTCTTCCATCCAAATTGGTGCCCGAATTGAGATTGAACATCTCTTTTGACAGTTATCGGGATCCGAGATTAATGGATCCCAATAAATCTGCAACGGTCCTACAAATGAGGACACACAAGTCTCCTCGTTTGTTGTAAGATTCGTAGCGTTGGGTTGAAGATTGCTTGAATAATATACCGTAAATACTGTAATAGTACCCCACTCCCATCGTACAGTCGCGTAGCCGCAAAAGTTTTTTAGTATTTCATTCTTTTCAAAGCGCCCGTACTCTCAAAAAATGTGTCTTTGGTATCAAAAAATAGCCCTGAATTTCAGCTATTTTTTGATACCTAAGCGCGCATTGTAGCATAAACCAGTGCGGAGAAAAACTCGTTCAAAGCTAGACTACGCAACACTCCGCACCGTCATTATGGGGGTGGGGTACTATTACAGTATTTACGGTAGGTAAATGATGTTCTTTCGATTGACAAAACTATTTGCCTCACAATCAGTTGATTTTGAACATTTTGTGAATGAATTAACCGATTTCTTTATTCACGTAATGTCCTTTTCAGTGCACGTAAAAGTTGTCAAGTCGAGAATTTGTTCATTCACTACAATTGGAATCTTGTTCACTCCTTTTTGCGATTCGTTCTGAAGATTTATTGAAGCTTTGTTTTTTAGCAAATGGCAATTGGAAAATTTTAATCATGCACCGTTTTCGAATAAATTCTTGTTAAACGAAATTCGAGCAAAGCTCATTTTGTGGAAATATCGATGCAAAGTGCTGATTTGTTTTCTGAATTGAGAACTGTAGAGAAAAAGCTAAGAGATTTTTTGCTTACCTAACTTGACAACATTGAATGAATGAATTGCGAAAATGGGATAAGATTCATTCAGAGTGTAGAGCTGAGAGCAGTACTTTGTGTCCATTTTTGTGTCCAAAATTGTAAAGAAAGACACGAAGATCCATGAAATTAGCATACCAATTGTTAGGTAAAACATCTATTTCCCAACCTTAATCGTTGAAATATCGTTGAACAAGCCAACAGTTCTGTCTGCGAGATTTAATCCCTAAAAGTTCGGCATTTAATTCGCCATCTTTGTTTGATAAAATGAAAAATGGAGAGAAAATTCTTTTTCAATAGAAAACTGTTCAAAACATACTTGATAAAGTTTATTTTACAACTAGCAATTCTAACTAAAACAATAGATAGAAAGCTCAAGAAACAGCCATGCAAAAGGTTCCATCATTCTCAAAGATTTGTTGTTGAATGTTTTGTGAAATCGTTGTCATCAAGTTGTTTTGATTGTTCGTTGAAAAAGAACACGATGAGCCACCGTTTATTGTCTGGAATTGGTTTAAAAGCAATACCTGTAGAACTTGCAGCTCGATCCAACATTCTAGCAATTTCCAAAATCGAGTGGTACGCCCGATTTCAAAAAGTTTGCATTATCAGCTTGATCTTTGATACTGTTATTGAATCTTTCAAGTATTTAGTGAAAGATTACTTTGGAACTGAAGTGAGATATTGGGTTGGTGAATTGAAAACTACCGGACTTTGAACTAAAATTTATTCAACATAAAACCATGAATTCATTCGAAATAATTTTCATTATTATTGACGACTTCTGCCCATTTTACAGGCAATTTGCGGATTTCTCTTTCGTGGTAGGATTTTGATTTTGAATAAGAAACTTTCAAAGCCAATTTTTGACTGCTCCTTCCGAAGTGTTCTCCCGCAAGCTCATTACTCATGATCCGGAATAAATAGTAATCAAAAGGCGCGAGGTCCGGACTGTATGGGGAATGCGCCAAAAGTTCCCAAACAAGGCTATTTACTTTAGAGCCAGTCAGTTTTGCAACATGAGGGCGCGCGTTGTCGTGGATGAGAACGATCTTTGACTTGGAGGGCCTTTTCTTCTTTAGGAATTCATTCACCTTTTCCAACTGTTCACTGTATTTGATTGCATTAGCGGTCGTCATTAACGGCATTAACGGCCCATTTTATAGGCAATTTGCGGATTCCTCTTTCTTAGTAGGATTTTGGTTTGTGTGTGAGACAAGTGTGAGACTCAAAAATGGAGGACTGGAGATGTCCCAGTTTGAGCATTTTCTTCAAAAGAAACCCATTTTGGTGTCAATAGAAGAGTTGTAGAGAATCAAAAATAAGGCTTATAGCCAAATTTCCAAAAAAATACCAAAAGTAGTTTCGCTTAAAATGCAAGATTTGTGAAAATTCGTAAATTTGGCATTTCTTGAAAAACAGTTTTTGAATCGTTCTGAAAATTTGGATCTAAGCTTGATTTTTGATTCTCTACAACTTTTCCATTAACACCAAAATGGGTTTCTTTTGAAGAGTGCTCAAACTGTCACATACGACAATAGCTGGCAGTTTTCAATTCGTCAACCCGATAGATGACTTAATGATTGTTGACTTCGGAACGATAGCCATTAGGCTGAGTGAGGTATTTTTCTCTGATTGAATCAAGTGCCCTGCAAGATGGGTAGTTTAATCGTATATTAGAAGAATGGCTGAAGTTGAAGTGAGATAGATCATCCAATTTGCGAACTTTTCGATTGCAAAAGTTATCCTAGGGCTAGTGAGTTGGCTAGATTGTTTATTTAGCCAACTCAATAGATTCCCAGCTCAAATCAAAGTTTAAAACCAAACTCACCCTCCTGCAACCTGCCCGAATTCTTGATATTGCTCAGAGCAAAGTTGGATCAATATTTTCTTATCGAATTATCGGCTGGGTTCAGTTTTGCAACGGCAAGCGCAGCGGAATCGGCTCCAGACACAGGAACAAAGCCCACTCGAGTACGTGCTGATTGTGAAAGGTGCCAAAAGTCTTCACAAATTGAAGATACTAAAGGAAATCTTGATTCAATCACTTTTTAGAGTAGACTTTCAGTATGGCTGAGCGAATGCTGAGGTGTCCAAGAAGAAGATGATGTCAACTTGAAGAACATTAGCTGAAAAACTTTCTTGTCTACTCCGTAAGTACTTGAGAGGTTGAAAGTGAGTTAAATGCAAGTTGGTGGTGAACTATTTCACTCGCAGACATGAATGGGTGTTCAATATAACACATGAATGCTGATAAATCATAGACAATAAACAATGGAAAAGAGCCAGACATGGCTTCAGTCTAACTTCTTCGGTTTTCAGTTTACTGGCTTGCTTTGGTTTCTTTGTATACTAGATTTGATCAAAATCTTTCAGATCTTCAAAATTGGCGCGATTTTATCGGTCCAAATAAACCAGACAGAACAAAATGTGTCCTGCAAACTGTTTACAAAGCGCTAGCCTCAAAATTTCTTAAAACCGATGACTTCTGAATATTCTAATAAAGTGAAGGAATTGGGAAGAAAAAGTAGATTTCCGGAGACGGAATTGGACCCAAAACTTTTTGCTTTCCAGACAATTGCTTTAACCACTGAACTATTCGGCACCTTAACTTGCCAAGAGAAAGAAGGAAAGACAAAGGGGAAGAAGAAAGGAAGAAAGAAGAAAAGACAATGGGAAGAAGAAAGGAAGAAAGAAAGAAGGAAACTTACATCAAGTAAACCCAAGCAAGGCATGATAATCTTTTGATTGGGAGCCGCACCTTAACTTGCCAAGAGAAAGAAGGGAAGACAAGAGGGAAGAAGAAAGGAAGAAAGAACTTAAAAAGTAAAAAGGTTCAAGATTACTTAATACAATTTATTTGAAAACAAGTATTTAAAAGTTTAACAATTTAAAAGTAAACTAGGAATGCCATAAGATTAAGGAATGGCCATGCAAAAGGTTCCATCATTGTCAAAGATCTGTTGCTGAATGTTTTGCAAAATCGTTGTCATCAAGTTGTTTTGATTGTTCGTTGAGAAAGAACACGATGAGCCACCGGTTATTGTCTGGAATTATTTTCAAATATTAGAATGGCTAGAAAGTTCGTAGAAAAAGTTTGCGCAGTGATTTCTCAAAAGCCAATTCATGAATTCTTCTCAGATTTTTTGATAAACTTCGATTTCCAAAAGTTTTTGACAAAAATAAGAGATTTCTTCAGCTGAAGTGACTTGGTTACTTTTAAGTGATCAGCCTTTAGACAAGTTTTTAATGGGTAAATGGATACCGTAAATACTGTAATTGGACTATTTTTTCCCTCCTCCTCTAGGGTGGGGTACTATTAGAGGGTGGGGCACTATTAGAGGGTGGGTCACTATTTTACACCACTATTTAAGTTACCAAATCAGGATACATTCAAATAATTTTTTCAAAAGCAAACTTTTTCTTTAGTTTTTATTGGTTCTAACCATTTGAAAATTTAACAGCAAAACGAAACAAAAACAACTAACGAGCGATATCAATAGAAACATCCGAATAATGAATTCATCATTTTCTTGATGAGCAATTCCTCGATGTCCCGTCGATGCAAGCCGCCCTAAGAGGTCCTCGATTTCCGTCTCTGATCTCTAACACCAACTTCTTTGGCTCCAACCGCTTCGATGCACTTGCTCGTCGAAGCATCCAGCCAAACCACCGTCTCATCGCAAGCAACAATGTGCTTGTAATCGCCTTCTTTGATTGTCTTGTTCAGCCTCAGAATGTGCTCGACGATGGCCTTCTCAAATTTGCTCGACAGCTTTTGACAAGTTGTTGTTGTTGGTGCCCTCAAAGAAAGTTGGTGGCGCCTCAAGAACGACTCCATCCAGCCATGGGTTCTTTTGAAAGAAATTTCAGCTTTTTCAAATCTGGAATGAAGCGGCTAATTGCCGCTTCATTCCAGATAATTCGGCGTGTCACTCGTTTCTTCTCGGCTCGACGATCCCGTATCCATTCAGCCAAACCGATAACAATCCCCTCCGAGTTCAAGTCTTCTAAGTGGGCCAATCTATATGATTTTGGTGTTACTTTGTTGCACTTGTTGAGATCTACAATCATAAAGATTGGCCCACTTAGAAGAAAGCTATGGCGAGCTGCGCAAAAAGTTTGGGGCAAAGTAGCCACCCCAAATCTAAAAACAACAAATTTATGGGATAAAATTAAAAATACAAACGATTTCTGAAAATACATGAAAATTTTCCGCTTTAAAAGAGTTGTTTGTAATTACGCGTTAGGTGGGGGTGGGGTACTATTAGAGGGGTGGGGTATTATTTTTTCCCTCCCCCTCTAGGGTGGGGTACTATTAGAGGGGTGGGGTCCAATTACAGTATTTACGGTAGGTAATGAATCCCATTGAAAACCTAAAATGAAGTCTTTAAAATAGGGGATATTTTTGATAAAGGCAATTTTTGTGATTTGTGTTATCTAATGCTTTAACTTTTCAGAATGTTTAAAGCGTTGAAAGTAGAAAAAAGTCTATAGGAGAATCACTAAACGAAAGAGGCATCAATGTTGAAAGCAGAAATGGAAGTGAAGGTCCGTCTATAGATGGTGATGACGTCAATAGATGACAAGCTTGGCCGTAAGCGAATCAAGAGAATTGGCTTACATTTGGATCAGCCTCGTCCAAAGTAACGAAAAGTTCGATTTTAGCAATGTTTGCCAAGAAGATGACACCAAAAAGATGTGTTTTTGAAATACAGCTTCTTTGTAAAGCATTTCTTGGCCCAGAAATAGAGATTATAAAGCGTATTGCTTATTTATGCTAGCTTTACCCCATAAAGAAGTGAAGGAATTGGCCAGAAAAAGTAGATTTCTAGAGAGGGGAAAATTAGATTTCTAGAGATTTCTAGAGATTTCCTAAACCCTCGGCCTTTTGCTATTCGGGCCATTGCTCTAACCACTAAGTTATCCGGTACCTTGCGTATAGAGCGTATTGCTTATTTATGCTAGCTTTATCTCATAAAAAATTGTTTTTTTTGTTTCCAAAACTGAGCTGAATTTCAGCTGGAAAATAATAATTTCTTTTAAAAATCTCTAAAATTTTCAGGGAAAGCTGCACTCATTTTTTTTACGAATAATTTCTTGGAGTCGTTTTGTAAATAATAGGGCAAAATGTTCTTGAATTAGTGGATTCGTTTTTATGAAACTCCAGTCAAATTCTTTCCGAGAACTTTCTTTCCAACCTAATAAAATAGAGTTCGATTGGGTCAGACAGTCTTGAGAGAATCAAAAGACAAAGTCTCAAGTCAGATCTCAAGTCAGATCTTCTAGTGGCTCCTGGTGGTTGTGGTGCCGACGTGAATATTTTGGGCGGATAAATTTTTGATATTTTGTCACTTTTTTCCGATTTCGTGACCACCAATACATGAAATTTCTGAGCCAATTTTTGTTAGCTTCTAAGAAATCGTTTTTCTGATGCAAAAAGCTGAATTTAAGCTGAAAAAAAATAATTTCTTTTAAAAATCTCTAAAATTTTAAGGGAAAGCTGCACTCAATTTTTTTACGAATAATTTCTTGGAGTCGTTTTGTAAATAATAAAACAAAATGTTCTTGAATTAGTGGATTCGTTTTGAAGAAATTCCAGTCAAACTTTTTTCGAGAACTTTCTTTCCAACCTAATAGCTTAATCTAAACGAATTTAGCTGGATCTAAAGCCAATTTCGCTTAATCTAAAGCTAATTTAGCTTGATCTAACCTAATAGAAACCTTCCAACCTAATAGATTTGTATGTAAAATATGTAATTATATGCAAATATTTACAGTACCATCAATGCAGCTCGATCCATAACATTCTCTCCATAAGCAATTCCAATTATCGAGTAGTAAATGCCGGATTTCAAGAAGTTTGCATTACTGATAGCATCAGCTTGATCAGTCATACTGGAATTGAATCTTTCAAGTATTTGGTGAAAGATTACGTTGGAGCTGAAGTTAGGTAGATGATCCAATGATTGTTGATTTGTGTTCGATATCCGTTTGCCTGGATGGTATATTCTTGTCTTACGGTATCAAGGGCTCTGAAATGAATCAAGTCAAGTATTATCAATATTATTATCAAACTATTATATTGTTTTTCAACCAGAAGCTTCGCAACAAAAAGCAGAGAATTGGTGGCTAGAGGTGGCGAACCCAGACCCCTCTTCTGTTCGTTTTAAAGACGCGCGCGTTAACCACTCGGTCGTGCTCTTTGTAGATGGCGCAGTGCGAGCGCACTTGTCTCTAGCCCACAAGATCCGGGTTCGACTCCCGCCCCCGTCCGCAGCTTTGGTTTTTTAAAAATTTAAAAACATGTTGCACAACTATTGGGTTGGGGAGAATGAGTCGGCGCCGAAATTTAAAGAAACTTTTTGCACCCATAAAACCTTCTTTAAATACACGTTTTGTTTCATCAAAATGGTCCACTATTTCTTTACAAAATGGCTTTTGAGAGATTCCAAAAAAGCTTTTCTTTTTTTGGGATTTTATGGATTCCCAAACACAGCTAATCAAAATAACAAAAAGTCCGACTCATTGCTTGAACAGTTTCTTCCACATAAACCTCCTTTGGTGTTTATATAAAAAAAGATAGAGCACACTCAATTACATAAGTTACCAAATTTTCAGGAAGATCCCTCCAACCGTTTACTCTAGATGATAGTTTATCGATTTTGTGAAAAAATGATCCTTTGTTGAGTTGAGGCGCTGTTTGAGTTCTCTTTTAAATATTATTTTGTAGAGAATTAGTTACCCTTCTACGGATATCAAACGCATATCATTTGACAAAGTCTGCTATAAGTTTTAGAAATTTCTTTGATTTTCGGCGCCGACTCATTCTCCCCAATCCAATACATGAGATTCTAAGCCGAACTAACTATAAATGATTGAAAACGGCCCAACTTGGACAGACAAACGAATGCGCACAGACAGACCGACGTCTTAGTCCCTTTTTATATAGTAGATGCTCGCGATATTCGCTGTTATTTTTCTTTCTAATTCATTCAAGCTATTCAATTGTCAATGAATGTAATATCCAGATACGCGTTTCCATTGATTTTCACACCAGAAGGCACAAAAATGAGTGGCGACTTTCCATCGGATGTGATTGCTGCCTAAGCCATAAGTGACGCTGGGTGAAGGATATGTTTTATCGCTTTGTGTGGATTAGAAACAGCGTAAATACGATCATTTTGCTTATTAAGCTCGACAGCTTATTAAGCTTGCTCAACAGTGAATAACTTCTCATCACTGAACAAAATGGAACGACGTTGCTGGCGCGGGCATGGTTGAAGATCTTGACACCAAGCCATTCGTTTTTTTTTTGCTGTTCCCGTTAAGCCTTGGCACTTGTCCTTCTTGAAGGCTTTCAATTTGAGGTGTTTTCGAACAATTCTCTTCATCTTCATCGACGGCTCGAAAATCATAGACTCGCGCGCCAAGCGACGTACGCTTCGCTCCTGGTTTCTTCTGATTTTCTCGATCTTCTTGACGACGTCTCCTATAATGACAAATCGCTTCTTGTCTCGTCCCAAACAATCCCTATTTGTTTCAAAGGATTTAAACCGTGTAATCGTTTGGTAGATGGTGGCTAGACTTGTTCCCAGACGATTCTGTATTGAGCGTGCCGACAGACGTCTAAGTCTCTTTATATTTAGTAATCATTGATGTCGAACTATCAAACTAGATTGCCAAACTAGTCAAATCTTTTATCTTATTTATAAGTTAGTCTAGCTAACAATAAGGCCAAACTCACGCTCCAGCGAATTGCCCAGAATCGTCAAAGTCAGCAAAGAAGTTCTTAATATCGTCCAGAGCTTTAAAAGCAACTTCCTTTAAATTTTATAGTTACTTGAACTATTTTATATGCACCGAGTTATCGATTCCTCCAAGTGGTGCAAAAGGGAACGTGGCAAAATCGTCTCCAGGTACAGTAACGAAACCGATTCTCGTGCGCTCCGCACTCACTGTGAAACCCGTCAAAAACGTTTTCACAAATTGAATGTACTGAAATTAAAACTTAAGCCAATCGAGCCAGTTTTCAGTGCTTACATCATCAAAGTATGGTTGAGCGTAGGCAGAGGTGTCTAACAAGAAAATGATGTCAATCTGAAATTGGCAATGATAGCTGGCAATGATCAATGGGAAGCTCATTTAAACGATACATTTCTGCTTGTAAGTGAGTCGGACTTTGTTTCCATTGTGTTAGTTGCGGAAACTGAAATGGGAACTAGCCATAAAGCTATTTACACGAAACACCATTGGACTTGATAAGCATTTACAATAACTGACAATTTAGCTATGTACAATTGTAATAGACTTGATTAAGTGTGTTCTTTTTGAATAAAATTCTTTTTAAAGCTACCGTAATCTTGAATTTGATCTATCAAATCAGTTTATTTATTATGAGAGAAAGCATTTGGATAGCTGGTAGTCTTCAAAGATTGATGTTTTAAAAAAGCTTTGATTGAGAGAAACACTTTGGACTTGGTTAATACATCAATACACGTGTTTTAAAGAAAAAAACGAGACCCACAAGTTTATGACACTTTTTTTTTCACCCAACAAAAACAAAAACGATCACAAAATTGATCACAAGAAACAGACAAAGCACAGAAACAAGTTTGGACTTGGAAATTATTTTGAAACAGTAGAAGATGGACTTGTTGAAGAAGATAGACTGGTAGAAGTTAAGCTGGTAGAAGATAAACTTGTAGTTGTGGGTCCTGTTCCCGTTGTTTCTGTTCCCGTTGTTTCTGTTCCCGTTGTTTCTGTTCCCGTTGTTCCTGTTGTCGTTGATTCAGATGCAAAACTTTGAGTGCTTATTGAAGACTTCTCGACACTTGTTGATGTCGGAATTATCGCGACATCGTAGATGAAATTTGAGATCTGCGACAAGGCATTCATCTCGTACAAGCTTTTCAAGTAATACTCGTCCCAGATTACGTCTAAATGGCTTTGAAAATGAGGGCTCAATTACCGGGATCAATTACCGTATGCTTTCAAATTCTTCATTGTCAGTGCCATCAAAGTGTTGGCCACTGATCGACTTCCATAAATGTTCATGCCAAAGATGTTAGCATTTTGATTGAGTATTGCGATTTCTGTCGAGTTCAACATATCGGAGGCAAGGATGCTGAAATTTGGGTTGGGATTGGGAATTTACCAAGAATCCCGTTTGATTCTGAGGCAAAGTAATCTGATTGAGTATAAAGAGATTACTGTAGTTACTGTGCTTTTCCAGAATGACACCTTTTAAAATCGAAGTAAAACTATGATAGTTTTCAAGGGTGATGCGTTTTAGAAGAATTGTGGGACATTTGAAAGTTTTTAAGGGTCCCACAATAGCCCCGCCCCCTTTGCCATTGACAATCCAACTTTGAGCTCAAATACCTTGGTGTTGGGCAATTCAATTTAAATAGTTTTGGTATAATTGGATGCGCCAAGTCTTTCTCTGTCGATTGGTACAAAAACTACTTAAATTGGACAGCCCAACACCAAGATATTTGAGCTTAAAGTTGGATTGCTCCTTTTGCCTGACAATCCAACTTTAAGCTCAAATATCTTGGTGTTGGGCTATCCAATTTAAATGGTTTTTGTACCAATCGACAGAGAAAGACTTGGTGCATACAATTATACCAAGAATACTTAAATTGAAAAGCCCAACACCAAGACATTTGAGCTCAAAGTTGGATTGCTAATGGCAAAAGGGGTGGGGCTTATCAGATGTCCGATAACCTTTTAGAAAGCTTATCAGTCAATGCTCTATCTAACTAAATCATGCCAAAAACAGGAGAAATTGCATCTCAAGCAAATTCTTTATAATTTGACCCAATACACACTTCTCATTCTGTAACATCACCAAGATCACAGCCGACACCCCCTCTCGTCGTCCATTCTCCGGCTTGAGCATTTGATCTTGCACAAAATCAAGGGTCAACTTGAGATTCGTTCTCGCATCAACGAACATTGAGGGTTTTGTGATATTCTAGAATTTGAAATATTGTGCAAAAACGTTGCCTTACCGCCAAGAGTCCATCAATGTCATCAGTTTGATTCAAATACGACATCACAATCGGTTCCGAGCCGGCAAAGACAAAGCCAAACCGAAGCGCTCCCGCTTGCACATTGTCGAAAAGCGCTACAAGTTTCCCGAGATAGTAAATCATCTGAAATTAATTGTTTTTCTAAAAGAAATCTTTTCTAAAGATCAAGCTTGCAAAAATTGTTTACACTTTGAGTGAATCCCTCAGAAAGCATTGAGTTCGCATCCATTACAACAATCAGATCCGTCGGTGAAAAGGAAAGGTTGGCCCGCAGGGTTCGCTGGCGTAAAGTCAAGAAGTAATCAAAGTTGGCTAAAGTGGAAACATTTTACAACTTTATAACTAGTACCAGGAAATGGGCGTGTTTACATGAGCATAAAGTACAAGAGCCCACCTCTTCCCAGAGTCATATCCATGACATTTTGAATATCTGTCGTGAGTGGCCGTGTCGTTGTCACCGGTGGGGCAAAAGTTTCATTCAAATAAGCGACTCTTTCACTGGATGTTGCACAATTCGTCCATGGCGGCAAATTGTTGAAATCAAAGTAAAAGACTGCAGTCTTCGAGTACGCGCTCATCAAACAATCAGTGCTAAAATTCAAAGGGAGATTGGAACCGTATTGGATCAAAATAGGAACCGTATTGGATAAAAATAGGAACGGTATTGGAACCGTATTGGAACCGTATTGGATCAGAATAGGAACCGTATTGGAACCGTATTAGAACCGTATTGGATCAAAATAGAAGCCGTATTGGCACCGTATTGGAACCATATTGAAACCGTATTGAAACCGTATTGGAACTGTATTGGATCAAAATAGGAACCGTATTAGAACCGTATTAGAACCGTATTGGATCAGAATAGGAACCGTATTGGAACCATATTGGAACCGTATTGGAACCATTTTGGAATCAAAATAGGAACCATATTTCTATGCAAATCTATCTAACTTCGTCTTAGGCTTTGATTCAAAAAACTTACTAGTTTCCATCTGGATTCAATGTGAGATACACAAACGAATAGGCACCTGTAGGGGCCGTTCGACTGAATGCATCGGTGGTTGATCTAAACGTGAGAAGAGTTATTGGAACAGATTTTGCAAGAGATGAATGTGGTCAAATGAGATCAGCTATAGACCATTTGATGCAGAATTTCACGCTGATACTGAATCTGCTTTTCGTTTTTGCAAAAAGGGCTTTCTGCAAAAAGTTATACGCGGTTTAAGTCTTAAGATGAAAATGTGAAAATTTCGAGCCGAATGCCTTTATAAGGGTTAACGGGCCTCAAAAGTGGCTTGATAGTGTAGTGGAATACGCTAAAGATAAAACACTTGCATACAAAGCGAGCTCAACATTATTTTGCTCGATTTCGATTCCTTTCTTGGCAAGACTTTTGTTTTGCTCTCTGTGTAAACGCACAATCGCGCACCATCTGATACACCATCTGTACACATAAGAAGCCCTGAAAGATCATGTCTAATTGCCTACAACTGTTTATCAGTCCCCGTGGAGCGAGGCAAACTAGACGAACAAAATATTTCTTCCAGCGACGACAATCTTGCCAAGAAAGGAAGAGAACTTGAGCGAAAAATGCATCGCTAATCTTGTATGCAAGCGTTTTATCCATTAAACCATGAAGTCGAGTTTCAAATCCATTAGAGAACCCTTATAAAGACATCCCTATTCGGCTCGAAATCCACATTTTCACCTCCTTAAGACTTAAACCACGTATAACTTTTTGCAGAAAGCCATTTTGCAAAAATGAAAAGCAGATTCGGAATCAGCGTGAAATTCTGCATCGAATGGTGTATAGCTTATCTCATTAGACCACATCCATCTCTTGCCTTCCCCTTGTTAATTCAAGTTTGACCTTGTGACTTGACTTGGACCTTTTTATTGAAAAAAGCTACATTATAATAAGCGATCCTGTTTTCTTCAACAAACAAACTAACTCGACAACATCAAAAGTCGCTGTCCCTGGTCCAGCATAAGTCGAATTTGCCACCGATCCCAGCACATTATTTGTATCAAAAGGCAAGAATGGATTCCCAGTCTTATTGTATGCAAAATAGACACCGAATCGAATGTTGGCTATATACTTGCTAATCAAATAGTGAGCAGATGGGATCAACTAAAGAAATTGTATTATGACAAAGCTTTTCGTTTACCGAATTGTCGAAGAACTGATTAGTGACCACTGATGAGACGTCGAGCATCAAAATGACATCACTTTTCAGTGTTGATAGAGACGTGAGCAAGGCGCGGCTTGCTTCATAGTCTAAAAAGGCACTGCAACTACAGAATCGACAATTTCTAACCTGTCGTGATAGCCTCGTATACCCAATTCAGTGTTTGCGTTGTTTCTTCTTCATAAGATTTGCGAAGATAAGAAGGTTTGCTAGAAATTTGATGGTTATCTATCGAAATGCTGGCTAAGGTCACAAAGAAGTACTTGGACTAACCAGAAGTCTAAAACTGACTCATAAAAAGTCTTAAATAGCCTAGAATTGGTTTCAGCCTTAGCTTTAGCCAGCCCAGGACCGTCTAACAAGTCGGATCTGGCTGGAAGAGTCCTAGCAGCTCCGGTATGTTAACTCCGCCCCTTTTTCCGTCCGTCGCCGTTAACAATCTACTTATTTTCTTCGTATCTTAGCCGGGTTTATTTGAAAAATATTGAATTTGCTTTCATTCGACTCGCAATCTAATCTTCTATCGAATGAAATCAAATTCAATGTTTTTCAAATAAACCCGGCTAAGATACGAGGAAAATAAGTAGATTGCTAACGGCAAACAGACCGGAAAAAGGGGCGGAGTTAACATGGCTGCAGTGCAGTAACCTGTTCTTATGTTTGAAGGAAATCTACAGTTATCCAGATCTAGCAAAGTTATCCAGATCTAGCAAAGTTATCCAGATCCAGCAAAGTTATCCAGATCTATCAAAGTTATCCAGATCAAAACCCTTCTAACTTACCTTACAAGCCGATTGAGATAAGCAGTTGAAGCACCAAGTCCCAACAAATCAACGGCGATCACATTTCCTTGTCCCCTGATCGCTCGAATGTAATCTTCAGTCATGCCTGTTGCACTGAAAATAATCCGGATACAATTTCTGCATTTCTAGCTTACCCTGGACTGCCAGCCAAGAAAATCGATGTCGCGGATAGGTCCAATCGCCATTTCAGTGACTCGACTGACGAAGTATTGTCGGGACTGAAATGTACTTTAGTACTTTAGCTACTTTAGCTTTATCTACATGTACTTTAGCTTCAATTTATCGTATTGAAGTGATTAGAAGCCTAGACTATCACCTGAATTGAATGTTGGTGTTGTTGCTTGCTGTGTAGTTCATTGAAATAATATCATCTTCCGCGTTTACACCAAAGCACTAGATTTGTGTTATTACAAAAATCTCGTTTATCGAGAACAATTTTCTAGTAAGATGATTCAGTAAACTATTTTAAAAAGAACGAAAATCTACGAGTTTCCAGGGATCGATCTCGCAAAGTTGAAGCCTCGGAGTAGGAGCATTGGGTGAAGGAATGGCATTGTAAACAGCGAGAATGAAATCTTTTGTCTAAAAGATTGTCTGCTTTTTGATAACTGTTAAACTTTGATAAAATTTCAAATAAATAAACACAAACTTGGTTGAAAGTGGTTTCATCGATCCAAGCTGACACTTCATAATAGATTGTCACTGGCTGGTAAGCTTGCGAAATGCTGATCGGACTTGATGGAGTCATCGAGTTGACGATCTTTTCGTACTCTGAAGTTGGCTTTACTTTAGAACTTTACAGTTTACAACTTTACAAGCGGAAAGCCATCCAGATATTTGGAAAGCCCCACCCTTTTGATAAGCTCTGCTCCTTTTGCCATTGGCAATCCAACTTTGAGCTCAAATTTCTTGGTGTTGGGCTGTTCAATTTAAATATTTTTGGTATCATTAGATGCACCAAGGGCTTCTCTATCGATTGGTACAAAAACTATTAAAATTGGACGACCTAACACCAAGATATTTGAGCTCAGAGTTCGATTGCCAATGGCAAAGGGGCGGGGCGTGGATCTAATGTCCCACAATCCTACCTGTTGCATCTTTCTGCAAGAAACGATCCACAATATCAATGCCTGGAGCTGCTGCGAGATTAAGAAAGCGTGCTGGAACGAGAGAGGTGTTTGCTGGATAAACAAGCACATCATCCAGCCCACTGCCAACAACACATCTCAACGAGTCAACAGTTTGCGAGGATCCAAAGGAGATTCCACGAAGAGCCATGTTCGTTTTCAAGGTAATTTGACTCAAACCAGCACAGTCCGTCCCGAAACTGAATAAAGATTTTGCAAAAAAAAAAAAGAAAAATTAACTCACTTAGGTGTTGCAGCCAAAATATAGACAAAAGTGAGTCGATTGTCATAGAAAGAGTCTGAGATCGATCTCAAAGCTCCGACAGCATTCCATGAAGTGAAAGCGGCGTTGATCGGCGTCTAAACAGTGAGCTAATAATCGTGATTCAGCTTTGTACCCGATGCAACAAGAAGTTGCACAAGTTTTCTTTCAAAACCTTTCAAACCAACCTGACTGTTCAAGAAATTTGTCAATTCGGTTAAATCCTGTGCATCTCTCTGGGAGAATCCTTCTTGCCAGGTGTCATTTCCGTAAGAAAGCACTCCGACTCGAGATTGACCAGGGAAAATCGAGAGCTTGCTAGCAAAAGCTCGGATCAAGTCAATGCTCTAAAAATTGCCTTGTTTAACAGCCTTTAGAAGCACAAACCTTGTTGAAAGAGCTTTCCATTTCTGTTGTTCCGTCAAGGACAAAGAGGTAATCGGCTTGGATTTGAGTTGGTGGATAGGCTTGAGGAACGGTGAGACCGGCTGCCAAGTTAGCGATTAGAAGACCCAAATCCTAAAGGATATGAAAAGTAAAAACTTAAAAGATCATTCTAGAATAGTTCTAGAATAGTTCAATTGGTTGGTTGGTTTAAAATATTGGGTTGGTGAATTGAAAACTGCTGGACTTTGAACTAAAATTTATTCAACATAAAACCATCAATTCATTCTAAATAATTTCCATTATTATTGACGATTTCTGCCCATTTTACAGGCAATTTGCGGATTCCTCTTTCGTAGTAGGATTTTGGTTTTGAATCGAGAAACTTTCAAAGCCAATTTTTGACTGCTTCTTCCGAATCGAAGTGTTCTCCCGCAAGCTCATGATTCGGAATAAATAGTAATCAAAAGGGGCGAGGTCCGGACTGTATGGGGAATGCGCCAAAAGTTCCCAAACAAGGCTATTTATTTTAGAGCGAGTCAGTTTTGCAACATGATGGCGCACGTTGTCGTGGATGACAACGATCTTTGACTTGGAGGGCCTTTTCTTCTTTAGGAATTCATTCACCTTTTCCAACTGTTCACTGTATTTGATTGCATTAACGGTCGTCATTAACGGCATTAACGACCCATTTTACAGACAATTTGCGGATTCCTCTTTCGTAGTAGGATTTTGGTTTGTGTGTGAGACAAGTGTGAGACTCAAAAATGGAGGACTGGAGATGTCCCAGTTTGAGCACTTTCTTCAAAAGAAACCCATTTTGGTGTCAATAGAAAAGTTGTAGAGAATCAAAAATTAGGTGTATAGCCAAATTTCCAAAAAGATACACTTAGTAGTTTCGCTTAAAATGCAAGTTTTGTGAAAATTTGTAAATTTGGCATTTCTTGAAAAACAGTTTTTGAATCGTTCTGAAAATTTGGATATAAGTTTCATTTTTGATTCTCTACAACTTTTCCATTGACACCAAAATGGGTTTCTTTTGAAGAAAGTGCTTAAACTGTTACATATGACAATTGCCCGCAGTCTTCAATTCACCAATCCAATAGAAGTACGAAAAGGAACGAAAAGACTTGGACAACCAAATTGAACAACAAAACAAACAAAAGTCTAACCCTATCTGCCACAGGATCTGGTGAGTAGACTTGTTGCCAGTATTGCAATGTGCTTCCCCCGTTTAGTCTCAAGATTTCGTCCAAATGAGCCGCGTCCGAAACGGCACTGATTCCAAAGACAGAGGCTTTCGATCTTAGAGCACTTGCCGTATTTGAATCGATCTTTGTGAACCTGAAAGGGTCAAGAATTTGAAGATTGCTTTGAAGGCTTAAAGAGATTGCTTTAAAGGCTTAAAGAGATTGCTTTAAAGGCTTAAAGAGATTGCTTTGAAGGCTTAAAGAGATTGCTTTGAAGGCTTAACTTGGCTCTATCTTATTAACACAACTTTAAACTTACTCCGGTGAGCTCATCACAAGAATCACCACTTTTGGATGTGGTGAATCATCCATGAAATCAGCACTTGTCAAGAGAGCTTGCATCAGTCTAAACTTAGAAATTTGTCGAATTCTAAAAGTTTATTTACCCATTCAAATCGAAAACGATCTTGTTCGTTGGGGTGAAGGCATTCACCGCTCTCTTGAATAGCTCAATATCATCGGTTAAGCTTTGCGTCTGGAAATCTTCAATCCTCGTTAAAATCATTCCTCGAGTCGCTTTGTAACCAGTCCAAAGATTGTCCAATATTGAAGTGGTTATCTAAACTAATTGTAGATTGATTTCACATAGTCAAACCATTCTGTTGATGTCAAGATTCTTGGAGAAATAGGTGAAATCCGCCAACACGAAGAGATCTTTTGGTTTCGCGTTGTTGAGTGGATTTCCCGTCAAAATCGCTTCATCAACAATGTATCTTGCAGCTGAAATTCGTTTGGATTTACTCCGAGCTCATTTTTGTAGAGCTGCAGTTAGTTTAGAAGCTAGTAAAGGTTCTAAGTAATTAGTTTAGAGTCTAATAAAGATTCTAAGCAATTAGTTTAGAGTCTAATAAAGATTCTAAGCTCATAAATCAAGTCATAAATCTGTTCAGGCATTAAATCTATCTTTCAACCTTTGTTATTATTAAACGTTGTATTTGTAATCCTCAAAATTCACCTCTTGAAACAGTTGCCACAAGTCTTCCCGTTTGATAATCGTTTTGGAAGTTTCCATTTTGAATGATGGCTAAATCCCATTCAGCAGACGCAATGCATTCGAGCCAAGGTTGATACTAAAAAGCAGTACTGGTTAGCTTATCAAACCTTAGATCCTTATCAATATCAAATCTTATCAAATCCAAGTCTTATTAAAAGATTTCAGCTTGATAAGATTATCAAGTCGGTAGTTGACTAGTTAGTTGGCCTAATTCTTGAGTACTTCCATCTAAACTGGCCTAATTCTTGAGTATTTACATCTAAGCTGGCCGAATTCTTGAGTATTTACATCTAAACTGGTCTAATTCTTGAGTATTTCCAGCTAAACTAGCCTAATTCTTGAGTATTTCCATCTAAACTGGCCTAATTCTTGAGTATTTACATCTAAACTGGTCTAACTCTTGAGGCCTAACATCTAAACTCTTCACCTTCCCGCTCTTGATCACAAAATGAATCGTGTCTGGAGGAAAGTTAGTGGTATTCGTTGGACAAGTGACGGAACTAAAAACGACTTTAAACCATAGCTATGTTAGACTAATATCTTTACAAAAAAGATACTCAGTAAACGCAATCGTCACCACAACAGGTCCTCCTCTCGAAGAAATTTCCCCACTCAAATAGTTACTAGCCGCATTGAAAGCTCTAAAACATGGGAAACCGCTCATGGGAAAATTTCGATGATTGATTACCCTTGAAGATCGAAACTTGAATCAGTAGTATTCAATCCAAGAATTGTCTCATTCAGCTTCAAAGCCAATCCATCAAAACTCTTGTATGAGTCAAAATTGATCGCCTGTGAATTGCTTTGTCCATAGAAGAGGAATCCAAAACGGGTGAAAGCGAGATTGTAGAGATTTGTGAATGAAATCAGTGAGTTGATTAGCTAAAAATCTTTCTATTAGTGAACTATTTCCAATTGATTGTCTTGGAGAATCTATTTGAGTGTTAAGGCTGTCAATTTCCTCACATTTGACTTGCTGTTTGCGTCAAAACTGTTGCTAGAATCAATTATGAAGTAAACGTCCGTGGAAACAGATTTTGATGGCAGTGGTTGAGTGAACAAATTGTTGAAATAAGCTGAAAATCATTGCTTACAGCTATTTTCAGAATTTACCCTGTGACAAGAATCCTTGTACATTCCTCGTCAAGAGATCATCATTTGCAAGAATTCCCTGTGCTCGATAGAGATTCTCCGGTGTTGAGAGATAGGAAAGCCAAGAAATTGCACCTATTTGATATTTTTAAGAATTTTATTTCTTGATTTTCTTAAAAAGAAGCATCAACATGGAGAGAGATCTAAGACTAGAAGGTGCCAGAAGAAGACGAGCGGCCTGGACAGCACTAGGAAGCATCAAAGAAGTCACAAAGATACTCAAGAATCACCAGAGCACTTGGGCACGCCTCTTCAACAGCATCGTCCTCCCGGCACTCCTCCCGGCGTCACTGCTACGGGACAGAGACCTGGGCCACGACACACGGGACAGAGACCTGGGCCACGAACGACACAGACCACCGAACGAGCCTTGAGAACGAGGCATCGAGCCCTTGAAAGGAACCTCCTCGGGTACAATAGGAAGACGCAGCTCGACCAAGACCTAAGAAGTACGGATATGCGCCAGCTCTCGGGACTCAGAGATCCAGTAGAAGTGATCGAGAGAAAGACTCAGATGGGCCGGCCACGTAGCCGATTTCGATAGCCAGAAGAACAGACGACTGATGGACGAGACGGGTCACAGAGTGGCTACCACGAGACCAGAAGAGGCCCATCGGAAGACCAGCAACGAGGTGGAGCACAAGAGTGGCAGAGACGGTCAGAGAAAGGATGGCTAGAGTGCGACCACCACCAGCACAAGCAAGTCGAAGACTTCGAATCAGGAACAACGAAGATAGGAAACACTGGATGACAATCGCAAGGGATAGAGAAATGTGGAAGCAGGTTGTGATCTGTGAAATAGGAACACCTAAGTGCGAAGACAGATCAAAAAATTTTTCCTCATCTATTTTAGAAAATTATCGTAATTAACTCGATAGTTATCGCTTCAAATTTTTCAATTTTGATATCATACGAACAATTACAAGGCTGATTTCAAAACTAGGCTCATCAAATGTAAACTAATCGTTAGATTACGTTATTTTAATAAAAGAGACTTTTTGAAAGTATCAAAAAGAAAGTTTAGTTTAGTAGAAAGAAAATTAAGAGGTAATTTTGAGCTAAAGGTTTTAGACAAGGACATTTTGCTTACCATTTACATTTACCTTTATTGCCTTTATTGCCGGACATTTACCTTTATTGCTGACATCGATGCTGTAGATTGGGAAAGCGGCTCGATACTTGGACATTTTTTCATTATCCCATCTAAAGTTGAACGAATTTTGGAAAGATTAACTTCAAAACTGATTCCGGCTTCCAAGTACGATGAAAGAAATCGGTTTATACACAAAATGTCCTTGATCGACGCCCAGAGTCATCGTGATAGCAGTTGAAAACATTCTAAACTTTCAATGAGTAGTGAAAAATGAGCCTAAACAATCTTCGAACAAAAATCAGCAATCTCTGAATTCAAAAATGCAATTTGATAGAGAAATTTGATTAAACTAGGTCTAGAATAGACTTGTAATGAAAAAATCTGTCGGTCCTTTTTTGCAGTTGGCAATTTAAGGTTTTTCGAGTTTTTCTCTGCACTAACTCTTCGATTTTAACTATCATTCGATGCAGAATAAAATTGCGCATCGAATCATACCAAAACCAACTCAAAATCTATTATTCACACGAAGTTGTTGGCTGAAAAGCCAAACCCCATTATGGGCGGGACTCAATCTTTTACTTCATAACTTTGCATGGATATTAGATTTTGAGTAAATTTTGGTATTATTCGATGCGCAATTTTATTCTACAACGAATGATAGTCAAAATAGTCAAAATCGAAAGGTTGATGCTGAGGAAAACACGTAAAACCTTAAATTGCCAACGGCAAAAAGAATAGAAAGACATTTTCGTTGCAAGTTTAGTCTAGAAGATGTAACTGATTGGTTCCAAGAGTACCAAGAGTTTCAAGGCGATTTCCAGCTTGATTACAGTTTACCTTTCAATTCTCAGCTTGATTACGGTTTACCTTTCAATTCCCAGTGGTGTCGCATCGGTTGACTTTACAAGGCCATCAATGGCTGTTCGAAGTTGAGTCATAGATTGAGATCTAGAAAATATTCAGCTAATCAGTGCTAGCATAACTACTGCAAGAAAGTGAATGAATCGTAGATCTGAGTGACATTTGATTGAGGAGTTGCCGAATAGGTCATCACAGAGAACTGCATCCCGGTGGTGTCATTCATGATTGAGTAGGATCCGACAAGTTTCCGCATGAAGAGTTTAGCCTGAAATGCTTCTACTGTTGCACAGAGTCTAGGTTTAGAAGTAAAGCTGTACAGTTTAAAAGTAAAGCTGTACAAGGCAATGATAAGGCAATGTTACAAGTTAGGTTTTTAGTTAATGATATCGACCCACATCGTTAAATTGGTCATCAGTCATCTCCAGCACATCCATAATGAAGACAACGTCTATCTTTGTCTCAACTGGATCAACTGGGCTCACGGTTGGATAAGGGGGAATTGAGGATTCAAAGTCTAAAACAAAATTTCAGAGGAAAAAACTGAGCTATACTTTTAGAAACAGCCATGGAAAGCCGTTTCATTGCATCCTCATTCACATTCAAGCTCAGCATTTCATTCGTGGCCACGATTTGAGAAACAGCGCACTCAAGGATTGAGAAGCTTGCTTCTCCATACAATGACAAGCCAAAGAGCTGAATAGCAAATTGGATTAGAGTTTGAGTACAAGATGATACTGTTCTAACTGCAACGGTTAGTATGACAAGCTCGGAACCAGTCTAGTACTAGATAGTACTAGATGAGTACTAGATCTATTCTAGTACTCATATAGACTGAGTACAAGTCATCATTGTCTGTCTGTCTGCTACTCTTTTGCTAACCAAGCTTCTGCTAACCAAGCCCAATGAACTCACCAAAGTCTCAATCGGGAAACCAAGAGCAGCTTGTCTCAGCTCTGAACACGATTCATCTATTCTAAACTTGAATTTACACAACCCAGTTGATAAGGCATACGTTGTATTCCCAGTCAAAATCGCTAAAGTGGCACTGTTCCCTCGATATCCACCATCATTAGCGAAATATCGTGTAATGGCACGATTGAGGTTTGCAGCCAATGCAAAAGTTGGTCGGGTTTCAGCCACTGGCATAAATCCGGTGATCAGTGATTGCAATGCGTCAAGATCTGAATGAATCAACTGAATGAACCAACTGAATGAACTTTTTCAAGCTTCTGAAAGTACCTGTCGAAGCTGAGAACCGGAATGAGTTGAATTCATTGGTGCCATCAAAGGAGAGGACACCAAATTGAGAGCCCAGCTCGGGAGAGATCAAGAATTGAGCCGCATAGTCGTACAGGGTGGATTTTATCTGAAACTTCGTTTCATCCTGTACTAATTGATTCCCCACATCACTGAAAGTTTGCTCAGTCATCAAGTTTGGATCAATGATGAACAAAAGATCGGTCTTGATTCGATCCAATGGCCAAGAGTTCGACAAGTCTGGTGGGCCGATGGTTGTTGAGATGGTTGGAGCTAAAAGATCCCTATCACAGTCTTACAGTTAAAAGACCGGAGTTTAAATTTGATCTTAAAAACTTGTTTACTTGGAGTGAATTGAGTGACCGGTGCTGGGGTGGGCTGCTGAGCGTAGGCTCCATAGACTAAAGAGTCATAGTTCATTGAAAGACATTAGACGGAATTTTTTGAAACTTACTCATATCCTAAATGTTCAACTCGGTTTTATATGAAGCAAACTTAAGAGCTTGGATGACCAGTCAATTATTTGATGGCTATTTAAAAAGCTGGAACGTTAAAATCGTGAAGTTTAATGGGAAAATTCTTTTGTTTGTGCTGCTCACTCAAATCTTGTCTTATTAAACATTCGACTTCAATTTTTTGTTTCCGAATCGGTTCCGATAGGGTTCCGATTCGGCTTCCTATCAGAGCCCATTCGGTTCCGATCTGATTAGGATTCGGCTCCCTTCCGGTTCCGATTCGGTTGCCTTCCAGTGCCCATTTGGTTCCGATTCGGCTTCGATTCGGTTGCCTTCCCGTGCCCACTCGGTACCAATTCAGTTCCGATTCAGCTTCGATTCGCCTTCGATTCGGTTCCGATTCGGTTTCCTTCCAGTCCCCATTCGGTTCCGATTCAGTTGCCTTCCAGTGCCCATTCGGTTTCGATTCGGTTCCGGTTCGGTTCCAATTCGGCTTCGATTTGGGTGCCTTCCCGTGCCCATTCGGTTCCGATTCGGTTTCCTTCCGGTACCCATTCGGTTCCGATTCGGTTTCCTTCCAGTACACGTTCGGTTCCGATTCAGTTGCCATCAAGTGCCCATTCGGTTCCGATTCAGTTGCCTTCCAGTGCTCATTCGGTTCCGATTCGGTTTCCTTCCAGTGCCCATTCGGTTCCGATTCGGTTTCCTTCCAGTGCCCATTCGGTTCCGATTCAGTTGCCTTCCTGTGCCCATTCGGTTCCGATTTATGTTAGAATCTAACTAACCGAATTGGAAATGCTACAACTGCTACCAATAGATATGGGGATAAAAATCTCAAAGTGAAAGATCGAGCTTACACAAGATATCTTTCTAGATAAAAGTATAGATATTGATATAGATAGAGATACTATTGAGTACTTGTATTAAGCTAAGTATCCAACCTAAGAAGTTATAGATAGGTTTCTTGATAGTAAGCTATCCAACCGTTTGAAATATAGCTGTAGTATCCATTTCCGCCGATGATCGCACTTGATGTCGGTGCTACAGTCGATGTTCTGACGATTTGCGTAGCCGACATCACTATTGGAATCACCTGTCGAGTTTTAATGATTAAATCTTAATTTTACTTACTCTTCTCAATGCAGAATAAACGCTATCAGCTGAATCGCTTGAAGCCATGTCAAAGCCGTAAAAACTGACAAATTGCCGGTTTTGAAGTTGAGAGATTGTGTCAACATAGTTGTCGAGAGGGGTTGTCAATCTAGAAATAGTTCTTTTATAGCAGAAACAGCTTTAGAGCTATATAAACAAACTTTGGATTCGCATTGAAGAAAGTGACGAAAGTTTGATTCTCTCGATATCCTGCAGATCTTTGCAAAATATTAGAATTCAGATAGGAGAGAGCTGCTCCAAAATCGGTTGTGTTTGTTGGAGCTGTTGGCGTTAATCCATTCAGGTAATTCTTCAACGATGTTGGGTTTGTGAAATCGGCCAAGCGGAATGTGTTCGCAGAGATGAATCCGTTTTCATTGTAGGAAAGCAAGGAGATCTAGGAAGGAAGATTGTAGGAAAGCAATGAGATCATTTTGATTTATGTTTTTGAGATTACTTTGATGATTTGACTTTATACAGTATGGATTTATAGAATTATTGGGTTGGTGAATTGAAAACTGCGGGCTATTGTCATATGTGACAGTTTGAGCACTTTCTTCAAAAGAAACCCATTTTGGTGTCAATGGAAAAGTTGTAGAGAATCAAAAATCAAGCTTATATCCAAATTTTCAGAACGATTCAAAAACTGTTTTTCAAGAAATGCCAAATTTACGAATTTTCACAAGACTTTCATTTTAAGCGAAACTACTAAGTGCATCTTTTTGGAAATTTGGCTATAAGCCTAATTTTTGATTCTCTACAACTTTTCTATTGACACCAAAATTGGTTTCTTTTGAAGAAAGTGCTCAAACTGAGACATCGGACATCTCCAGTCCTCCATTTTTGAGTCTCACACTTGTCTCACACACAAACCAAAATCCTACTACGAAAGAAGAATCCGCAAATTGCCTGTAAAATGAGCAGAAGTCGTCAATAATAATTGGAACTATTTGGAATGAATTTATGGTTTTATGTTGAATAAATTTTAGTCCAAAGTCCCGCAGTTTTCAATTCACCAACCCAATAATATTAACAAGTTGTTTTTCCAAAAAACCCACTTTCGACTCAATGCTGCTAATCGGCAGTTGGGTGATAAGATCAAGAAGAAGAGTTCGAATCTAAAAGATAAGATCTTTCAACAAATGTGGTTGAATAACTACTGTAATTTCGTTTTGATTACAGATAGGGTTACTGTAGCTTTTGATAGGCATATCTTACCTCGTTGAAAACTTGATCAACTGAAGAATCAACAACGAACACGAAGTCAGCGATGACCGCCTGGAGACCAAGTGGTGGCGGGTATTTGTAGCCTTGGTAATCTGTAAGAGAATTGAATAGTTAAGTTTAAGTTACTCAAAACACTTACTTGATGTCACTACAGTAGTAATAGCCGAATCCGCCTGATTGCTGAGGTTCTTCGGACTCTCCACTTGCTCATAGTTGTCGAAGAACTGTTTTCGGTATCCCTCCGGCAGGCCACCATTCGACATGTCCACATAGTAAGTGAACGCGTTTTTGCTTTGCAAACGCGTGCGCACTGGTGACATGGCAGATGGATTCCAAGTTGTACTGAAATCGGACAAAGCTTTGGAGATAATCTAGCAGTCTCTAAGATCATAAAATATTTGTAAACTTACTTATTCTGAGCGGAAAATACGAGTACATAGCTCTTTGATTGACGCCAATTGTTTGAGATTGTGAATTGGTTTTGAGCGACCCGATCGAGTGCTCTGAAAGGTCATTAGTTGGTACTTATAGCTAAAAAGAATAGTTTCTGTCTAGTTAAATGATCCAAGCCTTTGAAGTCGGTTTAATTACCAGAGTTCTGGCTTTGAAGTCGGTTTAATTACCCAAGTTGAGTTTAGATACACTACTGGACAATGAAATATCATATTTGAAAAAGATCGTCACTTTCGAGCGTCTGTAGCTCCCTTGTCTTTACCGTATTTCTTTACCGTCTTTACCGTAAATATTAATATTACCCTTGTGTAGCCCTTGAAAAGAGCTTTCAGAAAATGTATAATACTAATAGTTTCAACTCAAAGACAAGGGAGTTACAGACGCGCGAAAGTGACGATCGTTCTTCAAATATGATATTTCATTGTCCAGTACTGTAGGTGAGTAAAGCATAAGGCCCTATTCTATCGGCAATGGGATACGTGTTGGTGTAACTCATTGGTAAAGCGTTCTCCCGGTAAGGCACTCGATTACCGGGCGAACGAGGGTTCGAATCCCGGCGTTGGCCCCTTTTTGTTTTCCCAGCCTCAACTCATAAAAGGTTCAGCTCACAAGAAACGGACACAAGGCTGAGGTGGCCAAATGAGCCATCTACCAGCCGACGCAGAATTTTACACTGATTCCGATGTTGGCATCCGTTTTGATATGCTTTGGATTTGATGGCTCCGTTTCCCTCGTTTCCAAATCATCATTCCAATAATGATGATTTGGAAACGCGGGAAATCTGGCAAACAAGTTTGAGATCAAATTAGAAGGATTGAGGTCAAATTTGATTAATTTGACGTCAAAAATCAGTCCAAATCAGTCAGTTCATTATAAGGCTTCTTTCACCGCCTCGTCATGTGAGCTTGTGGTGTAGTGGATAAGGGTCTTGTTTTGGAAACAAGCTAACAACATTTGGCTCGGGTTCGATCCCTTCCTTTCTTTTTTTTCGCCAGTCATTCCAGCAAAACCCACTCAACGAGGAGACTCGAGTTTGAGGCAGCTTTGAACGTCCATTTATTGATCGCATCCTCAATGCAACTCGTCGTTTCATCACAATTCATGAACGGGAACTCGTAGAGGATTTGGTCAGCAAAACACAATCCCGAGATTTGGGTGCCAAAAACGCCGATCGAAAACTTCTTCACAAAGTCTTTCAAATAAGTGAGCACCTAGATCATTGTTAAGATTAAATCTTCAACTTTTTTCTACTATTTGATATAAATCGTTATCGAGATTCGCAAAATCGTAGACCAAAGTGATATCAGCTGCAATATCTCTCGTCGACAAGTCGTTCACTTGCAAGTATTCAAGGTGAGCTAAAGTTTTTTGAATTTTTAAGTTTAATGAGTTTAGAAGATTCGGAACACAAAACTAAGCCATTTGCAAAAAGTTTACTGATTTGCAAATCGGTGAAGAAAGATTGAATTGGCGATCGCTGGCCAGTCACCCGGATCGACCAATCGTCAAGATTTAGACCAACAGGATAAGCGTATTGTTCCTGAAATCAAGACCAGAAAAAAGTTTTGACATTTTCTTAGCTTTAGACAAGTTGTCTTCTTTACCTTGCTGGCTAGCTTCTTCGCGAAGTCTGGCACTGTCGTGTTGTCGAGGCAAAGCACTTGGACAACATATTGCTCGTGGAGAATTGTCAAGTTCTTATTTTGAACCAAAGGATCACTATAATTTTTGAATTTTTTGATTTTCTATGAATATTTAAACTTTTTGTTGTTTGCGGTGAAGAAAAATGCGAAACTTGGAGCGGAAAGTCGTTTGTTGTCATTGGCAGTGGAGCTGACGTTGGCGAGAATGAAATCGATTGCTCTGAATTGGAAAAATCCTGAATTAACTATAAAATTTCAAGAAAAATTCAAGGAGATTAACTTCAGCTTGTTCTTTGGATGTACTTTGTAGTCTAGTAAGTAGTCTAGATCTTTGTCTAGTAAGTACTTTGTAGTCTAGGTCTAGTAAGTCGAAAAGTTCACTAAACGCATCCCATCTGGCGCACGAGTTTGAAGGCTACTTTGTATGCACTGGTTCTTGTGCTTTGTACTCAAGAAGGTAAACACACGGCCTCTAGCACACCAAATTGCCTGAGCACGAAGAACACGTCTAACAAGAAAACATTTGAGCAATTAATTAGCAATTACATTTGAGCAATTAAAACTCAGGTGATCTATTGACCCGGTTGTACAGAAGGGTATCCACCGGCCGGATGGTCTAGAGGTATGATTCTCGCTTCGGGTGCGAGAGGTCCCGGGTTCAATTCCCGGTTCGGCCCAACTTTTGGTTTTTTTAAAAAAAAAATGTAATTGAATGCAAGGGAAGCGGAAACGACCGCTTGTTGTAGCCCAAAAGTTTTCCTAATTACAGGGCAGACACAAAGTTCCCCAAAATCACCCGAACCAATAAAACTCATGGTTTAAAAAACTTTTCATCGGAAAAAACAAAAATTAACACTAACAAATATATTCTCTAGATTGTTTTCAACAATTTTGTTTATTTCCTTTCGAAAATATCTACATAGGCTGCACAAGCGAAAGCCAAAGCTGTAGATAGGAGAAGCTTTTGGGAAGCCGTTGATGGTGATCAAGAGATACCCAGGAAAGTTCAGCCCAAGCTTTCTGGAGTAATTTTTTCAGTGAATCAATGCTTGAATTTGCCCACAAAGCACGCCTGCCCACAAAGCACGCCTGCCCGCCTAGGCGTCCCATCAAAAGCACCAAATTTTGCTTCCAAAGTTCTTTCGTGCACAAGGTAGCATTTCATGCTTCAAAATGTCTACATAATTAATACCAAAGCGCGGCAAACGGAGGTTGGTTCTGGAGGAAAATGGAGGTTGGTTCGGGTAGTTTTGGGGCACCATGTATAGTGTTGCGCTTCATGCATCTTTTTGGCTTTTTAAGACAATACATTAACTTAAGCTGAAAAACAACAACAACAATAAAATCTATTTAATTTTACATGGAATAGAAGAGCTGTAAGGTTTTTTAATGACTTTGACAACCCTAGCCAAGCAGTGTAAAAAATCCTAGACAGCATGATGCTGAAAAAACATTCAAATTCGAGTTTGGAGTCTCTAAAAAGTCGTTGATTCTGTTGTAAGTTTGACGAAGTTTTTAGCTTAAACTTCTTAACTCAAAACCTCAAAACAGCACTTTTATAGCTGTACAATTTTTCTGTCACTCTTTAACTCTTTCTGTAACTCTTTCTGTCACTCAAAAGCTCACTTGTCATAGTTTCCATTTCCAAAAGTCGTTCCACCCTTTGCTTGAAGTGATTTGATATTGTTGAGAACACTCTAAAACTATTTTTACTCATTTTATGCAGATTTCTCACAGCTTGATCGAATTGTTGATTTTGCAGGATTCCTGTGGTGATCCCAGTTGAGTCAAAGACAACGAGCGCTATTCTTGAATTGTCCTTTCCGATGGTGAATTGCTGAAGTTTATGGCTTTAGCTTTAGCTTTCTGATAAATGTGCTTTCTGATACTTTCTGATAATTTCTGATACCTGGACAAATGTGCCAAGGAAATCTTTCACATTGTTGAACAAATCGGTTGGCATTTCTCGATCAATAGCAATGACGACGTCTGATTTGAAAAACGCGAATGGTGGGGGTTGTTCTTCTAAAAGAAGCCGTATATAAGAAGCCGTTTTTATTTTTGAAAATTTACAGACTACACAAAGTCGTCTGCTCTTTGATAATCAAGTTCAGTCATAACATTAAGCCTAATTCTTTGTCCTGTCAATCAAAATTGGATAAATGCATGTATGAACAAAGATACAAGAAAATAGAATTAATGGTTTTAAGGTTTTGTCCATTTGCTCTAGCTCAAAGCTATCCAAAACTATAATAAACTTATAGTTAGAATAAAACAATAAACTTAATAATGAAGTAAGACCCCAAATGTCAATTTCCATCTAAACTTGATTCAAAAGCACCACATTAGGCAATGTCCATCGGATATTTGATAAGCCCCGCCCCTTTTACCATTGGCAATCCAACTTTGAGCTCAAATATCTTGGTTTTGATCGGTTCAATTTAAATATTTTTGGTATTATTAGATGCGCCAAGTCTTTCTCTGTCGATTGGTACAATCGCTGTCGGACATCTGATAAGCCCCGCCCCTTTTACCATTGGCAATCCAACTTTGAGCTCAAATATCTTGGTGTTGGGCTGTACAATTTAAATATTTTTGGTGTTATTAGATGCGCCAAGTCTTTCTCTGTCGATTGGTACAAAAGTATTTACATTGGATAGCCCAACACCAAGATATTTGCGCTTAAAGTTGGGTTGCCAATGGCAAAAGGGCAAAAGGTAAAAGGTCCCTTTTCCCATTGGGAATCCAACTTTGAACCCAAATATCTTGGTGTTGGACTGTTCAATTTAAATAGTTTTTGTACCAATCGACAGAGAAAGACTTGGCGCATCTAATAACACCAAAAATATTTAAATTGTACAGCCCAACACCAAGATATTTAAGCACAAAGTCTGATTGCAAATGACGTATCAAATTTCCCACAATGTTAGCCATTAACCACAACAGATAATAACCCACGCTTTCCGGTCGACGTCTGGTACAGCAACGGCCCGACGAGATCCAATTGTGAAGCCATCCCGCTCAATGGATCCGTGTAATTCGTCACTCTCACATACGATGAGGAAATCGTTTTCATAAAGCTCGACTCGATATTTCCGAGACCAATTCCCATCACGGTGACGCCTCCTTGTCCCAAGCCGTTTAAAGCAGCTTGATAATTGGTGCCGACCAGGTTTTCGCTAAATCTCAAAGATTTGAAATGATTTCTCTCACTCACTTTCCGGTTGTGAACACCCAGAGGAAGTTCACTTTGTTCCGGAATCCGTTCTTTGGCTGGTAGGTGACATCTCGGAGTAAGTCGAGAGCACTAGAAGTTGTTTTGGATCAAGAAAATGATTACCGCATTTGATTCAAGACTGAGTTCTAGTTCTATAACAAAGCCAAAATTGTTGGCTTTGTTAGCAAATCATTGCAAGCCCATCTTGCTCAAAATCCTTACACATCAATCGATTTCTGTGGTTGATGGTTAGCCGATGGTCCGTATTGCCAATCTTCTGTCAATCCTTTGTACAAAGAAGGCCAATCGGAGTAAGTATTGAAGTTGATTACTGCCTAAAACTGATTTCAATCTTGTTTTGAGATTTCAAGTTGATTCTGAGCTTTACAGACCGTAGCATTTCCATCAAAAGTGACAAGAGCGATCCTCGTGAACTCGTCACCAATCTTGTACCGAATCAAGGTGTTGATTAAGAACATTCGAAGCTGTAAAGAATAATGTTTAACGAATTAACAGATTTATTTATTAACATTTAACAGTTATTAACAGTTATTAACATTTATCTCCATTTATTAGCATCCATAACATATTTAAATCATTATTTAACTCACCACTTCAAATCCCCGATCATTAAGCGCGGTATTGTTCACAGCAAAATCAGCAGAAGTATCTAAAATTTTAGAAACGATTCAAAACCTAGCCAGCTTTTAAATCAAAACAAACATAATAAGATTCACCAATCAAAATGCAAATATCAGGCCAAGTTTGTGAGGCGAGAAGACCCTGAGGGAGGAAACCGGGCTGTTGTGTTGGCGGCGGTGGAGTAGCTGGTGGATCAGTTGGAATCCCTAAATGTTGACTGCAAATTACTTTTAGTAAGATAACAAGATTGAATTTAGTTCTAGATTTTCGATTTTAGATACTGATAGATCTAAGAAATCTCTAAGAACTGACCTTCTCCCGGGTAATGCGCACAAACGTTATCCCGAATCTCGTTCGCTGTGTAAACGGCTGGGACTCCTTCTGGCGGATCCAATAACGTTCCATCGATTAGCTGAATGGCTTTTATTTGTCTTGTTTATTTATCTTCTTTATTTATTCATCCTTTACCGTATATCTTTGCATTATCTCTCTCAATCCAACAAACAACGCCTCATCATCAGATGTTCCAATAGCAAAGTTGTAAATCCCAGTTTGAGTCATGTGTAGAGAGACATTCGTTGCATTTTCAACATCTTCAGCACTAAAAACATAGTTTATAATCATTTTTGAAGTCAAAATGACGTAACAATAGAGCTTGATTCGCTGCCACAAATGTTCTTTGTTCGGCCGCACAATCGCTCGCGATCTGGCCCACCGGTTTTGCTTATACCCTTCCCAGAGTGCTCATCGCCAGGAACTTGTTCCTTTAAGAGGTACTTGGTACCTCCAAGCTAGTCTTGGATATTTTTTGGGGCGCCGACCTGGGGATCCCGGGACGGCAAAAAGAGACAAATAATTTCGATTTAAAATACAGGTTCTGCCGAAAAAAGTGGGCATCAGTATGAGTCTGGCAAAATTTTCTCGTTGATTTTTCAAAACTGGTTGGTTGAATTGGTTTTGCCTCAGGCGCCACCCATACAAAGTTGATTTTTTTGAAAATTTTCAAACGAATAAATGCAAATTTTCTCAGAAAACGTTAAAAAGCGCGAAAAAATCAACTTTGCGGGTGGCGCCTAAAGCAAAACCAATTTTGACAACGCGATAAGCCATAAAAAATCAACGAGAAAATTTTGCCAGACTCAACCGATAACAACTCCGGACAGCCTGTAAAATCGAGATTATTGGTCTTTTTTTGCCGTCCCGGGGTCCCCAGGTCAGCGTCCCAAAAATTATCCAAGACTAGCTTGGAGGTACCAAGTACCATAAAAGGAACAAGTTCCTTGGAAGGAGCACTCTGGGAAGGGTATAAGCAAAGCCGGTGGGCCAGATCGCGAGCGATTATGCCGCCGAACAAAGAACATCTATGACAGCCAATCAACCTCTATTGTTACGTCATTTTCTCTATGGTTACCCCTGTATTTTACAATCTGATTTTAAAAAAAACTTGGCGGTTCTGTTAGTTTACCTAATCCCTTTTGGCATAGCCTTTTGCCTTGACGGTGCTGTTCGTTCAATTACCTAATCCCTTTTGGCATAGCCTACCAATTGAAATGTTCACGAAACAAGCTCGATTAAGTTCATAGATTTAAAGTTTTATCATTCCACTCTTCAGCTTGTTCCTGGCCTTGGGATTTTGAGGTTTTAAAAATAAATCACCTATTTCCTGTGATAATTCACTTACTCCAAACTCCCAGCTATCACAATGGTCGACCAAGAGGCGTATGGCCGACCGAATGTCGTAAGTTGTTTGATCGCTTCTCCAAAAGCTCTAAACCATACCGAAATCAAACTCGAAATCAAATCAAATGAAGTACAAAACTTACGACGACAAATAGTCTGGCCCATCAACTCTAGCTGTTAATTCAAGATTCTCCAATGCTGTGTAAGCTGTCGAAAGGTTGAAACTCGCAGGTAAACTTTGAATCAATTCCGCATTTTCACCGGAATAAGTCACAATAGCCAGTCTTGTCAACTAAACTCGTCAAAACGTTTTTAACTTACAAAAAAACAAACCTTTTCAACTCCACCATAATTTAACCCTTCAAAAGCTGCGAGTAGAGCATTAGCAGTGAAGTTTTTGATCTAAAATTGCTGCTTTTTATTTTTAAAAACGTTTTCTACAGTATTGAAGAGATTTTCTTGATCTTTTGATGGCATTTGAATGATCAGAACAATGTCGGCTGGATCGGGGCAGAAGATTTCTGGAATTTTTCAGATTTCTGGAAGTTTAGCAAGCCAGCAAGTGAATTAAGGACACTCAATACCGCTCAAAAACCCTAAAGTCAACCCTAAAGTTCAAAAACCATAATAATAATACTATTGCTCTTACTTTAGAGTTGAATTTTTCAATCGTTTCAACCGTTTCAACCATTTCCAGATCTCCAATATTTCAACTTTTGTTTGACTTTACAAGATTGAAAAATTCGTTTTGAATTCCTCACCAATTTGTGGCTGCAAACAGTTACTCTCGCGGCTCGCTTCCTTTCTGAAATCCCACATTTGATCGACAAGCTCAGCTCCGGCCTGTTCGGCGAAATTGATGTTATAATCGGGAACCTAAACAATATCAGTTTCAATTTATTTTCTATTTATCGTCTTTTTATTAATATGAATGCCTTTGGGCTGTTGCTAAAATGAAATGCCTTTGGGATGATTCAGATTCAGATTATCGTATTTTTCTTATGACATTTCCAGAGAAAAGCATTGTTTTTCCCGGATTAAATCATTTTTTCTCTGAATCGATCGGGTTTTTTTCTAAAAAATAGAAAATAGGCTGTCAAAAACCGGAAGAAAAGTCCAGAGGTTTGTCGGGAAAAGCAATGACTACGTGACGAATGGTTCCAAGATGGTTCACATACGGTTCCAATATGGTTCCCCAATATAGTTCCTATATGGTTCCAATATGGTTCCAATATGGTTCCTATATGGTTCCTATATGGTTCCATTATGGTTCAGATACGATTCCAATATAGTTCCAATATAGTTCCAATATGGTTCACATACGGTTCCAATATGGTTCCAATACAGTTCCAATATGGTTCCAATATGGTTCCTATATGGTTCCAATATGGTTCAGATACGATTCCAATATAGTTCCAATATAGTTCCAATATGGTTCCAATATGGTTCCAATATGGTTCCAATATGGTTCCAATATAGTTCCTATATGGTTCCAATATGGTTCACATACGGTTCCATTATGGTTCCAATATAGTTCCAATATGGTTCCAATATGGTTCCTATATGGTTCCAATATGGTTCAGATACGATTCCAATATGGTTCCATATGGTTCCAATATGGTTCCTATATAGTTCCAATATGGTTTCAATATGGTTCCAATATGGTTCAGATACGATTCCAATATGGTTCCAATATGGTTCCATTCGTCACGGACGTGTCATAGGAAAAATAGAATAATCTGAATCTGAATCACCTCAAAAGTTGGTCGTCCAGTGATTTGTTCCATCAATGCTTCGCTTTTTCCCGAACCAACAGTGGCACCTAAATCAGTATCATTGTTTAAATGTGAAAATGAAATCCTTAATTCTTTTTTAGATTTGATTTGAATTCATTTGAGAATTCTATTGCCAACCTTTCATTATAATCCCTTGATCGAGCATCGCTGTCGAGATGTTGAACGGCTCGTCGCAACACTTTTGATCTTCTTGGATATATCTAAATGTCTCATACAGATACAAAATCCATTCAAAATCCTTTTACAAGACTTTGTAAACCAAGAAAAAGTAAACTTTGTAAACTTTCGATACTCTTAGTTTAAACTCAAGTCAAATCCTTACGTTCCACGCCCAAAAATGATCACCACTTGACCGTTTGACGTCGGTGAAGCGCCGAAAAGCGAACGAGCCAGTTGGAGGCCACTAAAGTTTCAAAGTGTCGATTATTTTATTGCTAACTTACAGCGCAATATCACTGTAACTCCCCGGTGGTACTTCAGGAATTGTTCGTCTGATCTCTGACTCCAGAAGTGACGGAATATAGGAGATCTCTTGCGAGAAATTGAAAGCAATCCCTGTTCGATCGGGCCAAGTATGAGGACGATCTGGAATAGGATTTCGATTTCTAATTTAACTCCCAAACCATCAGGATTCGAGTAGTAGGCGAGAGCGACTCGATCGGTGAATTTCCCAATGTATTCTTGGGCTTTATTGACATAAGAAAGCATGGCTCCTTTTGCCTGAATAGAAAAGAATCATTTCAAGAGCTAACTGTGTCAATCAGAAGAAAAGACGGCTTCTGGTACTCGCTGCTTTAGGTTAAAGGTCAGAAAATGGATCACTAACGGCTTAATTACCCAATCGTGCAGTAAATCCACGTTTACCTACCGTAAATACTGTAATAGTACCCCACCGCCCTCGTACAGTCGCGTAGTCGTTTTTTAGTATTTCACTTTTTTTCAAAGCACCCGTACTTTCAAAAAATGCGTCTTTGGTATCAAAAAATAGCCCTGAATTTCAGCTATTTTTTTGATACCTAAGCGCACATTGTAGCATAAACCAGTGTCGAGAAAAACTCGTTTAAAGCTAGACTACGCAACACTTCGCACCGTCATTATGGGGGTGGGGTACTATTACAGTATTTACGGTAGGTATGATATGTGATGTTTGCATAAAAACAAACAGCAGCTAGAAATCAGTCCAGAACCTTCTCAGACTATGACCAAGCTAGGATTTAGCCAAAATCTTGGCAAGCTAGGATCTTAGCTAGGCTAGAACCTTGATCAGGATCAAGCCAGGAGCCTGACGAAGCCAGAACATCTGCCCAAAGCTATTCTAAAACCAAATTTCTGTCTAAGCCAGGATCAAACGTTAAACTAGGGTCTTTCCCTAGTTTAGCTTTTGGTTTGGACCATTCTTTAACCATAAAATCATAAAGCGAAAAGTTCTACAACTTTTAAGTGCTAAAAGTTGATACCTAAGCGCACAGCTAGCATAAACCAGTGTCGAGAAAAACGCGTTCAAAGCTAGACTACGCAACACTACGCACCGTCATTATGACGGTGGGGTACTATTACAGTATTTACGGTTGTTTATTTATAGTTAAACTTTTCTTACGAAGAGTTGCCCTTTCCGATTTCCGACCACTTCAGAGTCTTCGACGAGGAAAACGATATCCAGATTGCACATCGCATCAGTGGTTGCTAGATTGATTCATGGTCAAGAATTAGTCAATGTCTTCAATGTCTTTAATGTCAATGCTAGTTTTAATCAACAATTTCAGACCGAACTGAATCAGATCAGATCAGATCCGAATTCAATCAATAATCAACAATAACTGTTTTAAAGATGATTGAGAATTACATCTACATCTACAGTGGCGGACAATTAAATAGAACCTGAGGCGTTTTAGAGCATGATAATGTTCAGCAAAAAGATTCTCCGTATTCGATTTAGTGGGAATAAGCTTTTAGTTTGTGGAAATTCGTTGAAATTTAAGGGTTTTCGGGCATCTGAAAGTGCTCAAAAAGGGTCAAAAAAGAGAAAAAACGGCAAAAATAGCCAAAAATCGTCGTTTTTGAGCACTTTCAGATGCCCGAAAACCCTTAAATTTCAACGAATTTCCACAAACTAAAAGCTTATTCCCACTAAATCGAATACGGAGAATCTTTTTGCTGAACATTATCATGCTCTAAAACGCCTCAGGAAAAAGTTGTAAAACTATACTTTTATTTTCATGCATTTTTAAGTGCCTCAAAGTTTTTTCAGAAAACTCGAAAACTGTTTAATAGATGTATATTGAACTATATTTTACTTTACTTTTGAAAGTAAGTTAAAATAATGCACGAGAGAGAAGACACGAAATAATTCCCTCGGTTCTATTTAATTGTCCGCCACTGTAACTTTCAAACCAAACCTCGACAAGTCAATGTTCTTGCAGTTAATGGAGCGGTGGCGACAAGTGAATTGTAAGTAGCTGTTGTCAAAAGATTGGCTCTAGAACTTTGATTTAAAGTCATGCTCTAGGAACTAACAATAATATTGTAAGAAGATCTAGAGTTTATCTAAATTTGGTTCCTTATCTCTACAAATTTGGTTCCCTATCTGACTAAGTTTGGTTCCCTTTCTCTTTTAATTTGGTTCCCTGTCCGACTAAATTTGGTTCCCTATCCCTCTAAATTTGGTTCCCTATCTCTACAAATTTGGTTCCTTATCTCTACATATTTGGTTCCTTATCTTTCTAAATTTGGTTCCCTATCTCTACAAATCTGGTTCCTTCCTGACGATAAGTCTTGGCTTTGAACATGCTTGAACTTACTCTCCATCGAAATTTTCATTCAAAAGCAAAATATTTTGTAGCATTGCCTTTTTTCCTTCATCTGGGAGCACTAATGAGGCGATGATCTGAAATTTTCAATTTCAATGGATCCTTCAATGGATTCTTCATTTAAAACCTGAATTCCTTGTTTTCTAAACGATTCAACAATTGCTTTCACGGAGTTGATTTTTGCCGCTTCTTCCATATCGTTAGGACTTAAATGTTTTTTTAAGTTGTTGAATTTAAACTTTGTAATCTGGAGAATTTACAGGATGCGGTAGGATTATTGTAATCGATTTCTTTAAAGGATAGAAACCGTTAAAAGGCTTAGGACATCAACTCAAAAACTTTAACAATTGATTTTTAAAGATATTAAACAAGAAAAAGTACTTTCTTTTAAAAAGTACTTTCTTTTAAAAACTACTTCCCTTCCTATTTCTACTTCCTTTCCTCTATAGGCAGAAATGCAGGCCTGGTGTCAGGATCCATCGGCCGGTATGGATCCATGGGAAATGGATCCATCGGCCGGTAAGCGGAATCGAGTGGAAGCCGGAATGATAAACGGAATTGAGTTTATCACATGCTTTTTCAAGAGATTTCTTAAGCGAATCAATGCTGGAATGCTTTTAAGCACGTTTTTGCTTTAAGAACATTCCAAACACTGAGATCAATTGGATTAAGCTCGAAGGATGGCCACTAAAGGTGACCAAATCGGGAAAATGCTGCTGGCGCCAGTCCTGAACCACTCAAGGAGAAGATCTTTCTTAAGTATGTTGGAACTAGCATTGATGCACTGAGGCGATTGCAATAATCCTGCCGCACAAGGTTTCCCTTACTTTCCAGGAGTGATAAAAACCACAGCTCTGGGAGAATTGGCGTCAAAGTTGCTGGAAAAGTCGTTCATCGCGTCGAATCCACTAAAAGTTCGGGAAATTTGTCGACTTTCTACAATACTTTCTACTTTGTTATGATGCTCAATTATTTTTGATCAAGGACGGGCCAAAGCCAGGCCAACCAAGACCAGGACAGGCCAAAGCCAGGACAGGCCAAGGCCAGGACAGGCCAAAGCCAGGACAGGCCAAGGCCATGCCAACCAAGGCCAGGCCAGCCTAGGCCAGGCCAGCCAAAGCCAGGTCAGGCCTGAATTTTTGGTTCTAGGAACAACCCTGTACATGTCTACATGTCTACGGAACCCTATAAAGCTGAGTTCTTTTATTTCGCTGAGAAATAGTACAGTACCGGACAGATTAATATCAACGTATTTCATTTTAGATTTTCAATGCGACTCATTACCTATCCATTAACCGATTAAAGACTTGTCTAAAGCTGATCACTTAAAAAGTAACCAATTCACTTCAGTTGAAGAAATCTCTTATTTTTTTATCTAAATTCCACTCTGATTTTTCAGCAAAAGTTTTTCTGAAATATAGCCAAGTTTATCAAAAAAAGGTTTGTGAAGAATTTATGGTTTTGTTTTTAAAAAATCATCATGTAAACTTTTTCTTCAAACTTTCTTGTTAAACTAATCTTTTCGAAGGGAATAGAGTCAGTTTTTCACTTTATAGACTAACCTAAATAGAATAGAAACATTTTCCCTTTCTCAAACCCACTCACATCGTGTAATTCGTGTACCCATTCGTGTACTTTGTTGTACCCAAATAGGTCAAGAAATCGTTTACTCCTCGCAAAGCGCCCGAGTTCTCTTGAACCTTTGTGTTAAAGGAAATATAGCCATATCTAGCGTTTTCAGCTCTCCTTGTTTGTTCGATGAAGGAACGGATGAACGATGTGAGATTCTAGAGCTGTTTAATAGCTAAATCTTCTTGTTTAATAGCTAAAGCTAAGTGTTTAATAGCTAAATCTTCTTTACGTTAAATCCAGCATCGATACTTTGCGACATGTCGATGAGGAAAAGGACTTGAAGAGCTTTGCATTTCTCGGCTGAAAGATCCAATGCTTACATTAAGACAAATACTTTGTTTCTAAAGCTTACGCAGTATTGGTGGTCCAGTGGGTGTAGTTGGAAGAGTCGGTCGAGCAAATGGTGTCGTTGTGACCGTGATTGGAGCCCAAGTTGGCGGTGTGTGAACTGGTGGTGGTGTTGTGACGGGAACGGCTAAGATACAGTTCATTTGGCAAATACAGTTAATTTAGTAGACTGTTCTAGTTCAATAGACATCTGGAAATCTCATCAGATCCAAATTTTAACAATAAGGATTCCTTTTCATTCAAAGTCTGCTTGTTGATCACTTGACCAGTTGATCAAGGTTCAAGCAAATTGAACAAGACATTTTCACAGCTTTAGCAATCACTACTTTAACAGAATAGCAGCGGCGTTTAGGTCTTGATTTTACCTAAACAAATCCACCACAAGTTTCTCGCTCGAATATCAGCCAATCCCAATTGATACCAGTGATCAACGGCGACAAATTGATATCCCGACGGGACAATTTGAGCGTAAGTGGATCGAACGGAACGAGCATTGCTAAATGTTTCATATAAATCGTTCAGAATTCAGATTTCAGAATAAAAAGTGTTTTTAAAGGTTTAGCAAAAGGAGCAAAAGAAATCCCGCAACCGGATCCGAACCAGGGTCATAGAATTGAGCGGTAGACTAAGAGCGCGCACATTTACCTCTACACCATTCGGTCATGTTCGAAGCCAATATACCCTCAGGTTTCCCGAGAGCCTATATACACTCAAGTTTCCCGAGTAGGCACCCACACTTTGCCCTTTTTCTTGTGAACCATTAAGAATGGGCAAAAAATAAATAGAGCATCGTGTTCTCCATGCTCGATAGACGTTTACATTACAGCAGCGTAGCAAAATCGTTTGACCAGTTCGGACCATTCTCTTGGGAGATTTTCTTGGGATTGAACTTTCGATCTCTGATCTTTGAGTCAAGATTGTTAACCAATCACCCAAAATGCTTGAACACAGCAAATGACAATTTTAAAAGGCAAATTGAGCATTTCAAGTACTGTACTTGATTCTAAAAACAGTACAGCCATACTAGCAATTTGTAAAGATGTTTTTGGATTAAAATCAATCGTTATCCACCTAATCAAAATCGTTGATGTGTAGAAAGTCTGCGAAACAGCCTCGACGAGACTTCGACTCCGATTCTCACCAAATCCGTTGTCGTATTCACTAGAATTTCTCAGCTTCACGAAATTTCGATTTCTTACAATCCATCTGTCAAAATCGTCAGTGTCCTTGCTCTTCCGGGTCCCAATTGTTGATGAATGCTCGAGAATTCGTCACGAACAAACTCATAGGCTCTAATAGAAAATTAGAGAGCTGAACTCTTATAAACTTCAAAACCTTGTTATATTGTGGCTTTGTGAAGTGGTGTTGATAGCGATTTTTGAGATCGCATCATTGAGGCAACTCTAAACAAGAAAACAAATTGATACTTGTGCTTTTTGATTTCACAGAGAATACCTGATTGCCGCATAACCAATTGTTAATGAGAAAAGCGTTGCTTCCATAGAAAACCCCGACACCCATTTGGAAATTGCCCCAATCAGTGTCATTTGGTAGGGACAAAGTTGACAAGTAGGATTGGATCTGAATGATCGAATTGAATTTTGGATTTTGGTATTATTCTAGTGTTCAATCAATTTATTAATCAAATCAATTCAATCTTTTTGAGCTCGCTGATCGTTTAGAACTCTCAAAATTGGTTTATGATTTAAAAAATCGTCAAGAAAGCATTGGAGATGAGTTAATAGAAACTCGACTTTCTATTGGGTTGTCCAGTTTCTAATAGTTGCTAAAAAATGGCGACAGTATTGGGTTGTCCAGTTATGAATGCGCGTTTTTTACTATTTTGTAAATTTCTCAAGATACCGAAATCAAGAAAAAGATATATATGAGTATTATTCGAAAGCTGAAGATCTCCTCTACATTTTGATATAAAAAGTTTTTGAATTTGTTCAGCTTTTGGGTAAATTGACTGCACAGAAGAAGAGGTGGCCAAAAAATGGAAGGGCGCCTTTGGATCAAGTTTTGGCTCCGCTCAAATTGAGTTAACCGTTTGATGTTTGGCCAATAGATATATCAATATAATTTTTTTTTTCAATATAACAATTTTAGAGCATCCTTACTTTTCTTTTCTGGGCGGTTGTTTTACACCATGAAACTTGAGGAATAGCTAAGCTAGAATGGGTTTTTTCGAAAACGACCTCTCCCTTTGTGCAGTCAATTTGCCCAAAAGCTGAACAAATTTCAAAGGTTTTTATATCAAAATGTAGAGGAGATCTTCAGCTTTCGAATGATATATAACACTCATATACATCTGTTCGATATCTTGAGAAATTTACAAAATAGTAAAAACGCGCATTCATGACTGGACAACCCAATAGCACTCAGCACCGGCTGGACACTCGTTTAGGACACAATAGGACCTTTTTAAAAAGCCGACATTTCAACCCAATACATCAAATTGTCTGATTCCAGTGATTCGCTATCTCGGCAGATAAATCACGATTGTTTATAGTTAAAGAATGTAACATAAATTGCTCCTTTCGTAGTAGCACTCAGCACCGGCTGGACACTCGTTTGGTTCTGCGGTGACAGCTCAAACAAAGAGCTTTTATTCTTTTTAGGACCTAGATACAATAAGCTTAAATAGCTAAAGTACGCCAAAATCTTCTAGAGCTCAAAAACCCACGTCCAAGACTATCACTATCAGTGTATCCGTCCGGTAGAGGATCGCAACCGGGCGCATAACACATCAAAACCAAACCAAAGAAGTGAGTGAAAGATTTGACTCAAGACTGACTTTCATCAGTGTTTGAATAACAAAATAATCAACAAATAATGTAGTTGCAAAGCTTTAACAATTCCTTTTTGAATTTAGCTACTACCTTCGTACATAAATTGCTCTATTCGTAGTAGTATTGGATTGTTCAGTTATGAATGCGCGTTTATTTACTATTTTGTAAATTTCTCAAGATACCGAAATCAAGAAAAAGATATATATGAGTATTATTCTAGACCTTCAGCTTTCGAATCTTCAGGAGATCTTCAGCTTTCGAATAATACTCATATATATCTTTTTCTCGATATCTTGAGAAATTTACAAAATAGTAAAAACGCGCATCCATAACTGGACAGCCCAATAGATCCATTTTACTAAATTTGATATTCCAAAGTCGATTTATCGGAACTCGATCATCAAATTTCACCAAAACGAATCAGATCCCAGTTCTTCTTGTTTAACAATGAGAAAATTAATTTTCAAAAGATTTAACAGTTTTTGAATCTACAGGATATTAAAAACCAGTAAAACAGTTGAATCACATTTCCGTTTTGGTTCTTTCAAGAAAACTTAACATAACTTTGTAGAAAACTCAATTTATTCGACCTTCCTAAGGTGCTTCAACAGCGCAAAAGGTTTCCTAAGGGGGTTGGCAAACAACAGCGCAAAAGGCAATCATTTTGAAAATGAGAAACTTAAAATTGTAAGCGTTAGGCGTATTGATAAGTGTGTTTCCTTTTTAGCATTAAACTTGTATAAAATGAGCTCTAAATCTAGTGAACTACTGGTTCCCATAAATATTGAACCTGTAGAATGGTATGTCATCCTATAGATCCCATACTATAGACAAAATACGATCACTTATGGCCTGATTTTGCCTAGCTATAGCCTGATTCGACTAGCTCTGAGCTTGACTGGCTGGCTAGCTGGCTTCTACTTGACTACTTCGATTCTGTAAATGTTAAACATTAAGTTATCAACTACCGCTTGAAGTTTGTCTTTTTCTGAAGTCAATGGGTCCATCGGCAACGCAACATCCACCATGACGATCACCGTTCGTGACGGGTTTCTTGGATCGCACGAGAAATCTGAAACCAGGACGTTCTAACGTTCTAAAATCTACGGTAAACACGTTGTTAGCAATGCGTTTACCGTGGATTTTAGATTTAACAATATCCACTTATTGCACAGTACATTCTACAAGTTTTACTAGATTTTTACAACCTTAAATACTCAACCTTAGTCCTTTACTCGTTTGTTACAGGAAGCATTGCAGCAATCGCAGTAGAAAGCAATCGCAGCAAGGCTACATTGGTCAAAATCCATTTGTCTTACATTTACTTACAACTACCCAATTACATTTGTGCCTTTCAACCAAAGAAACTTTTATATTACTATATTTTTCTTTTGTCCCGGAAATATTTCCCTTTAAATATTGCTCGATCAACAATTTTTTGCCCGATCAACTTTTATGTGTCTCTTTTCTTTTTAAATATCTTTTTAATATCTTTTTAATTTTAAGTGTAATTTGGGATTTTATTAGGTTGGTGAATAAGTCTTTTCCTTCCTTTTCATACTTTCGTTTAAAAGTTGAACCAGTTGAACCAAAAAATGCAACAAATACACCAATTGAACTACGGTTTGTTTTATTAGAAAGGTCAATTATTTTTCTGTAAAATAACATTAAAATGAGTTTAAAATGTCTTATGTCTGGATTTTTTTGGAAGTGTGAAGTCGGGTAGACAAAAAGAGCGGCAGGATGATATTAATAGTGAGCCTAAGCCTGAGCCTGAGCCTAAGCCTAATCCAGACACGAGAACTGCCTGAAAATTTGCCAGGATGCTCCTATGGGGGCGCATGAGCATCGCCAAGCGGGTGTCCCTTAGCTCCGAGAACTGGCTGAGATCCAGAAAATGGGGGTTCAGCCCAAACCCAAATAGACTTAGTGCTAGGCGCTAGCCGCTAGCCTACGCACTAAGTCCAAGCCTAAGCCTAAACCTAAGCCTAAACCTTAGCTAAAGAAACCTATATGTTTAGATTTAACAATATCCACTTATTGCATAGTATATTATACAGGTTTTACTAGATTTTTACAACCGTAAATACTCAACCTTAGTCCTTTACTCGTTTGTTACAAGAAACGTCGCAGCAATCGCCGTAGCAAGCAATCACAGCAAGGCTACATTGGTTAAAATCTATTTGTCTTACATTTACTTACAACTACCCAATTACATTTGTGCCTTTCAACCAAAGAAACTTTTATATTACTATATTTTTCTTTTGTCCCGGAAATATTTCCCTTTAAATATTGCCAGATCAACAATTTTTGCCCGATCAACTTTTATGTGTCTCTTTTCGCCCCATTCTCCTCAATGATTCACGCAAAAATGTAAAAAGAAAACAAAATAAAAGTGAACGATTCTTTAAAAAACTTGAGGAAAATCATTCAATTTTGATAGCGCTGAGTCAACTTTTGAAATTGATTTGTGAAAGATTTCACAACTCACCTCCAATCGGTGGTGGGTCGGGTGTTGGCGAAATGTTGTCACAGAAATCGCGGGATGAGTCTGAAAAAGTTTATTTAAGAATTTCAGTCTAAAAAGCAATGTTATCAATGCATTGTTAGCAATGCAATGTAATTTTTCACTTACTTTGCACAAGCGCTTTCCATCCGGCCGACGTGAGAGCACTTTGCACGTCTTTTGGATCAACTTTTGAGGTAAAGATGAGTGTTCCGTAAAACATTGTAGTGCTGTTAAGTGATCTATAAACATTGATAGATTTGAGCTCATTGATAGACTGAAGACTGATAGAATGAAGACTGATAGACTGAAGACTGATAGACTGCAACTCACGGAACGAGATAATCGGGCGAAACGACTAAGAGCTTTGAATTGATTGCGAAATTCGAGAAACGAAGGAGTTGTGGCAGCTCTTGTGCTTTCAGTGATGAAGCCACTCCACTATTCAATACATTTGTGATCTAAAATCTTCCAAATTCTTTCAAATATCTAAACCAAAAAGTCTAGCTCTTAAGCTCTTCTTGCTAAAGCTCTTATTGCTAAATGTTACATTTGTCGAAAAATTCGCTATAGCTGATTGAGTTGCCGGTGCGTTGAGATCATTGTAAGTGTCATCCCAGGGAATTCCAGGATCCACCGAGAAATGGAGAATACTCCCAATGTCACTTGCGTCGCATACTTCAACATGATTCTTGCAATCATCTTTTTCTAAATTTGTAACATGCAAAGTTTAGATCTTTGTGCAATTTTTTTACTCGTGTTTTATAGAAGTTGAGTAACTTCAGTTAGAATTGTAATGTACGCCTTGTGAGGCTCTAAACGAGCAGAAATATTGTTTCCTTACAACACACGGTAGATACTATGAGTTAGATCATTCTTTGAATTGACTTTTCGTATTACCTTTCTCTGCCCAATAACATGAATGAGTCAAAACGAAAACAATAAGATTTTTCTGTTTATCTTGCTTGGTTAAACTTGGCTAGATGGGGTACAGTTTGGCGAACGACGAGGGCTAGCTTGGTTACTGTATGGGATACGATACTATTTGCACGTTTTGTTAAAACGTTAAATAGTTTAAAAAAGTTAATGCAAAAAAGAATGGTGACGGTGCAGACATTGATCTATACGCCGGCTCAATCCTCATTAAAGCCAACAAAAGAACTTGCGATTTTGGAGCCAAGGTAACTATAGATCGGTGTAGATCTTCGAGATTTCACTCTGTCCCATGGCCGACTGGCTAAGAGCCTTATCTCTTGGTCAGGAGGTCAAGGGTTCAATCCCGCTGGGTGGATTATTGGTTCTTTTTATGCCAGATTGATGGATTTTTGGTCAACCTTGGCTAGATGGGGTACAGCTTGGCGAGGGCTAGCTTGGCGAGGGCTAGCTTGGCGAGGGCTAGCTTGGCGAGGGCTAGCTTGGCGAGGGCTAGCTTGGCGAGGGCTAGCTTGGCGAGGGCTAGCTTGGCGAGGGCCAGCTTGGCGAGGGCTAGCTTGGCGAGGGCTAGCTTGGCGAGGGCTAGCTTGGCGAGGGCTAGCTTGGCGAGGGGCTAGCTTGGCGAGGGCTAGCTTGGCGAGGGCTAGCTTGGCGAGGGCTAGCTTGGCGAGGGCTAGCTTGGCGAGGGGCTGGCTTGGCGAGGGCTAGCTTGCGAGGGCTAGCTTGGCGAGGGCTAGCTTGGCGAGGGCTAGCTTGGCGAGGGCTAGCTTGGCGAGGGCTAGCTTGGCGAGGGCTAGCTTGGTTACTGTATGGGATACGATACTATTTACACGTTTTGTTAAAACTAGTTTAAAAAGTTAATGAAAAAAAGAATTGCTTGGTGAGGATCCGAACCCAGGAGGGAAGACCAAAGATTGTTTGTATCCAGACCTCTTACCCACTGCGCCACCCAGTCATATTCGCTTCACGCGAGAGAAGCCTTTTAAGCAAAATGCTGCAAACTTCTATCTCGTATTCCCTTTTTCAGCTCAATCACTTCCAAAAACTGACTTTGTTTAGCCTTGTGAATCCCGATTCCAAGCATAATTGCGCCAGCGATGAGAAATAGTAGAGCAATCAGCAGCAAAACGATGGTCACCTGACATTTGAAAGTTGATCCTTTACAAAAACAATAGTCTAATTGAATTCGAATCGATATTCTAAGCAGTTAAACATTTTTCATAGTCAATTGGTTAGTTTTTCAACCCAATTGGTTAGTGTTTTCAACTTACGAGCCGTGCCCGCTCCATGTTGCTCCGTTGCACAGTGAATTCCGCAAATTTCCCTCAAATACTGCCTAAATCAAAAAAGAAATACTTCAAAAAGTCTCAAAAATTTACAAAGACGCCTAATCTCTGCTCGTGAATTCCTTTTTCACGTAAATTTTAAGGCGTTTTTATTTGTCGAGTCGTAAACTTGGAGACAGAGAGAGTTTCACTCACACTCACTTCATTTTATCGTCACCTCTATTTGATGGCCCTATTTTTTTTCTCTCACTAGGTGTGATTGTGCAAAATGGGAAGAGATAGAAATTTCATAGATGAAATTTGAAGATGATTGAAATCGAGAAAGGGTGACGTTTTGATCCGGAATGTTTGGAAAAGATGAAATCTCGAATTTGGAAGATGAAATCTACAAAAAGTGTCAAGAAATGTGACGGATTGAGAGTTGTTTCTGTGCAAAGCTGATCGGGCAAAGCTGATCGTGCAAAGCTGATCGTGCAAAGCTGATCGTGCAAAGCTGATCGTGTAAAGCTGATCGTGTAAAGCTGATCGTGCAAAGCTGATCGTGCAAAGCTGATTGTGCAAAGTTGATCGTGCAAAGCTGATCGTGCAAAGCGTCTGATTCTAATTCGTGAGTAGTTTAACTAAGAATGTAGAACCTGTTCAATAAGTGTTCCTGTTCAATAAGTCTGTAAAGCTAGCAAAGTAACTAGTTTGCACTTGACCGCTTGGGAATGTCTGATTCTGATTCGCTCGTTCGTGGTACAAACTAGGTAAAGTTTTGTCTACGGTATTTTCTCTAATAGTAGTGCACCCTGCCGAGTTGATGACTATTTACGGCTTCCAAAGTTTTCCCAGAAGCTCAACACTCAAATCCCCCACAAGATCTCATCGTCAGCTACATTTTCCGACCCCACATCGATAGGTTCTGATAAGCGGTTCTCGAGATTTCGAGGAATTTAGGCGACGCGCTGGGTGCACTACTATTTGAGAAAATACGGTCTATACTGACTCATTGACTCACTTTAAAACAGCTAGATAATGCTATACGAAATTTGCAAATCAAGGACCTCCTCACTTCCAAGATTTACATATATCTGGAGACTTTAAATTTGTAAAAAAATTCAGTATTTGTCTGCAAATTTTCGATTTGATTGTCTCTTCAAGTTGGAAGCAATAGATTCTTCGATTGGTTGACGAAACTGGTTTCTTTCAATCTTTTTTCAATCTTCATTGGGCTGCGGTTACGATTTTGATTACGGTAGCCTTTTAGGCGTCGAATCAAGCTCTTAAGACAAGAGGTGAGTGCCGAATCGGTCATCTACGTCAATCCGGACAAAAATCGAATGCCACTCCAGCCTAGAGGTACACTTTGAAAGCTTTGAAGACTTTGAAAGCAATGTCCCAGTTCAGAATGAATTAATTTTCTGCATTCTCACTTTGAATTGGCTTAACTGCAGGCAAAAATGGCAAAAATGGCAAAAATGGCCTAACTGACTTTTGGAACAGCCCTGGTTATCGCTCTGAAACACACAGGGTTACTGAAATTCGCATCTTTGGTTTGAAGACAAAACAATCGGTTAACTGAATATCTTTTTAATTTTAAGTGTAAAAGGGATTTTATTAGGTTGGTGAATAAGTCTTTTCCTTCCTTCTCGTACTTTCGTTTAAAAGTTGCACCAAAAAATGCAACAAATGCGACACCAACAAATACACCAATTGAACTACGGTTTGTTTCATTAGAAAGATCACTTATTTTTCTGCAAAATAACATTAAAACGGGTTTAAAATGTCTTATGTCTGGGTTTTTTTTGGAAGCGTGAAGGTCGGGCTTAGGCTTAGGCTTAGGTCGACAATTCGATTTCGCGATTTAGACACTTTGATCCAAAGAAACCTATCTTGGTGTCAATAGATAAAAGATAGAGCACAAAAAGTTTGGTCTATAGCCAAATTTTTAGTGAAATTCATTCAGCTAATTTCTTCATAGAGGTTTTTATAGATTTTTACGAAAAAGACTTCGCAAACTCTCGAATTCACCCTCGAAATTGCTTGAAAGTGAGTCGAAATTGACTTAAAAATATGGGAAATTGAAGAATATACACTTTTTACTTAGATCCAATCATAGGTTAATTGGTGATTTTGTTATTTTTCAACAGAAAAGTAACGAAAAGATTTTCTGGACAGCCTTCTCTGTACTAGTGTGAGTACATTTCACTGATTTACGGCACATTTAACATTTACATTTACAACGGAAACATTAGAAAGATCACTTATTCTTCTGCAAAATAACATTAAAACGGGTTTAAAATGCCTTATGTCTGGGTTTTTTTGGGAGCGTCAAGTGGGGTAGTCAAAAAGAGCGACGGATGTTGCGGTTTAGGCTTAAGTTTAAGCCACTTTAGCTAAGGAAACCTATCTTGGTGTCAATAGATAAAAGATAGAGCACAAAAAGTTACGATTAAAACCAAAATTTCAGCAACTGAATTCCAGTTTTTTGGGAGCGCGGGATCCTCAAAAAGAGTGACGGGTGGTGCGGTTTAGGCTTAAGTTTAAGCCACTTTAGCTAAGGAAACCTATCTTGGTGTCAATAGACAAAAGATAGAGCACAAAAAGTTAGGTGTATAGCCAAATTTTCAGAAAGATTCATTTAGCCAATCCCTTTGTAGAGATTTTTATAGATTTTTTCAAAAAAGAACCGTTTTCACTCTCGAATTTGCTTAAAAGTGAACCGAAATTGACTTTAAAAGATGGGAAATTGCATAAAAAGCATTTATTCTTCAATAAATCGGTTTTATTTAGAGTAAAATTTATAGCAAAATTTAGAGCAAAGAATTTTTCGTCAAAAATCTTTCTCTCCTCTTCATTTTCCCGTTTCTCGTGTTCTTATATATCACGTAAATTCTTTAATCGAATAAAAATATTAAACGACTTGTATTTGGACTTTTTAATGAAGCTTGACAACTTTTAATCCATTCGAAACCGCAGCATTTTTTCTTTTTTTTCGTCTGCGGGCCAAGCCCTTTTTTGACATTTTTGACTCCGAAGCAGTTTATCCAGATGGTTGGAAAGGTTTAAGAGAGTCTCCTACACCATTTATTTTTGATGAAGAACGAGTTGGATTTGACTTCAGTACTTTTCAAGATCCTATCGATTATTATTCTTATTTTATCGACGACAAATTAATTAATATGTTAGTAGGCGAATCTAATAAACATGGAAAAAGGAAAACAAACTGGCAGGATTTCGATGCAAAATCTTTCAAGCTCTTCCTGGCTTCAAATGGGAATCGTCAAATTACCGAGGATTCGTGACTACTGGAGTAGCAGGCCTGGATTAGGAGGATTTTCCCACATGTCCCACATTATGTCAAGAGCAAAATTTGAATCTATTCTTCGAAACCTATATTTTTGTGATAATGAACTGGATCCTGCAGGAGATCGGCTTTATAAGATTAGAGCTATTATGGAACATTTCAATGCAAAACCAGAGGCTGCCTTGATTCCGGGTAAATATGACACGTCTTTTTTGCCCACGTAATTTGTAGATCTGTTACAATTAGAATATACATGTAATGCTGAAAAACAGCAAAAAAACCAATTAATTGAATGAAAATAGTTCAATTAGCGCTGCAGCGAATTAGCGCTGCAGCGAATAATCGCTGCAGCGGTCCGTTCCTGAGTTTTTGCTGGAGCGATTATTCGCTGCAGAAGTTTCGAATGGGTTAATGAAGCTTTTAATGAAGCTAGGATTCCAGCCATGAAATTTATTCACTCAAAATCTTCTCATCTCCACTTTTCTCAATTCCTTCTGTAATGCTGCCAATTCTTGAAACTTTTAAGTCTCGAAGGAATGAGATGTAACAGCCGATACCTAAAATTGTCTAAAATTCCAAAATCATTCGTAAAACTTACTGATAATCATCAGAAAGCCAGAAAGATAGAGGATTTGATGAATGTTCATTTTGGAGCCCAAGAAGAGAAAGATCATAGCAGAACCGGCCTGAAAGTTGATTGTTTCCAAAAGAGTTAAAGTTTATTCAAAGATTTTGAATTTATTGGATATGTTTAAAGATAAAGTTACTGTAGGAAAGGACAAATTCCTTGTCTTACTGTAGAAATGCGCCAAAAACTGTAGCATAAGTGGTGGGTAAGTTTTAGGATACTGTAGAAGTAGTAGAGCTAAAGGTTGCCCCGGCACCTGATAGAATTTCGCTACACTGAAAGCGATTGCTGGTGACTCTGGCAGTCCTTTAGCAGCAGCAACCATTCTTGCATTACACGCCGATCCATCGAGACAACCATAAAGAACACCAACTAGTATGCCGATCCATGCGCTGAAATGTGTCTTTGTAACAAGTTAAAACCCTTTTCAAATGAATACAGATATTCATTATTCATTATTCATCGTCTGTTCATTATTCATCAATAAAAAATTAGCATAAATCTAGAGAAATAAAAATCCATTAATCTGACAAAAAAAGAACCAGTGAACCATCAGCGGGATTGAACCCCTAACCTCCTGAGCCACAGACCGGGCTCTTAGCCAGTCGGCCATGTGAGCCACAGATCCTTAGAAGATCTAAGCCGATGTATACTTACCTTGGCTCCAAAATCGCAAGTTCTTTTGTTGGTTTTAATGAGGATTGAGCCGGCGTATAGATCAATGTCAGCACCATCACCATTACAAAGAAGATGCACGTCAATATGAAAACCGGGATCAGTCCAAAGTTGTGGTATTTCTTGCTGACTGTGGTGAAGATTAAGCCGACTAAATTCGATTTTTCAGAGCTCCATTTTTCTTCCCTTTCGACTTACCAACAATCTCTCCCAAACAAGTAGCGATACAATAATATGCAACAAGATTTCTCTCTTTCACTAACGAATCCGTGAACGCGAAAGTTGTTGGATAAATGGTAAAAAGCAAGGCAAGAATGGATCCAGTGAATAAAAAGAATGGAGCCAACTTGAGAAGATTTTTCTGTTTCATAGCTGAGAGGACTTTGTCTAAAGAGTTTCATTTAGGCTTAGGCTTAGGCTTAGGCTTAGGCTTAGGCTGAGAAGACTTTATCTAAAGAGTTTCATTCACATTTTCTCACAAAGAACTCACTGATTTGTTGTTTCAAAGTGATTTCATTTTTGATTTTCTTCTCAAGTGACTCTGGGAGATTTCTCTTTGGCAACAAGATAGCTAAGATCAATGCCGCTAACGCGAAAGCGGACATTCCGAGCGAGAGGAGCCGCACTTCGGTGTCAGAGTAATGACGGTAGCTGCTTTGATTCTGAAATCTCTGAAATCGAGAGCTTTCCCGATTTAGTTTCAAAATATTACTATAAAATAGATATCCAACATTTGAAAAATCTTAACGATTCTTTTTCTATTAGTTGAAATTGTTATTGTATTCTGTTTCAGCTTACCTGTGCGGTAAAAACTTCTGTGCCATTTCCTAAAATCCCCGCTTTTCCATTGTTTGCCATATGCGTTGAAAAGATAAAAAAAATCCCGCTTAAAACAGTCCTGAAAATATAATTCAGTAAAACTATTGATCAAAAAGCATTGGCTGAATATTGAGAGATTTGATAAATTGATGGGATGAGGTTTGACCAAACCAAGCCAAGCCAAGCCAAGCCAAAGCCAAAGCCAAAGCCAAGAGGTTGCTTGGTTTCTTGTTTGGTTTGGATAAAGTATTTATTCAAATTGAAAAGCTCTCTCTATTAGAGGAGCTCCTTTAGACGAAATTTTTCCTTTTTTTCGAATTTTTAAACTCTCGGCTAGCAAAATGCTCAACTTTTTAAAGACTTTCAAAGGTTTTAAATAATATTTATGGGCTAAAAAAAGCTTAATGATGTCGAAATGATGACGAAAGCTTAATGAAGTCGACTAAAAAAGCTTAATGAGGTTGAAAATCGGATGAAAATCTAAGAAAAACACTCGCTTTTGAGCTCTTGAAAATTTGGGTATACTCTAGGGCACGAAAAAGTATTTTAGAGGCACATTCTATTAGAATGTTTACGGTAATTGTTGAACGGACAAGTTCCTGGTTCAATTTCCGGTAGTCAACTTGTGCTAAACTGATTTCCGTCATATTTCTTCCTTTCTCGCCGTCCAAAAACTTCAGATAAAGGTGAGATTCAACTCACGATTAGATAGATTAGATAGATTGAACTCACGTGAACGAGTTGACCATGCATTGTATCGACTGATTTCTAGAGAGAGTCCGATCAGTCGAATGTCTTAATCCATAAGATCCACCACCAGCGTAGAATACTGAAATACATTAGCCTAGCTTAGCTTTCAAAGCCTAGTTTAGCTTTCAAAGCCTAGTTTAGCTTTAAGATTTCAAAACTTACATGCAAATCCGAGTCCACAAAACATACAGGCTGGAAACAAGAGCCATGTCCGTAAATAGAAAAAACTCGCGGCAAAAATGAGAAAAAATGAGGCCGACATGATTAGAGCTCCTTTTGCGCCGAGGATTGGCAGAAAACAAGGGGCAATCAGATTGCCGAATGTGTAGAAAAGATCGGTGAATGAGGTGCTAGAGTGGATTCAAAAGGTGAGAGAATATAGGTTTTTTTAATTACCCATAATATCCGGCATATTCAATGATACAGTCTGGACGCTCTCGCACCGAGTGACAAATCGGCTCGATCAGAAATGAGACCATGTCAAAGCCGAATGTGCCACATATTTGAATGATACCTGAAAAGCAGTAAATTGGTACAAAAATCAGTTTCTTATCTGTCCAAAAACTTTATTTTCCGATTGTTTTTTATCAGCTTTATCAGAATTCACTCAATTCTTAAGAAGCTTAATTCACTGCCACAGATGTTCTTTGTGCGGGCGCGTAATCGCTCGTGATCTGGCCCACCGGCTTTGCCTATACCCCTCCCAGAGTGCTCCTCACAAGGAACTTGTTCCTTTGATAGGTACTTGGTACCTCCAAGCTCGTCTTGGATAATTTTTGGGACGCTGGCCTGGGGATCCCGGGACGGCAAAAATGAGAAATAATTTCGATTTAAAATACAGGTTGTCCGGAAGAAATCGGTTTGAGGCTTGCAAAGTTGTCTTGTTGATTTTTCAGGACTCATCGTAGTGTCAGGATTGGTTTTGCCTCAGGCGCTACCCATACAACCCACACCACTCCGGACACCTAGTAATTTAGATCCAAATTATTTGTATTATTATATGTAAATCTTGGAAGTGAGGAGGTTCTTGATTTGCAAATTTCGTATAGCATTATCTAGGTGTTTTAAAGTGAGACAATGAGTCAATATAGACCGTATTTGCTCAAATAGTAGTGCACCCTGAGCGTCGCCTAAATTCTTCGAAATCTCGAGAACCGCTTATCAGAACCTATCGATGTTGGGTAGGAAAATGTAGCTGACGATGAGATCTAGTGGGGGATTAGAGTGTTGAGCTTCTGCAAAAGCTTGGAAACCGTAAAATAGTCACCAACTCGGCGGGGTGCACTACTATTAAAGAAAATACGGTATTTAAAATATTGATTGACATTGTGTTAAGTGTTGAATTGCCTAATTGATTTATCTCGAGCCGTTAGAAGCCGTCTCGAGCCGTTATCAAGAAGTCCACCAAGAACATGAAGTCAGATTGAGACTTATACTAAAGTAGAAGGCCATTGTAATATTTAATATAAATAAACTGTATTATAAACATTTATTGTCCAAAGATATTCAGCAAAAAAGTTTAACTCACCAAGAAGAACAGCTGCTAGAATCATAAAATTATCATCATTCATCTCGATGAAGCGTCGAAGTAAGGCTTATAAAAATTAAATGAAACAACCAAACGGTGATGTCAGTTTAGCCTAGCTTTTGTCAATCTCCGAATAGCAACTTTTCATTTCCCAGAGCTCTGATATCAAGATCTCCGTTATCCACACGAAAGACAAAAGAAATGAGAAAGAAAATGTTCATCCTTGTTCACTAATCGCGAAAAAATCTAATTTCTCTAAAAAAATTGTCAGAGTGGTATCACAAAAAGTAAATAATTTATTGCTCGAAATCTTTTTTCTCAATATTTTCTTTGGGAAGCTCTCTGGTGAACACTTTTGATGATCTCAAATCTCGGAGATAGGAGATATAACAAATGATACCTAGAAATTACAAATCTTATTGAAAATTGAATTAGATTAAACTCAAACACTTACTGATCAATACCAAGATAGTTGAGAGATAGTGAAGCTGATGAATGTTTAGTTTTGAACTCAAGAAGAGGAAAATCATTGCAGAAGCGGCCTGGAAATGAACGGTTCAGAGCTAAAGAAGTTTTAAAGCTTTGGCAGCTAGTGGCTTATAGTTTTGGATCCATTACCAAGATAATTTTCAACTGATTGAATTTCTGAAGTAAGACATAAGACCCTGCTTTGGAGGCCATGAGATACGAGGCGCCGTAGCTCACTGGTGGAGCGTTCGCCGAGCGAGAGATCGTGGGTTCGAATCCACGTCGACCATGTTTTGTATTGTATTGTTTTGTTTTTATTGAAATTTGTATTAACATGTTTTGTATTCCCAGCCCTAACTCATAAAAGAACTGGCGTGTCCAATCTTGAAGTCAGAAGCTAAGCTTGCCGCTAGCTAAGGCTCAAGTAACACCTTCTAATTTAATTGGTAAGTTGTAGTAGCACAAGATTAGCTGAAAGGTTTAAATTGCATCTATCCAGTTAGCCAGCAAGTCACTGCTGACTCCTTTGATGGATAGCTTGATCAAAAATTTTGAATTTATTGGATATGTTTAAAGATAAAGTTACTGTAGGAAAGCACAAATTTCTTGTCTTACTGTAGAAATGCGCCAAAAACTGTAGCATAAGTAGTGGGTAAGTTTTAGAATACTGTAGAAGTAGTAGAGCTAAAGGCTACACAGGCACCTGATAGAATTTCGCTACACTGAAAGCGATCGCTGGCTCTTCTGGTAGCGCTTTTGCAGCAGCAACCATTCTCGCGTTTGTCGCTGATCCATCAAGAAATCCATAAAGAACACCCATCAGAATGCCGATCGATTTACTGAAATCATCTCTCAAAGTACAAAATGAAAACGAACTTTGGTTCAAAAACGGCAATTTCCTTTGTGGGTCCCAATGAGGATTGAGCTGGAGTGAATAAGAGAGTAAGAACAGTGATCAGCATAAAGGAAATGCATGTCAACGAGAAAACTGGAACCAAGCCGAAATCTTGAAACTTCTTGCCGATGGAGGTGAAGATCAGACCAGCTAAAGTGAATATTTGAAATATTTAAAACCGGATTTTAAAATCTCACCGATAAACTCTCCGACACAAGTCGCAATACAGTAATATGCGACCATGTTTTTATCTTCCACCAAAGAGTCAGTGAAGGCAAAAGTTGTCGGATAAATGGTGAACAGTAAGGCAAGAATGGCTCCAGTACAAGCGAATAGTGGTGACAATTTGAGTAAATTTTTCTGTACAATAGCTGAGAAGACTTTGCCTGAAAAATTAGTGCTGCTGGAGCATAAAGATCAAGTTACCGATTTGCTGCTTTAGTGAAATGTTCTTTGTCTTTTTTAGAAGAGAATTGGATAGATTTCTTTTTGGCATTAGTACGGCTAAGATCAAGGAAACGATTGCAAAGATTGTCATGCCGGTTGAAAGAATTTTGATCTCTGTATCAGAATAGTAGCGGTAGTTGGAGTTAGTCTAAAAATTGTGAATAAAGGAGTGAAGGAATTGGCAAGAAAAAGTCGATTTCCGGAGAAGGGATTGAACCCTCGACCGTCGACTGGAGAATTCGCTTCCTTTGGACAATTACTTTAACCACTAAGTCATCTGGTACCTTTTGTTTAGAGAATGACCCACCTAATTAAAGCTTTCTCTTGCCCCTAGCTCTTGCCCTTCTACTGTAACCCGGTTTAAAATCTTTCTGCCATTGTTTTGATCTCAATGATCTTTTTCTTTCCATTCTTTTTTCTTTCCCACGGCTAGTTCAAGGAGAGGTTCTTTCGTTTTAGAAATTCCAGTCACCTCCAATAAGTTTGTTTATAACTCTTTTCCAATAAGAACTGCCAGAATTTGGAATCGAGTTTTCAAATGATCTTTAGCATCTGATAGTTTTTATCAGAATTTCGAATGTTTTTATTTTTCGAAACTTTTCTGTAACGCGAGATCTTTAATATACAAAATCTTTAGCTGATTTATGGGCTCTTGCTCTTACTCTTGCTCAAATAGCGATAGTGTGGTGAAGCTAAAGCTTTATGACCCTATTTCGAGTTCATTCTTGAGCTATTTCCCTATTTTAGCAGCCTTTTTACCTTTTTGCTATCATAGAAAAACTTTTGTAGAAATATCAGCAAAACGATCATATTTCATGAACTATTTTATACGCTATTTGAAAAATTTAAAGCATATTTAGAATTTAGAATTTGGAATCGACTTCCCAGAGTTTTGAGAGAGTCCAATAGTCTCGAAACCTTTAAATTATCTGTAGATGATCTTGATATTGATCTTGAAGCTCTAGTGGATCTTTGACGTTATCTGTGCTACCCATATATTACATATATTATATCGTGTTGCTTTTTATCGGCCCTTTTCGTCTTATGTGTATGAGTTCATGTGTTTTAATCTTAAATCTAAAGCACTTTATCTCACGTCTTGAATAAAGTATCTATATACATGTATATTCTATGTATATTCTCTCAACTAACCAAAAGCCAGAAATAACATCTATTATGCCAAAGATTGACTTTGTTCTAAAAGCTTAGAAATTACTGTCACTAAAAAGCTGTTTAGTTTAAGCTAAACTATAAATAAGCTACCGTAGTCTGACCTGGCTTTTTTGGCAATATAAGCCGCTTTTTTTTTGTACTTTTTGTCTCTCTTTTTCGGATTTTTGTGAGGAAGTTTTATCCTAGATTTTTCCCGGATTTATAATCTGCTTGTTTTGCCAGTTAGCTCTTGTCATAAATTGTATTTTTCTAAAGATTGGTTCTGTTCTGAAAGCTTAGAAACTATAGAAAGTACACTCGCGACATAACACTATAGCTAGTTTACTTCGGTGCAATTTGGATTACTGTAGCTGATAGCCAAGACAAGTTCTAAAGTGCCAACTCGAGTCAAGAAAAGTTTGCCAGTCTGCTTCTGATATCTCGAGTTTATTTGAGTATTCATAACGTTAGTTTACCCTTTCAAATACTTAACAGTGATAGGTTAAGCTTTAAAATTGGTAGCTTTTTGAACGGACAAGTTCCTGGTTCAATTTCCGGTAGTCAACCTGTGCTAAACTGATTTCCGTCATATTTCTTCCTTTCTCGCCATCCAAAAACTTTGAAGAAAAGATCAAGAAAACGCCACTCATCACAGTCCTAAAAATGAGAAATCTCCCTTTTTCCAAATCTCTATTACGTGATCGAGCTTATCATACATTGGATTGATTGATTTCGAGAAATAGTTCGATCAGTTGAATGTCTTAAAGCATATGAACCACCACCGGAAAAGAACACTAAATAAAAGTCTATAAAAAGTCGAACTTTTACAACTCACACGCGAATCCAAATCCACAAAACATACAAGCTGGGAAGAAAAGCCAGGTCCGGAGATAAAAAAAGTTTGCCGAGAAGAATATGAAGAAAAATGAGGCCAAGATTAGGGATCCTTTAGTTTCTAGAATCGGAAGGAAGCAAGGGGCTAATAGATTGCCGAAAGTGTAGGAGAGATTGGTGAATGCTGTCCTAAAGATTGGATCATTTTGGAACACTTGGAAACCACTTGGAACACTTGGAACACTTGGAAATCTTGAGATACTATTCTTTACGTTGATTATGTTGTTTTTTCAGATGCGTATCCATCTTGACAATTTTTGTGACTTACCCATAATATCCAGCATATTGAATGATGCATTCTGGACAGCGCTCGCGTACCGAGTGACAAGCCGGCTCCACCAAGAATGACATCATATCGTAGCCGAAGAAACCGCACATTTGGAGGACACCTGAAACCATGGATTTGTGAGGAAATCCGTGTTACGAAAAGGATTTTAATGGAATGTGGCCAGTATTGGTCTAAATTCGAACTTCCGAACTCTTCTGAACTGATCCGCTCCTTCCGGAGAAATGGCGGAGCTGGGTCTGTCGCCACTCCATCCGCTTTAGCTCCTTCCAAAGCACTTATACCAGAGAGATTTACCAGATGGCAAGCGATTACGCGACCGCACAAAGAACAGCTATTTATATAGATTTTCTTTTGCTCTGTAGATGGTACAAAAAGAAATTGAGCTGTCAATTTGTACCCGAGGGTTTTCAGGATCGGCGAATCGATTTGAGCTATTCATTTCTACATAAAACTTCCTCAAAAAATGCGGATAATTTGCTTTTAGTGAGAGTCAGTCCTAATTCCGACCCCTCCTTTAATCTCGTCCAGAAACTCACCCAATAGTCCTGCAGCCAAAATCATAAAGTTGTCATCGTTCATTTGTTAAACGAATGTCGTAAAGTTTCAGAAGTTATAGAATGTAATAAAATGACTCTAACCGATAGCTAAAAATCAATTTTTCGTGGTTCTTTTTTGAAAAAGTGAAAGGGATAAGAAATGTGAAAAATGTCAACTGTGAGATTAAAACAAAAAAACTTATCACTTCAAAAAGTGTTTCATTTTTATGTAACCTGTGAGATTTTCTCTCATGAATTCTTTTTATTAGAACTTTTTTTCGGATTTCTTACCTTCTGACCAGTTGGCCGACTGGTTAGGAATCTTCTCTCCTAATCGGAAGATCCAGGGTTCGATCCCGCTGGCGAAGTGTGTGTTCTTTTTCCCATTAAGTTGGGTTTTTTCTTAACTACATTGTAGGGGTAAAAATTGTGTCCTCCGTTGTTTTGTATCCACTTATTCATGTTGAATAAAGTATCTTTTTTCTCTTTGTCGATGACCGTCTGAGATCTCGAAGAAAAGAGATGTAACAAAAGATATCAAAAACTTGAAATTTATATGCAAAATGTTCAACTGGTTGTTAGGAGTTCATTTGAATGATCATATATATATATATATATACCGTAAATACTGTAATAGTACCCCACCGCCTTCGTACAGTCGCGTAGTCGCAAAAGTTTTTTAGTATTTCATTTTTTCAAAGCGCCTGTACTTTCAAAAAATGCGTCTTTGGTATCAAAAAATAGCTGAAATTCAGGACTATTTTTTTGATACCTAAGCGCGCATTGTACAGTACTGGACAATGAAATATCATATTTGAAAAACGATCGTCACTTTCGCGCGGCTGTAGCTTCCTTGTCTTTGAGTTTAAACTATTAGTGTTATACATTTTCTGAAAGTTCTTTTCAAGGGCTACACAATGGTAATATTAATATTTAGAAATATGGTATTTTTTGACGCATTTCAGCGCGCACAAGATGGGATACTCAAAATTGTTGATTTTCAAAGCCGTTTTTCTTTATGATAGAGTGCTGGAATCGCTCTGAAACTATGATTTTCGGAATCTACGCAAAAATTTACCTTAGAATCATCAATATTTGTAAAATTTTATCACAGTTTCATAGCGAAAAAAGCCACATTTGCGAAATTCTCACTTCTTGAGCGGTCAAGCGAGGAAGAAGCTGGAAAACAAATATTTAACAAAAATGTAGTTAAATTAAAAAGTAACAAAAACAGTAACAATAATGAGAAAACCCCAGAGCACACAATGGGCTTTCAGTATTTAGTAGCAAATCCTTTAGCGTCGATTACAGCTTGACATCGCCGAGGCATTGAATCAAGAAGATTAGTGATGAAGCTGACGGCGATTGAATTCCAAGCCTGCTCCAATTGTGCAAACCTCTCATCGGCATTGCCGGCTTTGAGATTCTTAGTTCGTCGCTCAAGTTTCGACTTTTCGAACTTTAGATCGTTATAGAAATCTGGAGTCAACCGACTGAGAGACGGTAAACTGTTCCGATAACTGGTTCTGGCTAAGACCTTGCTTTTTGCCGATAAGGATTGCTTGTTGTGTAAGCACATGAAGATCCTTGCATCCTCGTTGCTTTTCCATTGCTCCTAAAAACAGTAATTATTATCATTTTACCCAAGGCAAAGAAAGAAAAACATTCAAAGTTGCACGCAACACAATTTTTGTGAAGAACCGCTCAAGAAGTGAGAATTTCGCAAATGTGGATTTTTTCGCTATGAAACTGTGATAAAATTTTACAAATATTGATGATTCTAAGGTAAATTTTTGCGTAGATTCCGAAAATCATAGTTTCAGAGCGATTCCAGCACTCTATCATAAAGAAAAACGGCTTTGAAAATCAACAATTTTGAGTATCCCATCTTGTGCGCGCTGAAATGCGTCAAAAAATATCATATTTCTAAATATTAATATTACCATTGTGTAGCCCTTGAAAAGAGCTTTCAGAAAATGTATAACACTAATAGTTTAAACTCAAAGACAAGGAAGTTACAGACGCGCGAAAGTGACGATCGTTTTTCAAATATGATATTTCATTGTCCAGTACTGTAGCATAAACCAGTGTCGAGAAAAACTCGTTCAAAGCTAGACTACGCAACACTCCGCACCTCCATTATGGGGGTGGGGTACTATTACAGTATTTACGGTATATATATATAGATATAGATAATTTATTCAGGACCTAGAGATAAAGTGCGCTTGACCAAGACCCGCGATAAAGTGCGTGATAAATATTTAAGATTAAAACACATGAATTCATACACACAACACGAAAAGGGCGGATAAAAAGCAACACGATATAATATATGTAATATACCGTATTCTCGCTAATAATAGTGCGCACTACTATTTTTTCAACCCCCTCCTGGATCGCAATACTATTAGAGGGTGCACTCTACTATTAAAGAGTTTTATCATTTACCAAAGTAAGACAGATATAAGATTTGTTTCAAAAATTCTTGCAATTCTTTCACGTGGCTCCTTTGGCTCCTTTTGACATACAGTTGTGGGTCGGCGAGTTGACAATTTGTGTCTTGACAAACAACAAAAAGGTGTTTTTGCACTTTGCACAACAATTTTAGATTTTTTGCTAACTTTTTCATGTGAAGAAAAGTTAATAAATGAATAAAAAAAGTCTCACTTTTGCTTGCTTGAATAGCTTTAGAATGTCACATAAACAAAGTCAAAAAGGTTTAGATGAAAAAGAAGCACCAGAAATTCAAATTTTCGAGGGTGCACTACTATTTTTTCAACTCCCTCTCGAACCACAATACTATTAGAGAGTGCACTACTATTAGAGAGAATACAGTATGGGTAGCACAGATAACGTCAAGGATCCACTAGAGCTTCAAGATCAAGATCATCTACAAATAATTTAAAGGTCTCGAGACTATGCATAAATATGCATAAATCTTAGCATAAATTGATCGATTTATAAGAGTAAACTAGCTTACAATTATTTCTTACAATCTCAAAAATTTAAACATAACTTACAAATGAGAATCTTTTTTTAAATTTCGATTTCCTGTTATGATTCTTTGGAGAATGTATGGTTCAATTTGAAGTTCAATACTTTACTTTGTCCTATTGGTATTTAACGTGGCTTGCAACTGAAAATATTTGTTTCAAAACGTTACGTTAAGATGAACGCTTCTTGAATTTGAAAAAATGTAGTAATATTTATGAAGACGAAAATCATAAAAGACAGTTTGTCAACTTAAAACGCTTGTCCAATGCTTATTTGATCATGTTAACAAATAAAAAATACCTCTTTGAGAACAAGAATCGATAAAGAAGCTAGTTGATTGAATTGTGGTTTTCCTTTGATTGTCACTACCTTAATACACGTAATAGGAGCAAGGAGGGGAGGGAAAAATCGTAGCCTGTAACAAAACAATGTACCGGATTACCCTCTACTAAACGTCTCAGCCCTCTAATAAACGCCCCAACGCCCCAGGAGGGCGGGGGCGCTTCTTGTAACAAGTACGGTGGTAGTACGGTGGGTATAAGCTTTGTAAATCCAAATTTTTCCTTGCCCATTTTGAATACTTTCAAATTTACATCTTGTTTTGCCTTAGTTATCACTTTATAAGTGATAACTAAGGCAGCTTTGTATAACCATAATTTTGGGATGAAACCATCATTTTGAGACGCACTATATGACTCTTATGCTATCCACAAACTTACCCAATACTCATACTACAGAAGCATCAAAAATCTAAGATCAGCTTTTATACAACTCTCTTCAATTCCCCCTCAATGTCTTCAATTCAATTCCAATTTCTTTACCATTCTTTATTCGTTATTTGAAGACTTGTAAAGTCTCAATTTTGTTCATCAAAAATAAGTTCTTTCAGAAATTTTTTATACCACCATAAAGCTCTTGAAGCAAGTACTTTGGTATAGTAAACAGAATACTTTGGGATAGTGAACAGAATACTTTGGTATAGTAAACAGAATACTTTGGGATAGTGAACAGAATACTTTGGTATAGTAAACAGAATACTTTGGTATAGTGAACAGAATACTTTGGTAAAGTGAACAGAAAAAGCAAAGATTTGTAGAGGAGAATTGAGTTAGTTTTTCAATAATTCTCAATAATTTGCAAGCCGAAACACATTTCTATAGCTCAAGCACCAAATTTCAATCAACAAAACACTCATTTCTGACTTTTCATTCGAAAAAATCAAATTATAAATGGGTAAAGTGAAAGGCAAAAACAAAAGTTGTTTGGGTGAGCAAGGTAAAAAGATTACGAGAATAAGTATTTTCAATTTACACAAAAAAAACATTTAGCAAATCCAATCTAAAGTCGGCTTTAAGTCTCTACAATTTTCTCGTCTCTACAATTAGAAATCAACATTTTCCCCCTCTAAATCAATCTTCGACTATGGCATTTCCCAAAGAACTTTTGGCTGTCCTTGCGCTGACCATTCTGCTTCAAGGTTTGACGAGTTTAAAAGGTTTAAAAGCAAAAAGTTAAAGTAATTTGAGATGGTTCTGACCTAAAAAATTGTTTTGAGAGCCGTTTTGGTTTTTGTGATCTCTTTTCGGCACTTCTTTTCAGCTTTTTCTTTAGCTTTTAAGATTTTGCATACTGATTTAGTATGTTCTCTACATTCTACACTAAAATTTCTTTGGAAAGCTCAGACTTTTGGTTCTTGTGATTATTTAAACTCTGAACCTATTAGAGAGATAGGAATGAAATCAGCGCTCACATATCTTTCGAAAAATAAAAAGATTGTAAGTCTCAGCCAATAAGTGTTTATACTGTTTGAAAGCCTTGAATCTTCTCTACAAAATAGTGCAAAAAGATTTTGAATTGGATTGATTATTGGGGACTTGGGCGACTTTTAAGTTTAAAGCCCAAAAATGACCATTTTCTGGAAACTGTGTTTCTGGTAACAGTCACGCCATTCGTTTCCTGAGTTTTTGCTGCCCCTGCGGACCGAAATCCTTGGGATGAATCCAAAAATTCACAGCGGCTCCCTTCAGCACCCTTTTACAGGCACTTGGG